TAGTTTATTACTTTTCTATCTACGTGACTTTACCGAAAGACCCAACGAGGATAAATTTGTCAGTTAACAGCTTCAGGTGATTATAAAACAGTGCTAAAGTGAAGTTACGGGTTTTTATAATTATACAGCCACAGACATCGTTCACATTTGCGACCGAGGCGAAATCGTCTTCATCCCAAAAATCGACCTCGCCCCAAGTGAAACGACGACAAATTCTCATAATTCTTGCGTATGCGATGACGATCAACAAGTCGCAGGGTCAGAGTTTTCAAAAATGTGGGTATTTATCTCAATGGACCCGTATTTTCTCATGACCAGTTGTACGTACCTCTGTCGAGATCTGAATATCCTCAGCGGATCAAAGTGTTCATCATCAAGGATAGCCAACTGCAGGGAAAACTTTTGAACAGTGATACGAGATTCACACAAAATATCGAATAGCGAGAAATCTTCCAAATTCCTTAATTTAATTGAGTAAGTTAAGAACATTTTCTTTAAATGCTACATTTCCTAATAAAATTAACAATCACAATAAAACGTCAATTTATATCTTTAATATTACAGCTTCCGTCCTAGTCTTTGAATAAAGTCGTTAGGCTGCACATTGGCTCGAGGTAATTTTCGATCATTCCTTCAACTTTCACGAACAACTGGGTGTTTAAGATTAGCGATTTGTCGTATTACCTGGCTCTATAGCACATGCACACATACAATTACTTTACTATGCAACAAAAAAAAATGTGTGTTTTAATAATCAATTACCTACTCATTCACCACCTCACTCATTCCCTCCCTCACTCATTCACTCACTCACCATATCACTCATTCACTCACTCACCACCTCACGCATTCACTCACTCACAATCACACTCATTCATCCCACTCATTCATTCACCACCTCATTCACTCACTCACTCACCATATCACTCCCTCATTCACCCCACTCACTCACCACCCCACTTATTCACTCACCCACCATCACACTCATTCACCCCACTCACTCACCACCCACTCACCACCCACTCACCACTCACCACCACCCCACTCATTCACTCACCCACCATCACACTCATTCACCCCACTCACTCACCACCCACTCACCACTCACCCACCAACCCACTCATTCACTCACTCACCATCACACTCATCCACCACCCCACTCATTTCACTGATCTCTTCCAAACGACACTCCTCTATCCCGGCCTCTGGAGTTCTCCCCCCAGCTTTCAACAAAAACAACTCGAACTCCCACCACTCGACGCCCTTCAGCCAGCAGTGGAGTGAAGCGGAGGAGAGTTAACTCCCAGAGTAGTTCGTGGTCCGTTTCTTCGGATCGTCCGACAGAGCCGGGCGACTCGATCCGGGCTCCAGGATTCCCGTTGCCGGCCGATGACCGCCATCTGCTGGGACCCTCCAAGAAAAACACGCAATTATTTAAAAAATATTTATAATACGAGCGCGTATCCACCAACTCCATTCCCTTCCCAGACGAAGCCGGCATCATCCCGGAGCGGCAACAATTGTTTAAGCAACACAAACAACTCTGGACCGGGTTTCTACATGCAGCGTCTCATCAGCAACAGAGATCAGGCTCGCCTGAATCAATGCTGTTGACCTGCCCCAGATGTCAAAGGCAAGGACCGGTTTCCACATTCATTGTCTCATCAGCAACAGCAGTCAGGCTCGCTTGAATCAATGCTGGTAAACTGCCCCAGATGTCAAAGGCGAGGACCGGTTTCCACGTTCAGTGTCTCATCAGCAACAGCAATCAGGCTCGCCTGAATCAATGCTGGTAAACCGCCAGATTTGAAGCTTTCGTGACTGCAAGGATTCATACTCTTAGGCTTTTTCGGTAAAGTCACTTAGGTAAAAAAAAATTTAATAGAAATAAAATAAAAAATCACGACGTTTCGGAGGCAACACAAGCTTCCGTCTTCAGGTGGAACCGTCACAGCACAATTGCTGTATCAAGTAAAGAGACGTCCCAAGAGACCCGACCTTGTGTATATATATACTGGTTAATGGGGGGAGGAGCCAGGGTGGGCCGCGGGAGAGGAGTTGTTGTGAGATGGCTAGGACGTCTGCTGCTTGTTGGTACTGAGCCTTTGTCACGTAGATGGCAGAAGCAGATAAGCAAGTCAGGACCAAGCAGCCCCTTGCTATGCTGCTGGGTGGGTACAACTCAAGACAGGCAACCAGCGTGTGAAAAAAGAAGCTAAACAGGATAAAACAAAACTGGCTGTCTATCAATAAACTGTACGGTAACTAAAGAATAGTACCTGTCAAATAAGATGGTCCAAATATGTGTAGTTAAATCTTTTTTGCATGGTTAATAACATCTTTCCAATGATTACTCAGTTTGACTGAGTAACTTCTTTAGTTACGGTACAGTTTACTGATAGACAGCCAGTTTTGTTTTATCCTGTTTAGCTTATTTTTTCACACGCTGGTTGCCTGTCTTGAGTTTTACCCACCCAGCAGCATAGCAAGGGACTGCTTGGTCCTGACTTGCTTATCTGCTCCTACCATCTACATGACAAAGGCTCAGTACCAACAAGCAGCAGACGTCCTAACCATCTCACAACAACTCCTCTCCCGCGGCCCACCCTGGCTCCTCCCCCCCTCAACCAGTATATAAGATCGGGTCTCTTGGGACTTCTCTTTACTTGATACAGCAATTGTGCTGTGACGGTTCCACCCGAAGACGGACGCTTGTGTTGCCTCCGAAACGTCGTGTTTTATTATTTTATTTCTATTATTACTTCTATTAATTTTATTTTTATTTTTTACCTACGTGACTTTACCGAAAAAGCCTAAGAGTATGAAACCGCCAGATATCAAAGGCAAGGGCCGGGGTTTCCACATTCAGTCCCTCATCAGCAGCAGTCACGCTCACCTGAATCCAGGGTCGTCTCTGTCTGAGTTCGAACCGCACACGATCTCTAGATGTCGCCAGAGAGACATCCTGAAGTCATCAACAGTCCACGTCACGAGACTACCTCGCGTTCCACTCAGTCGTGAACTGATGACGCAACAATATTCCAGTCGGATTGACAAACGAAAACGATGTTAACTACCTCGCCTGGTATACAGGGCGTCGTGGGTGCGAACACGACCCTGACGCCTGCTGCTGTAGATTTGGAGTTTGCGTGTCTCTCTCTCTCATCATCATCACGGTGGCTAGGAGATGTTAACTACATCGCCTGGTCTACAGGAGGGCGTGGGTTCGATCCCGACCCTGACGTCTGCTGCTGTATATTTGGAGTTTGCGTGTCTCTCTCATCATCATCACGGTGGCTAGGATATGTTAACTACCTCGCCTGGTATACAGGAGGTCGTGGGTTCGGTCCCGACCCTGACACCCGCTGCTGTATATTTGGAGTTTGCGTGTCTCTCTCTCATCATCATCACGATGGCTAAGAGATGTTAACTACATCGCCTGGTGTACAGGAGGTCGTGGGTTCAAACCCGACCCTAACGCCTGCTGCTGTATATTTGGAGTTTGCGTGTCTCTCTCTCCCCGTGGTCGCGTGGATTTTTCTCCGGGTCCTCCGGTTTTTCTCTTCACATTTAGAATCAATCGTCACGCGTTTAGAGTGTTTGGCTGCTGCTACGAATGTCCACGTGATAAGCCGCTTCGTTGAGCTGTCATTTGTGGCCAGGTCGCATCTGAAAAATAGCCACTTAGGGGCCGTCCATAAATGACGTCACGCACCTAGGGGGGGGGGGGGTCAGAAATTTGTGACGATGTGTGACGAGGGGGGGGGGGTGAGAAATGTGACGTCACATCTAAATGCGCAACTTTAAATAAATATAGACAACACGTTCTACTTGATAAAATAGACTTTTTTAATAAATATTTTATCCTACAACATCAGAGTGCAGCGCCACATTAAATACGCACTACAATGACAATAGTTTAAAGCGATTTGAAGCATATTTTATTTTGGGGGGAGGGAGGGGCAGAGCTTTGTGACGTCATATTTGAGGGGGGGTCTGACTTTTTGTGACGCCGTGTGACGAGGGGGCGGAGGTAAAAAATCCTCCAAAATCGCGTGACGTCATTTATGGACGGCCCCTTAGCTCAGTGGGCCTTACCTGATAAAATAACTTTTAGTTTAGGGTTTCAGCACCTCTGCATATGTATGCGAGTCTGTGGGTCTCTGTGAGTACTGTATATGGATTCAAATAAAAGTCTATGGGTATCGATGCGAGTTTATGGGTCTCTGTGCGAGTCGATGGGTCTCTGTGTGATTACATGGGTCTCTGAGAGTGTATGTGTTTCTGTGCGAGTCTCTGGGTCTCTGTGCGAGTCTTTGTGCGAGTCTATGGGTTTCTGTGGCAGTCTATGGGTCTCTGCGCGAGTTTATGGGTCTCTGTGTGAGTATATGGGTCTCTGAGAGTGTATGGGTGCATGTGCGAGTCTCTGGGTCTCTGTGCGAGTCTGTGGGTCTCTGTGCGAGTTTATGTGTCTCTGTGCGAGTATATGGGTCTCTGAGAGTGTATGGGTGCATGTGCAAGTCTCTGGGTCTCTGTGCTAGTCTGTGGGTCTCTGTGCGAGTCTATAGGTTATGGGTCTCTGTGCGAGTTTCTGGATCTCTATGAGAGTCGGTGGGTCTCTGTGAGAGTCTATAGGTCTATGTGCGATTGTATGAGTCTATGGTTATATGTGCGATTCTATGGGTCTGTCAGTCTATGTGTCTGTGGGTCTCTGTGCGAGTTTGTTGATCTCTGTGCGAGTCTGTGGGTCTGTCAGTCTATGGGTCTGTGGGTCTCTGTGCGTGTCTGTGCGTGTCCGTGGGTCTCTGTGCGAGTCTGTGGGTCTCTGTGTGAGTCTATGGCTCTCTGTGCGAGTCTGTGGGTCTCTGCGAGGGTGTACGACAAAATCCGCTGAGTTGGCAACAGCCCTGGCCAAGCGAGCGCGCAGGTGCGGCCGGGCCACGCGAAATGCGCGACGTGGAGATGGGGGGCGGAGCGTGGGTTGCCACCTCCCCCCCTCCACCTCCCCCTCCACCTCCTTCCTCTACACAGTCCGGGGCTCACACCGGAACCTCGTCGATTCGCCGCCTCATCATCCTCCTCCTCCCGCTGCAGTCAAACCTCACCGACGGTGCAGTCCTAGATCTGCGTCACCTGCCCGGCACCTGGTCGACGTTCAACGCGGACACCTGGTTGAGGATCAACGCAGACACCTGGCTGAGGATCAACGCAGACACCTGGTTCTCTCTGCCGACGTCCATTCCATCTACCCTCCTCTCTCCCGCGCCCGCCGTCTCCGATTCCTCCCATCGAGATCCTCCACCGGATCCCGAGCGGACCTCGCGAACCGAGCCGAGGAGAAGCCCCTCTCCTCCTCCTCCCCTCCTCCTCCTCCCCCTCCTCTCTCACCGCTTCATCGCCCCGACAAGAGTCCGGATACCGCCAGACGCCAAGATGGTGTGCGGAGGCTTCGTCTGCTCGAAGAACGCCCTCGGGGCGCTCAACACCCTCTTCATGGTGAGGCGGCGGGGGTTCCCGCGGGGTCTGTGTAGGGGTCTTTGGGTTTGTCTCTAGGGGTCTGTGGGCGTGGGGTGTCAGGGGTTCCCGGGGGGTCTGTCTAGGGGTCTTTGGGTTTGTCTCTAGGGGTCTCTGAGTGTGGGGTGTCAGGGGTCCATGTGGGCTGTTAAGGGGTCCCTGTGGTCTGTTTAGGGGTCTCTGGGTTTGTCTCTAGGGGTCTCTGGGTGTGGGGTGTAAGGGGTTCCTGTGGTCTGTTTAGGGGTCTCTGGGTTTGTCTCTAGGGGTCTCTGGGTTCTCTCTCTAGGGGTCTGTGGGCGTGGGGTCTCAGGGGTCTATGTGGGCTGTTTAGGGGTCTCTGGGTTTGTCTCTAAGGGTCTGTGGGTTTTGGGTGTAAGGGGTCCCTGTGGTCTGTTTAGGGATTTCTGGGTTCTGTCTCTAGGGGTCTGTGGGCTGTTTAGGGGTCTCTGGGTTTGTCTCTTAGGGGTCTGTAGGGGTCTGTGGGTGTGGGGTGTAAGGGGTCCCTGTGGTCTGTTTAGGGGTTTCTCGGTTCTGTCTCTAGGGGTCTGTGGGTGTGGGGTCTCAGGGGCCCATGTGGCCTGTTTAGGGGTTTCTGGGTTCCCTCTAGGGGTCTGTAGGTCTTATCTTATTGGTTCTTTCGGTAAAGTCACGTAGAAGGGAAGTAATAAAATAATAAAAATAAAACATAATAAAACAATTCTCACGACGTTTCGGCCACAACGCAAGCAGCCGTCCTCAGGTGAAAACCAGGTCCGTCGAGGCGACAGAGTCTGAATGAAACAGCACACGAGCTTGGAGCATATATATAAGCTAGGCGCATTGACAAAGGAATTTGCATATCAAAAGGAATTTAGCATATTTATGGGAAATGCAGGAATGTGATTAGTACTGCATATGCATGTGCATTATGCAGGATTAACAGCATCAAAGGGAGCTGCAGTTACTGCTGCTGCTGCAGTTGCTGCTGCTGCAGTTTCTGCTGCTGCAGTTTCTGCTGCTGCTGCAGTTGCTGCTGCTGCTGCAATTGCTGCTGCTGCTGCTGCAGTTGCTGCTGCTGCTGCACTTGATGCTGCTCCTGCAGTTGCTGCCTTATCCATTTTAATATAACACTATGTATTATTCTACCCACCCTAATGTGTATCACACTGCTATATGTTTACTATACAATTACGACACCATACATTACTCTGCACACTGCACCATGCCAGTGAGTGGAACGCGGTCTGAAAGTCACCGTAAACGTGAACACAATCAGTTAAGATCCGAAATGGTTTATTACGTCCTTCCAATGATTGCTAAGCCAGAATCCATCTTCTCGGTTGAAATTGTCTCTGTGTTTGTATATGTGGATCGCCTCATGAACGAATCTCTCATGATAGCCAGATGGCTTGCAGAGAACCTCTGTCTTGGAGAAGTCAATGTCATGTGAGCCCACTGAATTGTAACAGTGATCTGCCACGGCTGAGGTGTTTGTCCTACCGTGTTTCAGGTCTGCCTTATGTTCACGGATGCGGTCCGAGACATGTCGTTTGGTTTCTCCAATGTAACTGCTACCACAGAGGCAACTTAGTTTGTAGACGCCAGGGTACTGTATGTCTGGAACCACATCTTTTACAGACGGGACCAGATCACGGATTTTATGTACTGTGTTGAATCGGACCTGGATCTTGTGTTTAATCAGGATTTTGGAGATCTTTTTTGTGACCCCAGCAATGTAGGGTAAGGTGATGGTCTTGAAAGGCTCCTCAACAGGATCCTTCTTGATGGTTGGAGTGATGGCTTTGCGGATTGTGTAGTCGGAGTAACCATTAGCCTTAAGAGCTTGGCGTACGTGTTTGATCTGTAGGTGTCTGTGGGTGTGGGGTGTCGGGTCCCTGTGGGCTGTTTAGGGGTCTGTCTGAGTGGGGTCGGTGTGTTTAGGGGGTCTCTATGCGGTCTCTGAGGATGTGTAAAGAGGTTCTGCAGGGGTCTACAGGAGTGGGGTCCCTGTGAAGTGTATGTTTGTTGAACTTCTTTCGCACCGTACGTAGCCAACCGCGCAAACAAACTAACACAACAGCAACAAGCAGTTCTAAAGAAAATAACTTTTCAAGGTAGTCTCTAGAAAGAGGTGTCTTTCTGAGTGTAGGATTTGGGTTTTTTTTTTCATATAAGGGAGGACATATCTGTGATCTGGGATCGGTGTCTCTATGAAAAGCGGGGACTCATAGGGGAGGGGGGGGGTCTTTTATGAGGGGGGTATATGGGTGTGAGGGTCTCGGTATCATCGGGGTCCTAAGGGGACTCGGGGTGGGGGGGGGGGGGTCGTGAGGGATGCGGTGGCGTGTTCATGGTGGGGACCCCTCCGATGTGGGCCAGGTGAGAGAGAGAATCGCCTCGATTTTAAATCTGTTGTTTTATCCGTTCCGTACGCGTCTCGTGCGGTATCGATACGCCGAGGCGAGACGAGAACGTTCGATTCCGTTACAAAAGACGCGAACTTTTGACGAGTCAATTAAACGCGGGGGGACAGCGGTCGACGTCGCCACAGACACGGTGGGGGGCGGGGGGGGGGCGAGAGACTCAGAGGGGGGCTCGAGCCACAGGTTGATGTCAAACTTTGACATCAACCTGTGGATCGAGCCTGGCTGGTCTCGGGGGGGTGGGGGCGGGTGGTTCTGTGAGCTGAGACGACGACTCCTGGAAATCCCCTCCGCGTTTGTGCCGTTCACCTGGCGGCCCCCCCATCACCCCCCCCATCATCACCCATCCCCCATGACCCACCTCCTCACCACAACCCCCTCACTACCACCATCACCCCCCCCCATCACCCCCCCCATCACCCCCCCCCCATCACAACCCCTCATGACCCACCCCCCCAACACCACCCCCATCACCCCCCCCAACACCACCCCCATCACCCCCCCCTAATCACCACCCCCCATCACCCCCCTCCTAATCACCACCCCCCATCACCCCCCCCCCATCACCACCACCCCCATCACCCACCCCCCATGACCCACCCCATCACCACCACCCCCATCACCCACCCCCCATGACCCACCCCATCACCACCACCCCCATCACCCACCCCCCATGACCCACCCCATCACCACCACCCCCATCACCCACCCCCCATGACCCACCCCATCACCACCACCCCATCACCCACCCCCCATCACCCACCCCATCACCATCACCCCCCCTAATCACCAGCCACCCCCATCGCCACCCCCCATCACCCACCCCCGATGTTTACACGCAGCACGAGGTACGGATTTGAGGCTGAGTCGACCTAGGGGAGACCCAGGGCCGGTCACTGGTGTTGGCCGCGAGCGGGAATCGAACTCGGGTCGCGCTCACCGCTCCACCACCGCTCCACCACCGCTCCCCTCATCGCCTGCCATTTCCTCCGCCTCTTTTTCTCGCCCGCACCTCCATCCTCAACCTCATGGCTCCCTCACACCTCACCTCTTCCCCTCTTCTCAGCATCACCTCCTCCTCACACCCAATCCCCACCTACCCTCATCCACTTGCCTTCTCTCGCCTCCCTCCTCAACTCCCCCTCATCACTTTCACCCCTCACCTCTTCACCCCTCATCACCTTCCCATCAACGCCATCTGCCTGCCCTCGTCAACTTCTCTTTTGGTCCCCGCTCGCCCTCGCCTTATTTCCCCGTCCCCTCGCCCCCTCCTGCCCCCTCTGAACTCCTCCTGCCCCCTCTCGCCCCCCCTAGGAGTTAACATCTCCTAGCCACCGTGATGATGGTGAGAGAAGTTGAGAAACGCAAACTCCAAATATGGAGCAGGCGTCAGGGTCGGGATTGAATCCACGACCTCCTGCAGACCTGGCAAGGTAGTTAACATCTCCTAGCCACCGTGATGATGATGAGAGAGAGACGAAAACTCCAAATATACAGCAGCAGGCGTCAGGGTCGGGATTGAACCCACGACCTCCTGTAGACCAGGTGAGGTAGTTAACATCTCCTAGCCACCGTTGACACAAGCCACATTCATCCGAAATGTAGCCGTGAATTATTTTGAACCAAGGAGGCCAGGAGACTTGTAATCGGGTTTCAGTCGCCTGTGGTGAAACCGGTTCCTCAAGTGTTGGAGTGAGTTTTTGGGCTCAGCCCGGTCACCAATGGCTGCACAACAACCCCCCCCCCCCCCCATCGCACTGTGCTTCTCTGAACCTCATTTGGTTGTGGCTGTCATGCGACGGCACATTGCTCTCGGGCGGAGGGGCGGGGCGGTAAGGCGCTGCCCCCTCCCGTGTGTGGAGCAGAGTAGAACTTGAAGCCGAAGGGGATCTCGGAGGTAGATCTGTGATCACCACTTCAGTGGGCCGTTCTGTGTGTGGACCAGAGTGTCACTTGAAGAAGGGGATCTCGGAGGTAGATCTGTGATCACCACTTCAGTGGGCCGTTCTGTGTGGACTAGAGTAGAACTTGAAGCCGAAGGGGATCTCGGTAGGGAGCTCTGTGGTCACCGCTTCAGTGGGCCGTTCTGTGTGGACCAGAGTGTCACTTGAAGATGAAGGGCATCTCGGAGGTAGATCTGTGATCACCGCTTCAATGGGCCGTTCTGTGTAGACCAGAGTGTCACTTGAAGAAGGCGATCTCAGCGGTAGCTCTGTGATCACCGCTTCAGTGGGCCGTTCTGTGTGGACCAGAGTGTCACTTGAAGGCGATCTCGGAGGGAGCTCTGTAATATCCACTTCAGTGGGCCGTTTTGCGTGGACCAGAGTGTAACTTGAAGAAGAAGGGGATCTCGGAGGTAGTTCTGTTATATCCGCTTCCGTGGGCCGATCTCTAACGCGAAGGGGATCACACTGCTCACTGCGAGAGCTCCAAATGGATTCTACGTCTCGTGACCACGCGGCACCAATAGCAGCACAATCCAGATGCAGTTGGCTGAAAGAGATTTTAAAATATACATTTAAAGATTAGTTCAATTTTGCGTGAGATGCGATTGTCTATGCCACCTGGCATTTACCTGTTTGGTAAGGGGGCTAGCGAATCTGCACTGCTTGCCTACAGCCATCACCTCCGATTAGCACGGTTGGCTACGTACGGCGTGAAAGAAGTCCAGCACACACACACATCTACACCGCCATCACCTCCAATTAGCACGGTTGGCTACGTACGGTGCGAAAGAAGTTCAACACACACACATACGTCGTGGGCTCTCGGGCGTGACGGTAAACCGACCACTGTAAGTGACCGCAGTGGGCGATGATTGTTCAAGGGTGGATTTGCAATCGGAAGAAGCATTTCTGTTTGATGTCCTCTGACCTCTTAACCCTGTTCCACGTCATCCTCCTTCATCGGCGTCCCCTCCTCCACCTCGCCCTCGTCACCCTCCTCCCTCTCCTCTTGCATCTCTCCTTCCTTCTGCTCCTCAATCCACTTCGACGTTGTCTCCCTCAAACTTCTCCAACCTCCGTGTCAACCTCCGTGTCAACCTCCGTGTCAACCTCCGTGTCAACCTCCGTGTCAACCTCCGTGTCAACCTCCGTGTCAACCTCCCTCCCGTCACCCCTCTCCCTTCTCACCCGCGACACGCTCCCCTCACATCGTCACTTCATCGCCCATCTCCCATCGCCTCCTTCTCTCCCCTCCCCCCCCCACCTCAATTTATCACTCGGCCTTAAGATTTGCATTGAACTGCCCATATAGGACTCACCACTGTGATCTCTACATTGGGTCAAACTTAACATCTCTTAATGTTCGACGGCTTGTGCACCAGATCTTATTTATTCACGATGTACTTACAAAACAATCCGCAGACTACCTGCTGGATCTCCTCTCTGTTTCGAAGAAGAAATGTGACCTAAGGTCTTCGCTCAATTACCAGCTTAACATTCCTTATTGCTGTACAAATACTGGAGGAAGGGCCTTTGCTATTGATGCCCCCAGGGTCTGGAATGCTGTCGCCAATAAACTGCAACTTGGATCACTACCTGTGAGATCTTCACTCAAAACTGCTCTAGAGGAGTTGTACACCCCTAGCTGCTACTGCTATTCAGAATGGCCTAAAATCAAATGTTTTCGCTCCAGATGACCGCTGCAAAGTATGATCTGTGTTTTGATTTCGTGCGCTGATCTTAAAGGTGCATTGACAAATGTTGATACTCCGACTGATGCTCCTGCTGTTGTGGAGTGACTCGTGCAGCCAGCTATGGCCACGGGGTTTGGTGGTACATGTTGTTTATGTCGTTTATTGTGAAAATTCGGTCACAGTTCCTATCATCACTGTTACATTGCTTATGGCTTTATTATGGTGATATCAAAAAGTTTTTGGGTTTGGCCATGTTTTGTTTGTTATAGTATGGAGTTAGACTGATGGTTTTAATCTAAGTTGTCTTGTGGTGGTTGTTGGTGTTTGACTTGCATCCCACTGGGATTTTTGCACACAGCGTTGGTGTACGGTGCTTTTCTGGAAGACTTTGCAGTTTTTTCTGGATTTTTCTGTTTGCGCATAGTCACTTTAAGATGTTTTCTTGTTCATGTTTTTGTTTTGTTGCAGTTGCACCCGATTCAAGACCCGAATGGCTCACAGGGCTATACCAAATAAACTGAAACCTCCCTACCTCAACCCCAACCTCTCTCACCCCCCCCCGACCCCCCTCCACCGTGCAGCTCGTGGGGCTGCTGCTGATCGGGGTCGCAGCCTACGGCGCAGGCTTCGGCATCATCTCGAGCATCTCGGTGGTGGGCGGCGTCATCTCCGTTGGCTTCTTCCTCTTCCTCGTCTCCATCGTCGGCCTCGTCGGTGCCGTCAAGCACCACCAGGTGCTGCTCTTCTTCGTATCCTCACCGGCCTGGCGCAGCGGGGGGGCCACCGAGGCAGGGCGGCACCACGGGACGTCGCGCGGCCGGACGCAGCCGAGTCTCGAGGGCTGTTACCATTGAGACTTGTCGCTACCCTCGGGGGTCGTCGCTACCTTCGGGGGTCGCTGTTACCCCCAGGGGTCGTTGTTACCCTCAGGGGTCGCCGTTACCCTCGGGCGTTGTTGTTATCCTTGGGGGTTGCCCCTACCCTTGGGGTCGCCGTTATTCTCGGGGGTCGTCGTTACCCCCCCGAGACTCGGGTTTCTCACAACGTTGAGCGTCTCACGGCCGTGAAGTGGAAGGCGTGGGGGGACGGAGGGAGTGGGAGGGAGTGGGAGGGAGTGGGGGGGAGTGGGAGGGAGTGGGAGGGAGTGGGGGGTTGCCACGCCGGCTCTGCCCGTGCAGGTGGCTCCGCGTTCCCCACCTACCCTGCGGCAGTCGGTGGCGGTGGCCAAGGGAGGCGGAGCGGGGGGCGGGGAGTCGATCTTCTCGATGACTTTCAAACCGGCCGCATCTCATTCCGAGCCTGCCGCTTGTGCGCGGCCAGGTGGCGACAGCCATCGGGGTGGAGAGGCGGCGTCGTGAACCGTGATTGGCGGGGGGGGGGGTGTGTCAGGTGGTCGTGAACCGTGATCGACGGGGGGGGGTGTGTCAGGTGGTCGTGAACCGTGATCGACGGGGGGGGGTGTGTCAGGTGGTCGTGAACCGTGATCGACGGGGAGGGGTGTGTCAGGTGGTCGTGAACCGTGATCGGGGGGGTGTGTCAGGTGGTCGTGAACCGGCGTCGCGATGAATCGTCGCCAAAACTGGATGCCGATTTATTTCGCGCCGCTCGCGATTTCGGCGTGTTTTTTATTACTTGAGTCGTCGTCGTCGCTGTGTGGAGTGGCGGTGCAGCGGTTTACGTGCTAACAAACGCACCCCCCCCCCCCACCCCCCCTCGACGTTGTCGTGTTCAATTTCCCCACTCACGGCCAACATCAGTTCATGAATATCTGAACCGGTCCCGGGACCTCCCCACCGCCCTCCCACCTCTCCACCTCTCCGCCTAGGTCGACTCAGCCTTAGATGTATTACTTGGTGCGGTTTGTAACAGAGGTCGCAAACGGGTTTTGATTCCTTACCCGTACCCATACCCGGCCGCACCAGGGTCGCAAACGGCTACCCGTACCCGTACCCGGCCGGGTAGCCGGGTATTAGGTAGGGTACGGGTATCGGGTACCCGGTTGCGACCTCTGGTTTGTAAGCATCCATACTGGGGAGACGAAAATGGCTGGGCGTGGTGCTGGCCACCCCACCCCCCTCGTATGCTGTGCCGACCTTCATACTCACTGCGACACTTGCCCCTCCAGCCTGCGTAGGCTACACAGGGGATCTTTGTTTTTTGTGGCGGTAGCGCTAGTGGTGGTCATGGTAGGGATACTGCTGGTGGTAGTAGGGGGTATCGGTAGTGGTTGTAGGGGATGTTTGTGGTTTTGGTGGTCGGGGTATCGGTGGTGGTGGTGGCTGTTTTGGTTCTGTTAATGGTGGTGGTTGGGGTATCGGTGGTGGTTGTAGTGGTTGTAGGGGTTATATTAGTACTGGTGGTGGTTATTGTGGTGGTTGTAGGGGTTGTGTTGGTACTGGTGGTGGTTATTGTGGTGGTTGTAGGGGTTGTGTTAGTACTGGTGGTGGTGGTTGTAGGGGTTGTGTTAGTACTGGTGGTGGTTATTGTGGTGGTTGTAGGGGTTGTGTTAGTACTGGTGGTGGTGGTTGTAGGGGTTGTGTTAGTACTCCTGGTGGATGTGGTGGTGGTTGTAGGGGTTGTGTTAGTGCTGGTGGTGGTTATTGTGGTGGTTGTAGGGGTTGTGTTAGTACTGGTGGTGGTTATTGTGGTGGTTGTAGGGGTTGTGTTAGTGCTGGTGGTGGTTATTGTGGTGGTTGTAGGGGTTGTGTTAGTACTCCTGGTGGATGTGGTGTTGGTTGTAGGGGTTGTGTTGGTACTGCTGCTGGTGGTGGAACACAGGTGCTCATGCGAGTCCTTTCTCAAGTGCGTCGGCGATTGTGGTTTTCCTTCCATGTATGTATCCCTCCCTGTGTCGATGACATTCACTCAACAAGCGTGCTGGAGTGGCTCTGCCCACCGTCACCGGCGCTCGCTTCCGCGATTGACGCCGCCGCCACCGCTGGGTCCCCCCGCTCTGCAGGGTGCATGCTGGGTAACGCCACCATGGGGGGTGGCGGTGGGGGGTCAGTACGGTCGCTCACAAAAGCGCGTGGGGGGGGAGGTGGAGGGGCTGGCGCGATTGTGAGCTGCATTGGATTTTTCGCTGCCCGGCATCCTGTCCTGTCTCGGATTGACATCCTGCCTCCACTTCCTGTCTCCAGCGACGGGGGGCGGTTGTGGTTCCACAGCAGCCCTGAGTGGTGGTTGTTGTGGTGGTGGTTGTTGCGGTGGTTGTTGCGGTGGTACTGGCACGCCGGTACCACCGCGTTCACGCGATCTAACCCCAACAAAAACTCTTACGGTTACATACAATTTGTCTCTAATACCAAATTGTACGTGCTTATCGGAGGCGCGGTGTATGTAAGTTGAACTTCTTTTGTATTGTACGTAGCCAACCGCGGGGGAAGGAAGACAAACTAAACACGAGAAAGCAGTTTTAAAGAAAAAATGTTTCATAACCTTTGACCCTTGTCTGGACCCAATCGCCACACAGCTAAGCCAACTGTATCAGAATCAGAATATGTATTTCTGACTGGAGGAATCTGAGGAGCTATGAAGCTAATTTTTCACAGATGTCCAGTAGGGGGGGGGGGGATCAGAAAGTTACAACAACAAACAACACGTAAACACTATGGGAGTGCAAAGTAGAGAAAAGGTTAGCGGGTCGCTATATAATATCCAACGTCAATCGGTACAAGCTGTGAGAGCCTAAAACAGTAGTGGCAAGAGGGGGGGGGGGGGGGGTTCATTGGTATGGATGTAAATGTACGTGGAAATGTATCTATTTTTAAGTTACTAAAAAAAAGTTGCTTAGTTTCGCGACCAATATCCATAATACAGGTTTTTTTTGGGTTATATTGCGCAACTATAAATGTCTGTCGTGAAACCCGCCACCAGTCGGCAGCCAAGTTAGTAAGGTTTGTCACGTAAACAGAGCATGGCAATTCCTTACTGCGTAAATCCACAACATTTACAATCTACTCAGATTGTAAATGTTGTCGATTTGCTCTCCAACACCGGCGTGCTGTACTAGTGGCGGGTTTAACGACACATTTATATTCCACGCGATGTAACCCAAAAAACCTCTAATTATAAGAAGTTGCTTATTAACCCTTTCCTGTTCCAATGATGTACACGTACGTCATCGGTTTTTCTTCCGATTCCGGACGTTTACGTCGGCGGAACGGTAATCGATTCGCGAGTGAAAGGCCCACGCGGGAGGGCGCGTGGCACCAGTTTGGCTGTCGGCGGTCGTGCCGCTACAGTTCTCCGCGGTGAGCACTGTACAGCGTCCTTCAGAAAACAGCGGCACCGCTTCGCCTCTCGAAGCAAAATGGACGCTGGGCCGCCCGCGTTTTCCCCGAGATTCGGCGGTGAACGGGGGACATCCGCACGTTTTACCCTTTCACGTCTCGGAACGTGAAAGGGTGAAACGTTGAACAGATGTCGAGGACGAGTGTGGTGCTGACGGCTAAAGGGGCGAGCGAGGGCTCGGCCGTGGGTCACGTGCGTGGCTCCTTCCCGCGCAGTTCCCTTTGTCCTTGACGCCGCGTGTGCAGTACATGGTGATCCTGGTGCCCATGTTCATCGTGCAACTCGGCGTGTCCTGCACCTGCCTCGCCCTCAACGAGAACCAGCAGGTGAGACCACGGGAACCAGCTGCTGGTGAGACGGGAACCGCGCAAGTGCCAGCGAACCACGGCCGGGGTTCGGTGAGGGTAGTGGCGGGGGGGGGTCCTACGCAGGGTCAGGTCGAGGCCTTCGTTTCCACTCTAAGGATTTCCCTTGCGTGTGAGCACGTGTTCCCGTGCTGCCCCCAGCGGACATACAGCGTGACCCCCCCCCCCTCCCTTACCGCTTGTTTTCCGGTGGCAGATCCCAGCCGGGTCAGCGCACGGGTGCCCCTCCCGGTCTCCGGTGGGATTCTGATAATTTCTTTTCCCCACCGGCTATTTTGCCGAGCCGAGCCAGAACCAGAGCGTGGCGATGCTGCTGGCCTCACGAGACAACGTCTGTCCGAGTCTGGCTCGGGGGGGGGGGGGGGGGGGGGGAAGCAGGGCCATGTGGGGGCGGGGGTGGATTATTATTAGCGAGAGATGGCAGTGGAATTCGGGAGGTTTTCATCCAGCAGTGGATTTGACCATGACTGATGGTAATGTGATGCCACAGCAGCAATTGCCTCAGCGGTCTGTTAAGGCTACACGGGGGGGTGGGGGGGTGGATCTTTGTCCTGGGTGTTTGTGTACCCTTGTGTGTGTGCTGGGGAGCGGGAGTGGAGCGGTCAGCGCGCTGCGCTATGAACCTGGCAACCCGAGTTCGATTCCCGCTCACTGCCAACACCAGTGACGATTATCTGAACCGGTCCTGGGCCTCCCCTAGGTCGACTCGGCCTCAAATGAGTACCTGGTGCGGTGTGTAAACATCACCACTAGGGAGACAAAGGCGGTCGGGCGTGGTGCTGGCCACCCACCCCTCGTGTACCGTTGCAGCCTTCATAGATGCTCGCTTGACAGCACTTGCCCTAACAGTCTATTAAAGGCTACGTGGTGGATCTTTGTCTTTGTGTTCCGGTAGGACACCCTGTTGGAGTTGAGCTGGGCCAACGCCAACAACAAGACCCGCGAAGACGTTCAGAAGTACCTGCAGTGTTGTGGCTTCACCAACACCACGGAAGATCCGCTCTGCGCTGAGGTTTGCCGACCACAACACTCCCCCGCCACAACAACAGCCCCACGACCACCAACGCTGAGCTAACTGAGCGAGCTTACGGGCTCAAAGTCTGCTCAAGGGGAAACCGGATCTATTTGTAAATATCGCACCGGCTTGAATCCTCGGGAGACGCCCGCGAACTCGCACATTCCCATCGGTGAGTTCCTCTTGCAGGCGGGGACTCGTCACGTGGTCCGCATGCCCTGCCACCGCATGCCCTGCCACCGCATGCCCAGCCACCGCATGCCCAGCCACCGCATGCCCTGCCATCGCATGCCCTGCCACCGCATGCCCTGCCACCGCATGCCCTGCCACCGCATGCCCTGCCACCGCATGCCCTGCCACCGCATGCCCTGCCACCGCATGCCCAGCCACCGCATGCCCTGCCACCGCATGCCCTGCCACCGCATGCCCTGCCACCGCATGCCCTGCCACCGCATGCCCAAGCGGCGTCTGTTTGGCCAGAATAGAGGGGGCTCTACGGGCACGGCACGGGCTGGAGAAGAGATGGGCTGACGGTGGAGGCCAGTGGACTTGCCGATGACTGGTACCGGCGGCGCTATTGGGGCAGTTACGAGGCAGTTGCCCCCGACATCAACAGTGGAGGGATGGAGGAGCAATGCTCACAACAACGAACGGACCACCGGGTTGATAAAATGCAGAACTGTGACAGTGGGGAGCATAAGTGGCACATCTGGCAGTCGTCTTCTGGCCCTGTCCTGTGACCTCCTGTGAGCCTTCCACACCTGAAGTGATAGCCTCAGAGCGCACCTTGCCTGGTACAGGCGCCGTGGTAACCTGTGTCTGTGTACCGTGTGTCGTGTGTCGTGCAGGCTCACCCCAATTACACGCCGTGCAGCTTGGTCTTTGGCAAGTCCCTAGACGGACTCCTACGCGCAGTCGGGGGCATTGGACTCTTCTTTGCCTTCAGCCTGGTGCGTCCCCATCTTTGTTTCTCCCACCCCTTCTCGTCCATCTTTGTCCCTCACTCTCCCTGAGTCTCCCACTCCACAAATCACCCACGTCACCCCTCCGCGTGTCTCCCACTCTCCGTGTCTCCCACCGTTCCTTTCCCCGTGTGTCCCACATCCCCCAACTCCACAAATCTCCCACATCACCCCTCCCCGTGTCTTCCACTGTACCACTCCCCGTGTCTCCCACTCCCCAAATCACCCACGTCTCCCACTCCCCGTGTCTGACACACTCTCCTCCCCCTCCCCGTTGCGGTCTCCCCCCCCCCCCCCCCCCCCCGTGTGTTTGTCCGCCAGTTGCTGGGACTGTGGCTGACCCACCGCTACCGCAACCAGAAGGATCCGCGGGGTCACTCCGGGGCATTCCTGTAACCTTCTCCGCCTCCTCCACCTCCCTCCCCTCCTCCACCACCTCACCGCCACCCTCACCGCCTACCCGCAGCCGTTTATCTCCGGGTGGGCAGGGGGGGGGGGGGGTCAGTCACATGACGACGATTAAGTCGGTATCGGTTTTCTAAAACGAAACCCCGTTAATTCCACGAAGGCCGTTGCTCGGGCCTGTGTCCACGCCCTGCGGCCTCGTTGTTGAGGACGCGGCAGCCTGCGTAGTTGACCCTGTCGGGAGTAAACGCTAAAAACTGATTGAATCTTGGCCTGGGGGGCTCGCGGAGAAGGCCGCACGCAGCGCTGCCCTGTGGGTAATATTTGTACTGCCTGTGCACGGAACTACACCGGGAATGTCGGGCGTGCGACGTCTTTTTGCGCGCGTTTGCGGAGACGCGGTTTCACGTCAAGTCTGCGGTGGGGGGCGCTGTGCACGCAAGGCTCCCCCCGCGTTGCTTTGCGCCGTTAACGCTGTGGAGCTTTGCGAGCGACCGCTTTTTCAGTTTTTTTCTCTGCACCTTTGTGGGGGTCCTCCAAAAAGCCTCCCCCCCCCCCCACTCTCTTGTGCGCGGGACCCAGTATATATCCGCTCGCGTTATTTTTGGGGGAAATCGGCACGGGTTTGGTTTTGCGTTGTAATTTCCGCCTGCTTATGTTGCTGTGTAGATTCACAGTGTGTGGGGGCGGGCGGGCGGGCGGGCGGGCGGGGATGAGTTTCGGATTAAACACTTTCAGATTTTTGAGGACAATTTCTGAGCTTTGTTTTCACATTTTTTCCCCGATCGTTTTCACTGCGCGATGCGAGCGGCTGCTCAATGCCCGACGCGAGCGTCGTCACCGTCGTCACCGTCGTCACCGTCGTCACCGTCGTCACCGTCGTCACCGTCGTCACCGTCGTCACCGTCGCCTGTTACCGCGGGACACCAGGAAGAGGTTCCACGCGACGTCTTGATTTAAATGCGGATCGCATTTTTATTTTAACAAATTATACGGTGATGTTGCCGCCGCCGCCGCTGCATTGGCAGTAATTCGCACCAGCCCAGATAAATGACAGAAGACTCAATACATTAATAAGTAACGCTGTCTGGTCATAAATGAATCTAAAATCATTTACGTGCCATAAAGAAACGGGCCATTGTCTGTAGCGTTGCCAATTATTAACTTAGTTTTTTCTTTCTTTTAAGGCCCCACGCAGTCTTACTGACGAACGTGTCGACACTTGTACTGAATCGTCCGGTGAATGTAGCGCTCCTGTCGTTCGACGGTCCGTGTCTGCGCTCGCACAAAGATGCTCGGCGGGAGTTGGTGGGGGCGGTGATTGGCGTGAATCGGAGATTACGAGAGCCGGGCTCCGTAGGAGGATGGAGGAGGTATCGTGGCCGGGAGGTGACCTGTGGGAGTTGTGGAAGGTGGTGGAGGCATCGTCGGTGGGAGACGATGTGTGGGAGTTTGAATGTCGTGCTTCTGTTTGCAAGGGGAGCAAAATCATTGAATAAACGTGGTCACGTGGAGACGGGGGTCACACACTGGTCGATGTCTCTCACCTGTACGCGCGGTGCCACTCTGCCGTCTCGCATCAAGAGCCGAAGAAGCGATAAGCATTTCTCACCGCCTGGCCGAGGTGGCAAGGCATGAGTAGCAACCACAGCCCACAGTGAGTGTCAGTGGACGTGGTGTGCCCCGGGGTACGGTGGTGTAGCGTTTAGCACGCCACGCTACGAACCCGTCAAACCCGAGTTTGATTCCCGCTCACGGCCACCAACACCAGTGACGATTATCTGAACTGGTCCTGGGCCTCCCCTTGGCGGACTCTGCCTCAAATGAGTACCTGGTGCGGTATCTTAACATCGCCACTGGGGAGACAAAGGCGGCCGGGCGTGGTGCTGGCCATCCACCCCCTCGTGCGCTGTGCCGGCCTTCATTGGTGCTGCTCGCAAACAGCACTTGCCCCAATAGTCAGTTAAGGCTACACAGGGGATCTTTGTCTTTGGTGTGCTGGGTGGGCACCCAACCAGGTAAATGGCCCGGCAGAAATATATCCCGGTTGTCCCACGGGCGTCGTGTCAACACGAGAGGAGCAGCACATCTGGAGATGTTGCAGTGAGCAGCGCGAAACCTTCACATTCGTGAAACAGCCCGCAGAAGCGGATATCGCAGAGCTTCCTCCGATATCCCTTCTGCAAGTTATCTCTGGTCCAAATTCGCACCTGATTTAGCACGGGCGGCTATGTATGGTGCGAAAGAAGTTCTCCGTACAAATTGCAGGAGCAATTTCCCACCCGCTCTAACGTTTTTCATTCATGTTCATCGCATGACTCTCGAACCGACATCTTTAATTCTGTAATTTTTTCCCACAAATATGTACAGAACCAAATGTAGTGAGATGGGGGGGGGGGTGGTGTTTTTGTGCAGTGGTGACCGGGCTGAGACCACCAACTCACTCCACTTGAGAAGACCGGTTTACTCGGAACGCGGTCTCTTTAAGTCTGTGGGTGTCTGTGTGAGTCACTGGTGACCTGGCTGAGACCATCAACGCAGTACACTTGAGAAACTCTGGATAACCGTCTCGCTAACCTCATGAGCCACCTGGCCACGGTCGCCCTGCCACCGATGATGCCATGCTCGTGCTGACCAGCAGGGGGCAGGGGAGCACTCGCCACGTGGAGCACGTGACCTCTACCTGGCCGCCCCCCCCCACTCTGAACCCTCTCCCCGTCACCGCCCGCTGTGAAAACAGACTCTGCTCCGTGCAGCAGAAGCAGCAGCGTGGAGGCCCTGACGCAGCCTCTCTCTCTCCTCGTCTCTACTGACCCTTGGCTCCCGTTTCTCCCACCACCATCTTCCCCCTTACTTCCCATTCTCTCTCTTCTCTCTTCCCTCTCCTCTGCCTTCCACTTTCTCCCGTACAGGAATCGCCTCGACTCCACTCCTCGTAATGTAACAGGGAGGGGGTCGTGGGTTCGATCCCGACCCTGACGGCAGCCTGCTGCTGTATATTTGGAGTTTGCGGTGTCTCTCTCCCCGCGGTCGCGTGGATTTTTCTCCGGGGGCTCCGTTGTGTTTCCTTCCCCTTTCACATTTAGAACCAACATCTCGCGTTTCGGTTGTATTTTGGCTGCTTTAGATTTCCACGTGACGAGAAAGCCACTTTTGTTGAGCTATCATTTTTTTCGGGGGGGGGGCAGAGCTTTGTGACGTCATTTGAGAGGGGGTCTGACTTTTTGTGACGCCGTGTGACGAGGGGGGGGGGGGAAATCGTCTAAAATCGCGTGACGTCATTTATGGACGGCCCCTTTATGGCTCAGTGGGCCTTACCTGGTCAAATAATAATAAAGTTGATAATTGTTTTTTTACCCCTCTATCTGGCAACAAAACTGACACCTTTTTACAAGGAGTCATGTTTGCATAGACCACAATACCTGCAGTAGTAATGCAAACAAAAAACACAACTCTGATAATGTGCACTGTCCTTGAAGTTCATTGGTCCACACCCGAGACAGCTTTCCTTAGAGCCTAGTCTCACATGGGTTGGACCAGATGACGCCAAAAGGCGCACAACTCAAAGACAATGCACCATCAGAGTATGAGAGCTCGGGGTAAGTATTTACACTATTGGAACCTCATTTGCCAGTAAGAATATAATTTGTTTTTTACCCTTCTATCTGGCAACAAAACTGACACCTTTTTACAAAAATATGTAAGACGAGGCTCTAAGGAAAGCTGTCTCGGGTGTGGACCAATGAACTTCAAGGACAGTGCACATTATCAGAGTTGTGTTTTTGTTTGCATTATGACTACAGGTATTGTGGTCTATGCAAACATGACTCCTCGTAAAAAGGTGTCAGTTTTGTTGCCAGATAGAAGGGTAAAAAGCCAATTATCATATTTTTACTGGCGGCTGCCGGGTGGACGGAGGTCCCCGTGGCAGAGGTCGCAAACGGGTTTTGATTCCTTACCCGTACCCATACCCGGCCGCACCAGGTACCCTACCCGAAATGAGTGACAAACGGTTACTCACCAGTGACTCACGGCCTACCCGTACCCAGCCAGGTACGGATACCCGTTTGCGACCCTGGTGCGGCCGGGTACGGGTAGCCGGGTACGGTTAGCCGGGTATCGGGTACCCGATTGCGACCTCTGCCCCGTGGTGGTGGTGGCGGTGGGCGTGGTCAGTACGGGACGTGACGTCACTGTGACCGCACCAGGCAGACGACGGCGTCTACCGCAAGGAGCGCGCGCGCCGCGTTGCAGCGAACTCTGGCCCCGAGAAGGCGACCTTTGACCCTCCTAAAGCAACAAAAACAACTCGGCGCACTGGGGAGTCGATAACAGCCGCGTTGTGGCCTTCGAAGGAAAGCAACCGCGGTGGTAACGGGGCGACGTTTCGGGCAACGTTCCTTGCGTAGAAAAATTGCACGTGCGATATGAAGAAGGATCGTTGCCCGAAACGTTGTTGTTGATCATGTTGTCGGCTTTGCTTGTGTGCCAACTGCCAACGCAGCACCAGCAAATTGTTTGTTCACCCCCCCCCCTGCCCACCTAAATTTTTACAGCTTTTCACTCTTCAACCTTTGACACGTTCGCAGCGGCAATGTTTATCACACATCGGCATCGCCAACAGCCGTGATGCATCATCCACTGCTGGATGAAGGCGAACCTGCCTGCCATTCCCCCCCGCAAGCCGCCATGCGATGACTGACAAATCCAACCGGAGTCGATTTCATCGCTCCGTCTCCACGGGGGAGAAGCTGACCCCTTTGGGCCGCGTGGCCTCGCCTCTAGGCTGCAGCTCTGTGTCTGGGCCACATCGTCCGCCAACCCCGCTAGCCGAGCCGAGACCTTTGAACTTTGACTCCACGACCCACGTGCCCTCTCTAACCCGCTCGTCCGTGTCTCCCTCTTTCAGTTCTTGCCGTGAACTCCATTGTTGTACTGTACTCTTCGTGCTTCTATTGGTCCCCCCCTTAGCTGATCAAGGTGGCGCGGGGGGGTTGTGCAGGACAGACAGCTGTCGGCGTGCTTGATGGCGAGAGAGTTCACGAGGAGGAGGGGGGGAGTGGGGACAGACAGACCCGATCACCGTGCGATGAGGAATGAGAGACACAGGGACGGTTCTGGAAGGGAAGGGCGAGTGGAGAACTCGGGTGGGGGTAGGGTCGGAGTAAGGCTCTTGTAGGGCCAATGCACTTCTGTTTCGTAGGCCTTCAGTGATTAATTCTAGATTTGAAGCTTTCGTGACTGCAAGGATTCATATTCTTAGGTTTTTTCGGTAAAGTCACGTAGGATAAAAAATTAAAATTAATAAAAGTAAAATAAAAATCGACGTTGTGTTGCTTCCGAAACGTCGTGATTTTTATTTCATTTTTATTCATTTTAATTTTTAACCTACGTGACTTTACCGAAAAAACCTAAGAATATACGTCAGTGATTACTTTCGAACAGCTGGTGCTGCTGCTGCTGCCCTCATTCGATGGGAGCGCGCGCGCTGTGTGCCGCACATAAGCAGATCGAATTTGAAATAATTGAGAAAAAAATCAAGGTATTCCTAGAAATACTTTAAGCAAAAATGTCTTCGACTATTTTTTTCCTATGATTATTATATTGGATGGCGCAGCTTTAAAAGGATGCCGTTCATTTTCATCGATGACAAATTCAATGTTCTGACAGGACATTTAAAAAATTAACCCGTAAAAACAAAGTTTTTCACTATCAATCCTTTATATGCGTGGCATCGGGGCGGCTAGAGTCCTCTCGTCCTCTGGCTTGAGATGGCTGCCACCTATGGGTCAGATGATTGTGTGCCAGCATTAACCAATTGGTAAATAAATATTTAAAAAAAATTCCTAAACAGTGTAAAATTTTGGACAAAAAATGTCACGAAAATTCATTGTCACGCACAACGAGTCTGTGTGCAAAATGTCAGCTCGATTGGATCACGGGAAGTGGGTTAAAAAACGACCGAAAGATTTGCACGGTCCTAAGCAAGCAAGCAAGCGAACTTAATATAAAGGATTTAAAAATGGATAATCACGACATCATCATTTAAGATAACTTATCTTTGCACATGATTGCGTAACATTACGTTTCTGGTGTTGTTTGCGTTTTCAAAACGTGTTTACTCTATGAAATTGGGCACGAATAAACGTACACATAGACAAAAATAAATATCCTACTGTAAAATAATTATCGTATTTACTATACCGTACCTTACCATTCTAATCTCGAAGACTCTGCATCACGGGGCAATGTTCCAAGCCAATGTGCAGCCGAACGACTTCAAAGATAAACCAAGGTCTCCGATTGGCTGAAAGAGGCCTCCACGGTGATTGGTCGGCAGGCTGGGCGTTGAAATTATTGTAGGGGGAAAAAATAGTAACTACTGGCCAAGACTAATTAGAGAATCTGTTAAAACTGAGAGAAATACTAATTAATTTAACCGTTCGGATAGCTATAGGCTTAGTGCTGCTTGGAAGCGAATCGTCAAATGATACTTTGTTTAAATGCATGCCTATACAGGCCGCCATACTTCAATAGTGGTTACCGTTGGTACGGCTATTTAATTGCACACAATCGACAGAAAGTACAAGATCAATGGGCTCGCATAATGCATCATGTATGTTGACCCATTAACCTCCCCCTATTCGCACAAGAAGAGTGCACAAGTGTTGTCACCACATCTATGCCTCTTTATAAGGAACGAAACAGGTGGACTTCTCCACAAATCTGGCTTGTCGCCTGATGAAGCTAGTTGCAATTACTGGCAAAACGTCGTACTCAGATTGTAAATGTTGTGGCTCGGCTCTCGAACACATCGGTTAGTGCTGTACTAGTATACTACACTTTACACTACACTATACACTACACTATACACTACACTATACACGACTATACACTACACTATACACGACTATACACTACACTATACACTACTATACACTACACTATACACTACTATACACTACACTATACACTACACTATACACGACTATACACTACACTATACACTACACTATACACGACTATACACTACACTATACACTACTATACACTACACTATACACTACTATACACTACACTATACACTACACTATAGACTACACTATACACGACTATACACTACACTATACACTACTATACACTACACTACTATACACTACACTATACACTACACTATACTATACACTATACACTACACTATACACGACTATACACTACACTATACACGACTATACACTACACTATACACTACTATACACTACACTATACACTACTATACACTACACATTAGTGCTGTACTAGTGACGAATTGACCACGTTCTGTTTACGTGACAACCCTTACTAGTTGGCTGTGTCGGGTGGTGGCGGGTTTAACGACACATTTATATATTTACGCGATCTAACCCATAACAACCCCCACCTGTATGATGGAGGAAAAGGTGTAAATGAGAATACGGCGGGAAAACAGAACGTGACCCTGAGGTGAGGGTTGGGAGAATCCGTCAGAGGTGGCAAGGGGCAAGGGGATTGGGCTCAGGGAAAAGAGTGAGGGGGCATTCGAGAACGGGGGCAATGGGACGATGTGAAAGGGCAGAAGCACGAGGGGGGTAGGAGGGGGGGTGGGGAGGGTGGGTGGGAGGAGGGGTGGAGGGGGGTGGGAGGGGGTGGGAGAGGGTGGTGGGAGGGGGGGTGGGAGGGGGTGGGCGGGGTGGGAGGGGGTGGGAGGGGGGTGGGAGGGGGTGGGACCGTGTGGGTGGAGGGGGTGGAGGGGGTGGGAGAGGGTTGGGTGGGAGGGGGGTGGGAGGGGGGTGGGAGGGGGGGGGGAGGGGGGTGGGAGGGGGGTGGGAGGGGGTGGGAGGGGGTGGGAGGGGGGTGGGAGGGGGTGGGAGGGGGGTGGGAGGGGTGTGGGAGGGGTGTGGGAGGGGGGTGGGAGGGGTGTGGGAGGGGTGTGGGAGGGGGGTGGGAGGGGGGTGGGAGGGGGGTGGGAGGGGGGTGGGGGAGGGGTGGGAGGGGGGTGGGAAGGGGGGTGGTGAGGGGGGTGGGAGGGGGGGTGGGAGGGGGTGGGAGGGGGTGGGAGGGGGTGGGAGGGGTGTGGGAGGGGGGTGGGAGGGGTGGAGGGGGGGTGGAGGGGGGTGGAGGGGGTGGGAGGGGGTGGGAGGGGGGTGGGAGTGGGTGGGAGGGGTGTGGGAGGGGTGTGGGAGGGGTGTGGGAGGGGGGTGGGAGGGGGTGGGAGGGGGTGGGCGGGGGGTGGGAGGGGTGGGAGAGGGTGGGAGGGGGGTGGGAGGGGGTGGGAGGGGGGTGGGAGGGGGTGGGGAGGGGGTGGAGGGGGAGGGGGGTGGGAGGGGGGTGGGAGGGGGGTGGCGTTCGACGGGAAAGTTCAAGTCCAAGCACGAATCTCGGGCCCAGATTGTGGCCCCTAGTAACGTCGTCGTCCGAGTCGTGACACCACCACGCTCTTGTTTCAACAACAACAACAACAACCACCACCACGATTGCGTGTGACGATCGCCGGACTGGGTTACGACCTTTGGAGCGGTTTCGCCCGATCGACCCCGGGACCGCCGGATTATTATTGGAAGCAGCCGGACAATAAAATAATCGATGATCAGCTGCATTGTATAATCGCTGTGGTCTTGTTTTTAGTCATGGCGAAAGAGGCTGGGGAGTAGGATGGGGGTGCTGTGTGCAGTGCCGGACTAAGATATTGCGGGGCCTGCAGCATATGTGGTTATAAAGGGGTCCTAAATAAAAAACACACACATACAATTACTAGTAAAGTAATTGTATTTTCTCATTTGCTATACAGCCAGATAATACGACAAATCGCTAACCTTAAACACCCGGTCGTTCATAAAAGTCGAAGGCGGTATAGTACTATAGTCATAGAGCAAGTGCAGAATCACTGAACCGGAATTGATAGCTTGAAAGCATTTAGCGCGGGGCCCTTGAAAGTGCGGGGCCCGTAGCAGCTACTTATGTAACTACTACTACATATGTAGCTACTACATATGTAGCTACTACATGTAGCTACTACATATGTAGTTCCTGCGATAATCTGGCACTGTCTGTGTGACAGTTGCGTGGAGGTTACGGTCGGTCACTAACCAAACTAAACTCATTTTATTTGACCAGGTAAGATCCCACTGAGCTTAAATAGCTCCTGTTTCAGAAGCGACCTGGCCACAAACGACAAGTTGCTCAACGAAGTGGCTTGTCATCACGTGGCAATTTATAGCAGTTGAATGTTGGTGAAGCGCTTTTAATCGGGAAATGATTTGCGCTGCGAAGGTTAAACGAGCGTAGGATAATTATTGTTGTCTCACGATCTAACGCGGCCGACCTTGCATCGCACGTCGCCCAACTCCTGCGGAACTGTCGATCAACCACGGAGCTGCCCCCCCACCCACCCACCCAGCCCCCCACTTCTGTCTTGTTGAAGCGGCCGAGCGCTCGAGAGACAACGAATGGCAGTCTTGTTTTGCGAGAAGCAGTGAGGTGGTGGGTGGGTGGTTGAGTTTGGCAAATCGATTGGGATGAGTTCCGTGTCACACAGAGACCCATAGACTCACACAGAGACCCGTAGACTCACACAGAGACCCGTAGACTCACACAGAGACCCGTAGATTCACACAGAGACCTGTAGACTCACACAGAGACCCGTAGACTCACACAGAGACCCGTAGACTCACACAGAGACCCGTAGACTCACAGAAACCCATAGACTCACAGAGACCCATAGACTCACACAGAGACCCGTAGACTCACACAGAGACCCGTAGACTCACACAGAGACCCATAGACTTACACAGACACATAGACTCACACAGAGACCTGTAGACTCGCACAGAGACCCATAGACTCACACAGAGACCCATAGACTCACAGAAACCACTAGACTCGAACAAAGACCCGTAGACTCACACAGAGACCCATAGACTCACACAGAGACCCGTAGACTCACACAGAGACCCGTAGACTCACACAGAGACCCGTGGACTCACACAGAGACCCATATACTCACACAGAGACCCGTAGACTCACACAGAGACCCGTAGACTCACACAGAGACCGTAGACTCACACAGAGACCGTAGACTCACACAGAGACCCGTAGACTCACACAGAGACCCGTAGACTCGAATAGAGACCCGTAGATTCAGAGACCCATGGACTCAGAGACCCGTAGACTCACATCAAGACACAGCTTTAAATAGATGCAAGCTGCCACAGTCGTGTGATGGGTCACCACACTGGGCTTGCAATCCAATGAGGGGCCGGTTCGATTCCTCCTGCTAGCACTAGCAGCCAAGTTGTAGCAAAATAAAATTGACACGGCCAAACGCGTCAACAGAATATCGTTTATTGTTACAAACGGCAATATCACAGGAAGTCCAATGGCTTCCGATCACAACAGCTCGTGTATATTGCGTTTTGCTTTGATCACGTAAACGAAATGTTCCAAAGAAAAGTGAGCTTCTTCAGTCATGATAATTGTTTTTTTACCCTTCTATCTGGCAACAAAACTGACACCTTTTTTACAAGGAGTCATGTTTGCATAGACCACAATACCTGCAGTCATAATGCAAACAAAAAACATAACTCTGATAATGTATGCACTGTCCTTGAAGTTGATTGGTCCACACCCGAGACAGCTTTCCTTAGAGCCTAGTCTCACATGGGTTGGACCAGATGACGCCAATCAACTTCAAGGACAGTGCATACATTATCAGAGTTGTGTTTTTTGTTTGCATTATGACTGCAGGTATTGTGGTCTATGCAAACATGACTCCTTGTAAAAAAGGTGTCAGTTTTGTTGCCAGATAGAAGGGTAAAAAAACAATTATCATATTTTTTACTGGCAAATGAGGTTCCAATGGTGTAAATTCTTCAGTCATTTTCTTTCATAAAATCTTCCCCAACTCAGGCCCCCCCTCCCCCCCCCCCGAGCGATGGATTTTTGTCTCGGTATAGCCACAAGAGATGAAGCCGGCCTGGGCAATGTGAGCGGTGCGTGAGTGGAATGAGTGAGTGGAGTGAGTGAATGAGTGAGTGGAGCGAGTGAGTGGGGTGAGTGAGTGGGGTGAGTGAGTGGGGTGAGTGAGTGAAGTGAGTGAGTGGAGCGAGTGGAGCGAGAGAGTGAGTGAGTGAGGAGGAGAGAGGCTGAGAAGCGGTGGCTGGGAGGGATGATGGCGTCATGCACGACCGGGCCTTGTGGGTAGGGACCCAGTCAGCGGGGGGAGCGACCACCTCGACCGTGGGGCATTGTGGGTAGGGACCCAATCAGCGGGGCGAGCGACCACCTCGACTGCGGGGCATTGTGGGTAGGGACCCAGTCAGCGGGGCGAGCGACCACCTCGACTGCGGGGCATTGTGGGTAGGGACCCAGTCAGCGGGGCGAGCGACCACCTCGACTGCGGGGCATTGTGGGTAGGGACCCAGTCAGCGGGGTGAGCGACCACCTCGACCGTGGGGCATTGTGGGTAGGGACCCAGTCAGCGGGGGGAGCGACTACTTCGACCGTGGGGCATTGTGGGTAGGGACCCAGTCAGCGGGGGGAGCGACCACCTCGACCGCGGGGCATTGTGGTCGTGGCCCAGCCGCGTCGACATCGGCCTCGCCTCCCAGAGCTGGCGTCGGGAGGCGTCACGCGCATTCTGTCCTCGATGACGTCCCACGGATCCGGCTGCGGTCGCTCGTCGGCTGGCTGGAGAGTCTGGCGACGGAAGCTAAATCACTCTCAGGCTTCTGAGGCTCCAAATCACCATCGAGGATGCAAACAACACCTGGCGGGGGGGGGGGGGGGGGGACAGGATCCTTTTCACCAAGAGTTGAAAATTCACGTCCAGCTCTCTCTGTGTGTGTGTACGTACGGTTAACTTCTTTCGCACCATACGTAACCAACCGCGCCAAACGGGAGGCGCGGTTGTAAAATGTCAGGCCAACGGGCCCGCGGACGTGGCCATCGCAGAGCCGCCTTTGAGGTCCCCCTCCAAGTGACCTTGGAGGTCACACGGCGAGGGACGGTGCGGGGACGCACGGCGCGCCACCCACGGTCGTCGCCATCGCCGCGGGCGACCGGTACCGGTACCTGCGCAGGGAGTCCCAGTTCCACGAGCTGTAGCAGGTGGCAGGCCAGGTGGAGGGCGCAGCGCGCAGCTTCCACGGGGGCAGCGTACGTCCTGCGGTGCACGCGGGCAAAGACAAAGACCCCCCCCCCCGTGTTGCTGACACGGGCATGCTAGGGCAAGTGCTGTTCGCGAGTTCGCGAGGGGGCTCGTGCCCATTGCCCCCCTCTCCGCCCCCCCCCCCCGAATCGAACGGTGGCACGGCCGAGCGCCAGGGTGGGGGAGGGATGGGAGGTGGGGCGGGTGGAAGGACGCTCACCGCTTGTCCATGATGAAGCTGTAGCTGCTGAGTGCCAGCAGGATGGACGCAAGGAGCGCGAGGACTTCAGCCTGCGTCGCCGCCTGTGGGGGCAGAGGGTGACATCCGGCGCTCAGCTCGAGCGGGGAGCCGCCGCGCCCCCCCCATCCCTCCCTCCCCCTCCCGGCGGCCGGGAGACTTCACAAGGGCAGAGTGTTGCGAGGGACATGCTGAGGCCGCCAGCGTTGTTGACGCACTCCCGGTTGCAAGGCCCTGGGGGGTCTGGGCGTCTCTACTTGCCCCCTCCCTTTCCTCTCTCGGGAGGTTACAGCTATCGTGCTATCGAGGTTACAGCTATCGTGCTGTGACGGTTCCACCTGAAGACGGAAGCTTGTGTTGCCTCCGAAGCGCCGTGATTTTTTTTACTTTTATTAATTTTAATTTTTTACCTACGTGACTTTACCGAAAAAACCTAAGAATATAGGTTTACAACGGTCCCGTCAGAGAAACGGAGACACTACCACGGAGAATGGGGGGGGGGGGGCAGCGGAGAGGCACTCGGCCCCCCAAACTGTGTTCCCCGTTGATCGAGCTGTTGCCTGGTGGGACACACGGACGAGCGCACGAGCGTTGTTCGTCGCGCACAGACACTGGGAGCCCCGTGTCGGGCGATTCTATGGGCCGCAGATCGAATTCGCAACCGGGACGTTTGCTGAGACCGCAGGAGGAGTCCGAAGAGCCGTAAGAAAGCTCTTCTTCACAGACGTCCGGCAGGGGGCCACTGGGGCGAGGACGTGACAACAACGAGCAACGACAACAACAACAACAACAACACAATGGCGGTGCAGAGTATAGGAAAGGCGAGCGAATCGCTTTAAAAAATATACGCAAATAAAACGAAACTTTTTGGTTTTAAATCTTGCCAGGTAAAACCACCCGAGCTATTAGGTTCTTTTTCAGAAGCGACCCGGCCATCGCGAATGAGATCTCGACGAAGCGGCCCGATCATCGCGTGCACATTCACGGCAACACCGCAAATGGCGGCGGCGTCGGCGGTGACGTCACAACGAGCGCCGCTGCGTCTGCGAGCCGCCGCGTCGGCGTTAACGGGAAGCCGTGTGGTGGGGGGGGGGGTGTTTGAGGTGTGTGGGGGGGGGTGGGATGTGTGAGGTGGGGGGGTGGGGGGTGTGGGGAGGGGTGGTGGGGTGGGTGGGGGGGTGGGATGTGTGGGGAGGGGTGGTGGGGTGGGTGGGGGGTGGGGTGTGTGGGAGGGGGTGAGGTGTGTGGATGGATGGATGGGGTGTGTGGGGGGGGTGAGGTGTATGGGGGGGTGAGGTGTGTGGGGGGGGTGAGGTGTGTGGGGGGGGTGAGGTGTATGGGGGGGTGAGGTGTGTGGGTGGGGTGGGCACGTGAGTGACTGTTCTCGACAGCACGGCGGCGGCTCCGGGCCGACGGGGCCGTTCGATAGAAAATCCGCTCAGCAGCAGCGGTGACAGAGCGCTCCAGTCGCTCCTCGCCCTCACCGGGGGGGGGGGGGGGCGAGGTGCCCTACGACCCCGTCCTCACCTCGTTGCCGGCCATGAGCTTCTCGTAGAGGCCGAAGCCGAGTGCGTAGTGCGCCGCGACGTAGGCCTGCACCCACCCGGGATGCGCCGGGTCGTAGGGCACCTCGCCCCCCGTTATCTGCACACGGGCGCACGCACGCCCCAGCCTTCATCAATCCACTGCTGGATGGGAGCCGGCCTCCACAGTCGCACGCCGCGTCGGGGATTCGACCGAGCCGTAACGGCGCCGGTCGAACTTCACTTAATTTTTTGTCGAGCGTAGACGCAACCGAGACGTCTCTCAGTGAGCCTCGCGGACTGTTAGGGCTGTTCAGTTGGCTGCTGCAAGACCCGTACCGTACCAGATCTCGGTACAAATCAATTCCTGCCACCCCAGATGTTGGATGCCCATTCCTTGTCTGGGTCAAATGCGAGACGCTGGAGCCATTGATTCGTGTAAAAAAAAATATCGGTTGGGCCATGAAATAATCCGGTAACATTTCCACAGCGACAACCCTCCACCACCAAACAAAGCCGCCACGTGGCGTGGTGCGAGCGTTCAGCTTCAGCCCAGCCGCCCGTGGAGTCGCAGAGCGATTCTCACGACCGACCTTAGCTGCGCGAGGTACGCGACGCTTCTCTTGAAACTGCGTAGAGCGTCTTCAGAACGAGATCCTGAAGATGGCCGGGGGGTCACAGCCAAGGGGTTGCCACGCCGGGGGGTCATGGCCAGGGGTCACCACGCCGGGGGTCACGGTCAGGGGTCACCATGCCAGGGGTCATGGTCAGGGGTTGCTATGCCAGGGGTCATGGTCAGGGGTTGCTATGCCAGGGGTCATGGTCAGGGGTCGCTATGCCAGGGGTCAAAGCCAGGGGTCACAGCCAGGGGTCCCCACGCCAGGGGGTCACGGTCAGGGGTCACCATGCCAGGGGTCACGATCAGGGGTCGCTATGCCAGGGGTCAAGGCCAGGGGTCGCCACGCCAGAGGTCACGAGCGACGGAAGACAGAGACCTTGGGGATGTCGTCGAGGCAGCCCAGCCTGGGCTTCCCGGGGGCCCAGCCGGGGCCCTTGATCACAACCCAGAGGCGGTGGCACCAGCCTGGCGTCGTCCAGAATGTGCGCCAGATGTGCCGGAAGTGGACGTACTGAGAACCGAAACGTTGGCAGAAGACGAGTCAACGTTCCGTGGTCGTGGTGGTGGTGGGGTGATGGTGGTGATGGTGGTGATGGTGGTGGTGATGGTGGTGGTGGTGATGGTGGTGATGGTGGTGTTGGTGGTGGTGATGGTGGTGGTAGTCGTAGTGGTGGTGATGGTGGTGGTGATGGTGGTGGTCGTGGTGGTGGTCGTGGTGGTGGTGGTGGTGATGGTGGTGGTGGTCGTGGTGGTGATGGTGGTCGTGGTGGTGATGGTGGTGGTGGTGATGGTGGTGGTAGTCGTAGTGGTGGTGATGGCGACGCTCGGCAGAATCGTAGGGACCCTAAGAGCTCACAGGGGGCCCCCTTTTCAAATTCACGATCTGAAGAAAAAATCGGTTGCGTCAGACATCGGCTCGAAATCAAATCCGATAAGAACACGACGTGCGAATTAAGGAGCGTAAGATAACTCATTAAACCTCTCTCGGTGTTGGGTGCTCCCATCTTTTCCCAACGGCATCTGGGCGGCGTATGAAGAGTCGGCCCAGAAACCCTCGAGAGCGGCTCTCTGAACTCGCTCAGTCTTGTGTAGGAAGTCCCGCTGCCAGCCAGCCAGCGGTAGCGGGAGCCAGCAATTGCAGGGCTGCGCCTTTAAACTAAACTATTTTTTCTACTTTACTAGGTAAGGCCCCACTAAACTGTATAGCTCTTTATCAGAAGTGACCTGGCTATCACAAATGATTGCTCAACGAAGTGGCTTATCATCATCATCACGTGGGAATTTACAGCAGCCGAAAACTCTTGTAATATGACAATATATCCGGCTCACTGACGTATCACACCTTGCCATGGTGATTGGCTCTGCCGGTCCTGGTTTACAGCCAATGGGGGGAAGCCTAGGGGCATGGCCCTGACGTAATGGAAAGGTGACAGCTATGGAGATTGGTTCTGCTGGCTTTGGCCTCAGCCAATGGGGAGATGAGTCAGGGGCGTGGTCCCGGGAGATGACGAGGGAGCCTGGAAGATTCGATGCAGGCTAACGAGGATTGGCTGAAGCGTACCACGTGACCCAGGGATTAAATAGGGGTAAAGAGGAACGACACGGGGTCAGAACGGGAACCAACGGAGGAAGGAGCCACGCGAGAGTGGGGCTCCGAGTTGCCACGTGGCAGTGCGTCTCTCTCGGTCTATCTGTCCCTTCATGTTGTCTATCAGCAGTGTGAAGTAGATGTAACCCAAAGTGAATAAAAGACGGATTCCAGAAGTCGTCTCAAGGAGTCTTATTACACTCTCTCAACGCGTGAGGTTGATTCTAAATGTGGAGGGGGGAAACCGGAGGGCCCGGGCAAACATTAACGGAACCACGGGGGGGGAGACAGAGAAAGAGAGAGAGAGACGCAAACTCCAAATGTGACCTTCACACGCAGGGTCGACCACGAACCTGCACCACCCAGGGGTTGAAGGTGTTGATGTTGTGGGTGAGTCCGTACACGACCTTCTCGCCCTCCCATTGGAAGGTCCCTTCAAGAGACAGCGACACAATGAGCCGTAGTCTTTGGTTCTTTCGGTAAAGTCACGTAGGTGAAAAAAAAAACAGATATGTGGAAATCCTCTCCGTAGAGGTGGTTCATTCTAAGAACCAAGGAGTATGGATCCTTGCAGTCACGAAAACTTCAAATCTAGAATGAACCACCTCTACGGGGAGGATTTCCACATATCTGTTTTTTAATTTTTTACCTACGTGACTTTACCGAAAGAACCAAAAAGTATGGATCCTTGCAGTCACGAAAACTTTAAATCTAGAATGGATAATGAGCCGGCTTTGTTTGAAGGGGGCCCGCCCACCTCCACCCCGGGCCATCGTGCGCCGCACGGCGCGTCGCAAAGAGGGGAACCCCCAGCGGCAGCTGTCCCCGTGCGGCGTAAAGTGACTTTCGCCAGCTGGCCCGCAGGCGGGAGTTAGTTTCGCCGGTAGGGAGGCTGCGCGGGGGCAGTAATTACGAGATTCGTAATCCCGGTTGAGTGATTAAGGGGGCCGTTCCTTTTCGTAATCTGGAACATTTAGGCCACGATGGGCAGCTCTTGCGGACGACGGCGCGCGGTATATCTATGGTCGCAGTATTAACCAGGGCGGCCACTGGAGTCGAAACCGCGAGCCTCTGCCGCAAGTGGTAGCCAGACGCGCCACCGCTGGGCTGCGCCGACGTTGGCGTGCGTGCGTGTGTGTGTTCGTAGGAGCGTGCGTAGGAGCGTGCGTGCGTGTGTAGGAGCGTACGTGTGTGTAAGAGCGTGTGTGCATGCGTGTGTAGGAGCGTGCGTGTGTGCGTGTGTGCGTGTGTGTGTGTGTAGGAGCGTGCGTGTGTAGGAGCGTGTGTGTGTAGGAGCGTGCGTGTGTAGGAGCGTGCGTGTGTAGGAGCATGCGTGTGTGCGTGTGTAGGAGCTTGCGTGGGATCTTTGGGGGGCAGCGAGTTACCGAACAAGCGATCCCAGATGATCAGCGTGCCACCGTAGTTCTTGTCGATGCAGTACGGATTGCGGCCTAGGGCACGATCGCGACACGCGTGGTTAGACAACAACAACAACAACAACGACGACAACAACAACAACGACGAGAGACGCTGCGTCTCGCTGGGCGTAAACCCGAACCCTTTGAGCGAGGTTCGAACTGCGGTTGTCTTTGACCCACCAATCAATTAAAACTAAAACGGTCGGATTTGTTGGGGCCAATCTCCAATGTAGCCAATCACACGAGCGCGCCTCGTTCCGCCGATGTGACACCGATTGCCGAAACCAGTCCCCGGGGTTGTTGTTGTTGTTGTTGTTTTGTTGCTGCTCACGTCGAACCAATGCACTCCTAGAATGAACGCGTCGTTGTAAAAAAAAAAATCTTCGTCGGATACGAGTGGGATGCGTGTCACCGTCCGCCCGCTGACGCCGCAGACGCGGCGACGCGGCGGGCTCACCGTGGTGGACCCGGTGGTGGCTCGGGGTGTTCAGCACGTGCTCGAGAGGTCCCAGGGAAGTGATCATCTGCAACGGTAACGTCCCGCGCGTGAGTTGGCGCAGCAACCCACCTCCGTGTCCCCGCCGGCGGGGGTGGGGCGGGTCTCCAGCGACGCGATTCTTGTTCGCCTCGCGACGGGGATGTTGCAGCTGCCGCGGTGCCGCGGTTGACCCCTGTGGGGCGGCGCCGTGGGTCCCGGCGGCGGTCAGCGCGTTGGGCCGGCTGTCGTCACGGAAGGGTTTTTTTTTGCGGTTCGAATCCAGCGGGTCACCCCGGTTTAACACTGCGGCGCCGTGGCATGAAACCGTAAAATGCTTCCGCGTCGTCCGTCGCACTCACGAGGGACGCGAAGGATCCCGGGTGCTCTGGGTTTCATCGCCCTTTGTATTCAATCAGCCAAAGAAAAAGACGAAGAACAATAATAGGATTTTCAGGTAGGGGGGGCAACCCCTCCAGCAATGAAAAATGATAGAGGAGTTGTTAGTAAGTAAGGACTTGTTAGTTGCTTTTTATTCGACGCGTGTGCGGCGATAGCGCAGCATCGATCGAGGGTCGAATTCGAACCGCGATGCCTTCAGGGAAGTCGTGTACTGTATACGCAACTGCGCACAATTCTGTGAGTCACTTATAACTGCTTTGATGTCCTATCATCTCATAGAGTCCCTGGCACGTACTAATATGCTACACAGTGGCAGTGGGGGTCGGAAAATGCCGATTTATTACTAATAAACCCCAATGATCCGATTGAAATTAGGGATTTTGATCGGATCATAGGGGGGGCACGTGCTACCCCCCTCCCCCGCCACTGGCTCAGCCAGTGATAATAGACATTTAGAACGCGGCAGATTTTTTGCAGACAAGTCAACAACTCAGAGGCGCGGTGCCAGGCTCAGGGCTCCTCGAAAGCCCTGAGCCAACGCAGACAGCGAGAGGAGGCCTTTTGACGTTTCTTGAAAGTCGGAGTGCATTTGATATTGCGGATGTGCAAAGGGGATTAGAGAGTTCCATAGCTCCATAGCTAGAGGACCGACAGAACTTGGAGGGGAAATTCGGCACTGGCTCACCGCCCGGCTGGCTACCCCCCCCCCCCCCGTTCTCCACTTATCTGAGGATGTTCGTCACGCGACCCTCGAGCGGTGTCGACGCATCACCAGACCAGATTTAAAATCAGAAAAAGTGTCGGATGCAGCGCTGCCGCACCGCAACCACTGGCCGTCGAGGCATGGGCCTGGGGTACCTCCGTGTGGATCCAAAACTGGTAGAGGAGGTTCAACTGGATGTGAACGATGAAGATTGGCGGTGGAATAAAGAGGGCCATTGGAAGATAAAAGACCTGCAACACCACACACACACACACAGGTGACACACACACAGGTGACACACACACACAGGTGACACACACACAGGTGACACACACACACACAGGTGACACACACACAGGTGACTAACACACACACAGGTGACACACACACACACAGGTGACACACACACACACACAGGTTACTAACAACAACAACAACAACCGCCATTCGCCACTAAGTGGCGGTGACGTCACCACGATGCTTGTGCCAGGCCAAGTGCACCTTGAGGCCACGTGAAGTGTCGAAAGCCCGCTGGCAGGAGGTCACGGGGCAGACCCAGGTGCCACTGGTCGACTGACCGAGATGACCGAGATGACTGGCTGATGCACCACCTGTGCCCCCTACTGTGCCAACTTGCTGTGCTTTAGCCACCCGGCGCTCCGCTCGTTGTTGTGAGCGTCGCTCCTCCGCCCTCCGCTGTTGTTGGAGGGCGACTGCCTCCAACTGCCCAGTAGCGTCCTTCACGAGCCTCCTCCACTGAGGCCGATCTTGACACCGCTGGTACCAGTCATCGGCAAGTCCACTCAGCTCCACGTCCTCCTGTACCACATCACTCCATCTCTTCTCCAGCCCGTGCCGCGCCCGTCTAGCCCCCTCGATCCGGCCGAACAAAAGCTGTTTAGGCATGCGGTGGCTGGGCATGCGGGCTACATGACCCAGCCAACGCAGCCTTGCCTGCCGGAGGAGCTCACTGATGGGACTTTGCCCAGATCTTTCAAGGATTTGTGAGCTCCTCACACAATCCAGCCTGGTTAAACCCAGGATGGATCGTAGGCAGGCCAGCCTAAATGTTTCCAACCGGCGAAGATGCTCCACCAGGGGGGTCCACGTCTCGCAAGCGTAGAGAAGGGAGGGAATGACCGTGGCCGAGAAGACCTGAAGCTTCGTGCGGAGCGACAGACCAGGTAGCTTCCACACAGCGTTACGCAACCGATGAAAAGATATTGCCGCTCGACTGATTCGGAGTGAGACCTCTGCTGATAGACTGGAGCCGGTCATAAGCACACTGCCCAGGTATGGGAAACTCTCCACTCTCTCCACAACTGCCCCATCACCAATTGGGAGTTGTGGGGGTGGAGTGTCCGATGGTACAAAATACCCAGGCAGGTGCTTGGTTTTGGTGGGGCTGATGGTAAGGCCCCACCTTTTAGTGGCACGCTCCAGTCTCAGCAGCAGCGCCTCCAACTCCTCTTCTGAATGAGCAGCTATTACCAAATCATCGGCATACATAACGTGGTTGACCAATAGGGAGCCATCCCTTGATCGCACCCGGGCGTCGATCAGCCTCCCATTATATCTGTACCAAACGGAAATTCCCCCGGTACAGCTATTGAAGGCTTCACGAACTACGCGGTCAAAATAGATGTTAAGTAATGTGGGAGCCAGAGGACATCCCTGTCGCACCCCAAGGTGTACAGGGAAAGGCTCCGACTCCCGGCCACGTAGTTTTACCCGGGCCCGCTCACCATCATGAAGGTCCTTAATGATCGTGAGCAGAGGGTCAGGGACTCCGAAAGCACGAAGAACAACCCAGAGTCCAGTCCTACTGATGGTATCATAGGCCTTGACCAGGTCAATAAAGCAGAGATGTAGGTCTTTTTGGAATTCCCTACACCTCTGCTGTAGCAGACGGACAGAAAATATGGCATCTGTGCAGGACTGCCCTTTCCTGAAACCGCATTGGGGCTCCGCAAGCCCCTCCTCAGCGTGCCTAGCAAGGCGATGTTGAATAATCCTTGCCAGGACCTTACCCGGCACACTGAGGAGTGAGATGCCCCTGTAGTTGTTACAGTCTGTGCGGTCCCCCTTCTTAAAGAGGGGGACCACCAGGGCATCCTTCCAGTCCTGCGGAACCCGTCCAGTGGTCCAGACTGTTGTTATGATGTCATATAGGGCAGTCTGTGCACAAACGCCACCCTCCCTCAGCATTTCGCTTGGGAGATCATCTCTGCCCGGTGCCTTCCCTGGTCTCAGACTCCGGATCGCCCTCAGTACTTCCTCAACAGCTGGAACCTCAGCCAGCCACTCACAGGGGGTGACCTCTTCCAATATTTGAGGCACCGCAGCCTCAGCAGGGTTATCCCCACTTTGTGCCATGATGTTTTCCTGGCTGAGAGAATTTCCCTCCCCCAGGACCTCACAGAAATGCTCAGCAAATCTGCAAACCTGTTCCTGAGGGTCGGAGATTGGATCACCGTTTTTTCCTCTAATTATGGTAATAGGTGTGGCGCTGCAGGTTACTTTTTTGATGGAGTTAAATAGTGATTTGTGATCACGGGCCACTGAGGCAGACTCCATCTCCTCAGCAACCCGCGACCACCACCCATCCTTACAACGCCTTACGGCTCTCCGAACTTCCGAGCGAAGGCTGCGGTAAACCTCCTCATTCTCTGACGTGGGATGCTGTAGGCGATGAGAGTGGGCCTGTCGCTTTTTCTCAATTAACCTGAACACCTCCTCTGTCAGCCAGGGTTTCTGGGGAGGTCTGGACCGCGTACCCAAAGCAGCCATTGCAGCTGCATGAGTCACAGTCCTAAACCTCGCCCATTTACCCTCGACATCAGGTGGAGTGGGGGACGATGCCAACCCCAGCTGCAAGCGATGATGAAATTCTCGCTTGCAACTTTCATCAGCTAACTGAGACCAGGCCACTTTTGGTTGGAATGGGATCCTGGGTGTACACCCACCACCGGAGTGGAAGAAAGGCAGGCGCATCTTACAGATGACTAGTCGATGGTCAGAGGACAGATCAGCTCCACGGTAGGTCCTGGTGTCAAGGACATGGGTTCGCATCCGCTGGTCCGTCACTATGTAGTCCAGCAGATGTTCTTGCTTGGACCCGGCATGTATCCATGATGTTGTGTGGATGCGCCGATGCCGGAAGAGCGTGTTGGTAATTACAAGCCCATGGGCTGCACAAAAATCTAGCAGCCTCCTACCGTTATTATTGAGCTGATCTGGCCCATGCCTTCCAATCACTCCAGACCAGGTGTCAGCATCATGACCAACTCGGGCATTGAAGTCACCCAACAAGATGACTCTGTCCCGAGTGGCCACTTTAGCCAACACCTGTGACAGGAGGTCATAGAAAGCGTCTGACTCATCGGCTTTGCTTGCATCCCTCCACGGATGTTCGTCTTCGGTGGGGGCATAAGTAACCACGACCACCACTCCTCGCCTCTGGTTGATGGGAAGGCGAGCCCAAAGTATCCTGGGGCTTACAGCTTCCCACACCTCACCGCCACGCTCCCACGCCCCCTTCATTCTTTTGTTCAGAAGAAGAGCCACACCCTGTTGTTTGGCAGTCTCCTGCCCCGAGTAGAGGACTGTCCACCCCTCATGGTGGCAGGAGCCAGAACCGGTCCACCGGACCTCCTGAATGCCACAGAGATCCAGGCGGTACCGGTCCAGCTCCCGACAGAGGAGTGGCAGCCTCTCCTCCGCAGTGAGCGTTCGAACATTCCACGTGGCCATCCGCAATGGTTTTTTGTTGTTTCTGGAGGAGCCCCGAGGGTGAAAATTCAATCTCCTGGCTCCGCCAAATGGGGTTTGGCCAGGAGACGTCATAAAAGCCTGACCCCCCGGGGCCTCCGGCACAAGCTTATTTGTTACAGGTTTATGTTTAATTCGTGGTTTAGTGGTAATGAATTGAAGGTGGAGGGGTTACCAGCCCCTCACACCCGTCCAGAGCCCCCGTTTAGCCACTGTGGTGGTCACAGACGCCATGAGGGGAGAGGCCAATGGGCATTGGCCCTCCCCCCACAGCACTGCCCACGACAGTGTTGCCCGTCCGGCACCGCGAGGAGGTAGGAGGTTGTTTTGCCGGACTAACACACACACAGTGACACACACACACACAGTGACACACACACACACAGGTGACACACACAGTGACACACACACACAGGTGACTCACACACACACACAGGTGACACACACACACAGGTAACTAACACACACACAGGTAACTAACACACACACAGGTGACACACACACACAGGTTACTAACACACACGCACACACAGGTGTGGTAGGTGGAGTGTCGCACTGCACACGCACCCAGGATGTGTACGGCTGCACGACGGACTGCCGAAGCGCTGTGGAGAGGTTGTAGTACTCGGAGCTGTGATGGACTTGGTGAGCCGCCCACATCACGTTCACCTCTGCGCGAGAACGGGGAGGGGAGGGCGGGAGACAGAGAGATGAAGCGATGGAGTCCGCTCCTTGTGGGCCGTTGCGTCTTGAGCGTCACGCGAGAACCGGCCGGCTATTTAATAAAACAAACACATCTTCTTGGTTCTTTCGGTAAAGTCACGTAGAAGGGAAGTAATAAAATAATAAAAATAAAATCCCTGCAGTCACGAAAGCTTTAAATCGAAAAACAAACACACACACACACACAGATAACTCGCTGACCCCCCGTGGTGTCCCTTACTGGACATCTGTGACGACAAAGAGGATCGCAGCTCATCGGATTCCTCCGGCAGCATGAATTATAAAAATTCTCATCTCGGCCTGCGCTGCAATTTGATAACATCTGGAAGAGAGTGGAGAGGTGGGGGGCGTTTGATCGAATGGTGGGGGGGGGGGGGGGGCAGGGGGCCACCTTTACCCACATGTGGCATAACGCAGATCGTCAATCGCGATGAGAGTGAATCGACAGCGCTGCAGTCGATCCGGTAATAAACGAACGTCGAACATTTTTTTTGTACCGGGTTCATCGTCATTTGCGGGTCAATGTCGCCGTGTGCCCGTTCATTTGCCTAATCCATCCGTGGATCGGATAACGAGGTGACACGCACCCCCCTTTTCAGTTCCACACCGGAGATGCTATTTTTGTTTTGCGTGAGATCGTGCAGAGACGAGTGCGTGCCGTCCGTCCCGACCACCGCCACCCGACGCAGCCCGATCGCCCAAGCTCCACGTCGCGCAAGCAGAACGCGCCGATTGCCCCGCACCGAGAATCTCCAAATCGCCGTTGCCCACGTCGGCAAACGAGAGAGACCGTCGCGGGTGGCGGCCGTGGCGGCGCGCCCTCCCCGTCGCCTCGGCCCTCACCGTGCGCGAGACGGTGGAACCAGTAGTAGCCGAGGTCGACCCCGAGGAAGGTCACGGCCCAGGTGAGCGGCGAGTCCCAGGGCAGCGAGGCGAAGCGGTAGCGCTCGTGCACGAAGATGAACGCCGACAGCTCCACGCTGCGCGTCAGCAACCTGCGAGGAGAAGGCGGAGCGCACGCCAGGGACGCTGGCACCGTTCTCCGCTCGTGCAGCCGGGGCGGGCCGTGCCAGCACGGGTGCCAGCAGGGCACGGGCGCGGTTTGTTTTCCTTCCGCCGGCACGGTAAGGAGGCGTGCCACGGCGAGGCGGGGGTTGGGGGGAGGCCGAGCAGGGCAAGCGAGGACACGGAGGCGTGGCTCGGTTATGCGCAGTGGAAAAGCAACGCGTGCCGAGCTGGCTCTAGCCTGGCTCTGGCACGGCTCCCGGGCACGACAAGTGGATAAAGAGGCCCGGCTTGGCGACACTGGAAAAGATGTGACCTGGCCCATGATTGGTGTCTCCAGTTTTGTTTTTTGATCTCAGAGGTGACAGCCCTCCGTGAATGTGCGTGTGTGCGTGGGCGCGCGTGCGTGCGTGGGCGCGCGTGCGTGTGTGTGTGTGCTGCGCTACGAACCCGGCGACCCGGGTTCGATTCCCACTCACGGCCAACACCGGTGACGATTATCTGAACCGGTCCCTGGGCCTCCCCTAGGTCGACTCAGCCTGAAATGAGTACCTGCGCGGTGCGTAAACATCGCCACTGGGGGGAGACAATGGCGGCTGCGCGTAGTGCCGGCCACCCACCCCCCTCGTGGGCCTTCATAGGTGCTCGCTAACAGCACTTGCCCCAACAGCCTGTTAAGGCTACACGGGGGATCTTTGTCGCTGGTGTGATCCGGCCGGAGAGTGATGACACCTTCAATAGGTGCTCGCTTACAGCAGCGCACCCCCCCCACCCAGCCTGTTCGGAGGTTACCCGGGTGTGCGGCCGGCGGTGGGGGGTGGACAATCTTTCGTCCCCCGTTTGCCATCGGTGCTTGCAGGGCGCGTGCGACGCACTTGGCGAGCTGGGACAGCATGCCGGCCGACACGGAGCCCACGGTGTCGTTGACGCGCGGCAGGCGGGCGCCCTTGAGCCAGCACAGAGTCACCTCCAGCAGGATCATCGCCCAGAAGTACGGCACCGCCTGCACGCGGCACGCGGAGAGCGGAGAGCGGCATGCAGCACGCGGCACGCGGCACGCGGAGAGCGGAGAGTGGCACACTCCATTGCGCTGCGTGCGTCTTCCCGTGTCCTCGCACACCGGCGCGCGGGGAGGGTGAGGACGCGCGTGCACACATGTCAAGGGGGACTACCTGCCACGTGCCACCTTGCCACAAACACCACCTTGCCACAAACACCGCCTGCCACCTTGCCACAAACACCGCCTGCCACCTTGCCACAAACACCACCTTGCCACCTTGCCACAAACACCACCTTGCCACAAACACCACCTTGCCACCTTGCCACAAACACCACCTTGCCACAAACACCACCTTGCCACCTTGCCACAAACACCACCTTGCCACAAACACCACCTTGCCACCTTGCCACAAACACCACCTTGCCACAAACACCACCTTGCCACAAACACCACCTTGCCACAAACACCACCTTGCCACCTTGCCACAAACACCACCTTGCCACAAACACCACCTTGCCACAAACACCACCTTGCCACAAACACCACCATGCCACAAACACCACCTTGCCACAAACACCACCTTGCCACAGACACCACCTTGCCACATTGCCACAAACACCACCTGCCACCACGTGTCACCTTGCCACAAACACCACCTTGCCACACACACCACCTTCACCACGTGTCACCTTGCCACCAGGCGCGAGCAACCCAACAGACCCAGGGGTTGCCGTGGGGAGCGGGGGAGAGAATGGGAACCAATTGTCTCGTTCAAGACCGAGTGACCACACCACAAACACACCACAAACACACCCACACCACAAACACACACCACAAACACCCCACAAACACACACACACACCACAAACACACCACAAACACACCACAAACACACCCACACCACAAACACACAAACGGCTCTCACCCTACATGACGAAGGCAAACACGAAACAAAAAAGCAAACGAACCCAAGTTCAGCGCGGCAGTGAAGCAAACAAAAAATGGAATGCGAGCGATTCAAAGGCTGTCCGAGTCGCAGCGCGGTCCTGCCTGCGAGTTCGGGCTGGGTTACCTGCGCCACGTAGTTGGGTACTTCTTGGAGCGTCTGAAAGGAGGACTCGTTCGGCGACAGGGCGTAAAACATCATGCGCACTCCCTCTCCCACGGAGAGCGGAGCGTCCCTTCCTGGCGCCATCGCTTCCTTCCCTCTGACAGCACACACGGACAGACAGACACAGACTCACAGACTCACTCCCTACATCTCTGTCTGACTGCTCTACCACACGGATAGACAGACACAGACTCACACACTCACTCCCTTCCCTTTGCCAGCACACACCGACAGACAGACACAGACTCACACACTCACTCCCTTCACCTCTGCCACACGGACAGACAGACAGACACAGTCTCACAGACTCACTCCCTTCCCTTTGCCAGCACACACGGACAGACATACACAGACTCACAGACTCACTCCCTTCCCTCTGCCACACGGACAGACAGACACAGACTCACAGACACACTCCCTTCCCTCTGACTGTGCTCTGCCACACCGACAGACAGACACAGACTCACAGACTCACTCCCTTCCCTCTGCCAGCACACACCGACAGACAGACACAGACTCACAGACTCACTCCCTTCCCTCTGCCAGCACACACAGACAGACAGACACAGACTCACAGACTCACTCCCTTCCCTTTGCCAGCACACACCGACAGACAGACACAGACTCACAGACTCACTCCCTTCCCTCTGCCAGCACACACAGACAGACAGACACAGACTCACAGACTCACTCCCTTCCCTCTGCCAGCACACACGGACAGACAGACACAGACTCACAGCCTCACTCCCTTCCTTCCACACGGACAGACAGACGGACAGACACAGACTCACACACTCACTCCCTTCCCTCTGACTCTGCTCTACCACACCGATAGACAGACACAGACTCACAGACTCACTCTGTCCGACTGTTCTCTGCCACACCGACAGACACAGACTCACACACTCACTCCCTTCCCTCTGACTGTTCTCTGCCACACGGACAGACAGACACAGACTCACACACTCACTCCCTTCCCTCTGCCAGCACACACGACAGACAGACACAGACTCACACACTCACTCCCTTCCCTCTGACTGTTCTCTGCCACACGGACAGACAGACACAGACTCACACACTCACTCCCTTCCCTCTGCCAGCACACACGACAGACAGACAGACTCACACACTCACTCCCTTCCCTCTGACTGTGCTCTACCACACGGACAGACACAGACTCACAGACTCACTCCCTTCCCTCTGACTGTGCTCTGCCACACGGACAGACGGACCCAGACTCACACACTCACTCCCTACACCTCTGTCCGACTGCTCTACCACACGGACAGACACACTCACAGACTCTCTCACTCGCTCTCCTCTGCCAGACGCACGCAGCCGCTGCACTGTGCGTCCCACCAACGTGCTGACCCAGAGGCGACACGGCGGATGTCGCGGGGTCTAAAGATCCTTGCCCACGGTCCAATTGCACGTCAGGGGCGTGTGTGACTTTACGCGCGTTCTGCAGGGGTGAGTGGCCGAGTTGCTCTACGCGTGGACAAGGGGCGAGAGAGGGAGACAGGGAGACAGGGAGAGAGACGCGAGGGCATCTCTGTTGGCGAGAAGGCCACTGCCAAGTGCTCATTGTCTGTCTGTGCTGCTGTCGCGACCAATATCATCCATGGCGCAGGGCCTGGTGGTGGTGGTGGCTCCCAGCTGGAGTGGCTGCCTCTTTGAGAGACGTTGAGCCTAATGCAGGGTTCTGTTGTCGTGGGTTAAGATCGCGTAAATGTATAAATGTGTCGTAAAACACCGCCACCATCCGACACAGCCAACCAGTAAGGGTTTGTCAAATCCTCCTTCCGACACATCGGTTGTGTGTCGGAGGAGGATTTCTCCACAAATCTGGCTTGTCGCCTGACGAAGCTGGTTGTAATTGCTGGCGAAACGTCGGACTCAAGATTGTAAATGTTGTGGCTTGGCTCTCCAACGCACAACCAACCGTGCGTGCATTTATCCGGCAACAAAAATAAAAACGTTCACAGAACAGCGCCACGTGTTGCTGTCCCTCGTGGATGTTGTGGGGCCACTTCCATTGGTGAATTCCCCATTGGGCATTAAGGTTCGGTAGCCCCGTCACAGGAATGGGGAATTTCCATCGAGGATGGGGCCTCCGTGCTGGACTCGATGCTGCGATGGCGCCATCCGGAGTTCGGTCGAGCGCAGTGCAGAGTGCAACCAACTCACCCCCCCCCACCCAACTCACCCTCCACCCAACTCACCCCCACACCCAACTCACCCCCCCCCACCCAACTCACCACCCCCCCACCCAACTCACCCCCCCACCCAACTCAGCCCTCCACCCAACTCACCCCACCTCACCCAACTCACCACCCCCCCACCCAACTCACCCCCCCACCCAACTCACCACCCCCCCCCCCACTCAACTCACCCCCCCCCCACCCAACTCACCCCTCCACCCAACTCACCCCCCCCCCACCCAACTCACCCCCCACCCAACTCACCCCCCCACCCAACTCACCCCCCACCCAACTCACCACTCACCACCCCCCCCCCACTCAACTCACCCCCCCACCCAACTCACCCCCCCCACCCAACTCACCCCCCCCACCCAACTCACCCCCCATCCAACTCACCACCCCCCCCCCCACTCAACTCACCCTCCCTCCACCCAACTCACCCCACCCCACCCAACTCATCCCCCCACCCAACTCACCCCCCACCCAACTCACCACCCCCCCCTCCACCCAACTCACCCCCCCCCCCACCCAACTCACCCCCCCACCCAACTCACCTCCCACCCAACTCACCACCCCCCCCCCACTCAACTCACCCCCCCCCACCCAACTCACCCCCCCCACCCAACTCACCCCCCCACCCAACTCACCCCCCCCCCCCCCCCACTCAACTCACCCCTCCCCACCCAACTCACCCCCCCCACCCAACTCACCACCCCCCCCCCCCACTTAACTCACCCCCCCACCCAACTCACCCCCCCACCCAACTCACCCCCCCCCACCCAACTCACCCCCCCCACCCAACTCACCCCCCACCCAACTCACCCCCCCCACCCAACTCACCACCCCCACCCCCACTCAACTCACCCACCCAACTCACCCCCCCCCCACCCAACTCACCCCCCCCACCCAACTCACCCCCCCCCACCCAACTCACCCCCCCCCCCACCCAACTCACCACCCCCACTCCCACTCAACTCACCCCCCCACCCAACTCACCCCCCCCCACCCAACTCACCCCCCCCACCCAACTCACCCCCCCCCCACCCAACTCACCCTCCCCACCCAACTCACCCCCCCACCCAACTCACCCCCCCCCACCCAACTCACCCCCCCCCCACCCACTCACCCCCCCACCCAACTCACCCTCCACCCAACTCACCCAACTCACCCCCCACCCATCTCACCCCCCCACCCAGCTCACCTTCCCCCAGTTTGGACCCAGCGAACAAATCGACTTACGAACGGCAACCTTTGACCCGTTCGCAAGTAGAGGAGCTCCCTGCACGTGGGCCAGTCAACCCGCACGCGAACTGGGGGCACGCGGAGGCCCCGTCTCGCTGCGTGGCCCTGGGGATGGGGGGTCGGGGCGTCAGCTGAGGGAGGCCTTCACGACCCTCTCCTCTCTTTCTCTCTCTCCTCTCTCTCCTCTCTTTCTCTCTCTCCTCTCTCTCCCCTTGCTCTCTCTATCCTCTCTCTTTTTTTTTACGATCAGTGGAAACAAGAAGATGCTCGGTGTATTCGGCACTTTGTTTCGTTCATCATTTCGTAATTTTTTTTTTTAAACGGGGCTTTATGTTGCCCTCGCTCGCTCGCTCTCTCGCTCACTCGCTCGCTCGCTCGCTCGCTCTCTCGCTCGCTCGCTCTCTCTCTCGCTCATTCTCTCGCTCCTTTTCTCGCGCTCACTCTCTCGTTATGTACGCCGCCCCCCCTCGCAGTCCGACGGCCTCCGACGGGTAGCTCATAACAGCATGCAGAGCTCCCCATCATCTGCCACGGAGCACACGGCCTCCTCCATCGCCCACTGCTCCTTGAAGGCCGGCACGTCTCTCCCCTCGCTCCCCCCTTGCTCTCGTCGCGTCCAGAGGGCAATGAACTCTGGTGGAGCTGCCAACATCCGCGACGAGAATCTGCCCAACCGTGTGAGCGGCGCGTGTGTGTTTGTGTGTGTGTCTGTGTGTGTGTTTATGTGTGTGTCTGTGTTTATGTGTGTCTTTGTGTGTTTACGTGTGTGTCTGTTTGTATGTGTGTTTACGTGTGTCTGTGTGTTTACGTGTGTATTTGTATGTGTGTTTACGTGTGTCTGTGTGTTTACGTGTGTGTTTGTGTGTATGTGTGTGTCTCTGTGTGTGTTTATGTGTCTGTTTGTGTGTTTTTACGTGTGTCTGTGTGTGTGTTTGTGTGTGTGTTTGTGTGTGTGTATGTGTGTGTCTGTGTTTACGTGTGTGTGTTTATGTGTGTGTCTGTGTGTGTGTTTGTGTGTGCATGTGTGTTTGCGTGTGTGTCTGTGTTCGTGTGTGTTTGTGTGTGTCTGTGTGTGTGTTTTCGTGTGTGTGTGTATGTGTGTGTGTCTGTGTTTATGTGTGTGTTTATGTGTGTGTTTGTGTGTGTTTACGTGTGTCTGTGTGTGTGTCTGTGTGTTTACGTGTGTGTTTGTGTGTGTATGTGTGTGTGTATGTGTTTATGTGTGTCTGTGTTTGTGTATGTGTGTGTCTCTGTGTGTGTTTGTGTGTGTGTTTATGTATCTGTGTGTGTGTTTGTGTGTGTGTATGTGTGTCTCTGTGTGTGTTTATGTGTCTGTATGTGTTTGTGTGTGTCTGTTTGTGTGTGTGTCTGTGTTTATGTGTGTTTATGTGCGTCTGTGTGTGTGTTTGTGTGTGTATGTGTTTATGTGTGTGTCTGTGTGTGTGTTTTTGTGTGTGTTCGTGTGTGTCTGTGTGTGTGTGGGGAGCGGTAGTGTAGTGGTTAGCGCTACACTGCGAACCTCGCGACCCGGGTTCGATTCCCGCTCTCGGAACCAATCCTGGGCCTGCCCTAGGTCTACTCAGCCTCGAATGAGCACCTGGCGCGGTGTGTAGTAAACATCGCCACTGGGGAGACAAAGGCGGCCGGGCGTGGTGTTGGCCACCCCACCCCCTCGTGTGCCGTGCCGGCCTTCATAGGTGCTACTCGCTAACAGCACTTGCCCCAACAGTCTGTTGAGGCTATACGGACCATCTTTGTCTTTGTCTTTGCGCGTGTCTCTGCGTCTCTTTGTCGAGTGTCGCTGTGGCTTGTCAACCCTGTACGCGTCACCGAGCGAGTTCACGGGGGACGTACGGTACTGTGCGTTGCACTTCATTCGCACCGCACGTAGCCACCCTGCCAAATCGGCGGAAGGACAACACACTGAACACGACAACAACAACAAAGCAGACGTTCTAAACAAAGCGAATTTGTCAATCTCGGCGACGATTTAAAAGCGCGCACAGCTCCCAGCGTCTTCCCAACGTCGGAGGAGCGTTCCAGACGGCCCCAGGGGCCGTCCATAAATGACGTCACGCGATTTTGTACGATTTTTGACCCCCCCCCCCCCTCGTCACACGGCGTCACAAAAAGTCAGACCCCCCCCCCTCAAATATGACGTCACAAAGCTCTGCCCCCCCAAAAAAACTAAAACATGCTTCAAATCGCTTTAAACTATTGTCATTGTAGTGCGTATTTAATGTGGCGCTGCACTCTGATGTTGTAGGAGAAAACATTTCTCAAAAAGTCAATTTAATTAAGTAGAACGTGTTGTCTATAATTATTTAAAGTTGCGCATTTTGACGTGACGTCACATTTCTCACCCCCCCCGCGTCACACATCGTCACAAATGTCTGACCCCTCCCCCCCATAGGTGCGTGACGTCATTTATGGACGGCCCCTTAGCAGCGGCACCTTTAAAGGCGCCGCGCGATGCGGGCGACCTCCGCCCTCTCTCTGTTCGACGTTTCGCAGCCAAACGCCGCCGCGAGGATGAGCGGAGTCGACGTGACGATGTGTGTACGTCTCCGCGACGAGGTGGGCAGCGAGGGCGGCACTCGGGGCCACAACTTTGGTGCGTGACGCGTGACGAGCCCCCTGGTAGTGAGCCCCCTGGTAGTGAGCCCCCTGGTAGCGAGTGAGTCCCCTGCTAGCGAGTGAGTCCCCTGGTAGCGAGGTGTTCTTGGTAGCGAGTGAGTCCCCTGGTAGCGAGGTGTTCTTGGTAGCGAGTGAGTCCCCTGCTAGCGAGTGAGTCCCCTGCTAGCGAGGTGTTCTTGGTAGCGAGTGAGTCCCCTGGTAGCGAGGTGTTCTTGGTAGCGAGTGAGTCCCCTGGTAGCGAGGTGTTCTTGGTAGCGAGTGAGTCCCCTGGTAGCGAGGTGTTCTTGGTAGCGAGTGAGTCCCCTGGTAGCGAGGTGTTCTTGGTAGCGAGTGAGTCCCCTGCTAGCGAGTCCCCTGGTAGCGAAGTCTTCTTAGTTCGGAAATGCGGAAGTGAGTGCGCGTTCTCAAGCGAGCACTGTGGGATGGACCAGGTCGCCTGGGGGAGTGGGGGGAGGGTGGTGGAGATGGGAGGGGGGGAGATGGGAGGGTGGTGGGTGGGTGCAGACCAGTGGATGGGGAAGGTGGGCGGGTGGTGGAGATGGGAGGGTAGGGTGGGTGGGTGGAGATGAGAGGGTGGTGGAGATGGGAGGGTGGTGGTGGGTGGAGATGGGAGGGTAGGGTGGGTGGTGGGTGGAGATGAGAGGGTGGGGAGGGTGGTGGTGGAGATGGGAGGGTGGGGAGGGGAGGGTGGTGGGTGGATGGTAACCAGTGGAGGGGAGGGAGGGTGGTGGGTGGGTGGAGACCAGTGGAGATGGGAGGGTGGTGAGGGTGGTGGTGGAGATGGGAGGGTAGGGTGGGTGGTGGAGATGGGAGGGTGGTGGGTGGGTGGTGGAGATGGGAGGGTGGGGAGGGGAGGGTGGTGGGTGGGTGGTGACCAGTGGAGGGAAGGGTGGGAGGGTGGTGGGTGGGTGGTGACCAGTGGAGGGGAGGGTGGCAGGGTGGTGGGTGGGTGGAGACCAGTGGAGATGGGAGGGTGGTGGGTGGGTGGGTGCGTAACAGTGGGTGGTGGCTTGACGTTTTGTTTAGCCTCGTGCCAGGCGGCCCTCCACTTCAGTGCTGTTCGGACTCGCGTCTTCCGGTCGCTGATCGCCAGGCCCGAGCTTGTGGCCCAGGGCACGACGCAGACTCTGGGCCACGTGGCTTTTATTGGCGGCCCAGTCCGCCTCACCGCGGCCACGACCTCTCTCCATCATCCAGCGTTCGTGATTTTTGTTAAATCATTTTTTATTTGAAGCTTTCGTGACTGCAGGAATCCATACTCTTTGGTTCTTTCGGTACAGTCACTTAGTTTGAAATAAGATCAAATCAATCACGACGTTTCAATCGCAACACAAGCGGTCGTCATCAGGAAACCGCTTGTGTTGCGATCGAAACGTTGATTTGTTTTATTTCTAACCACGTGACTTTACCGAAAGAACCAAAGAACATTTTATTTATTTATCGATGTCATCCTTAAAAATGGATGAACACTTGACAAAAGCTGTTATTGTACTTTATATACGATTGGTAGTTGATTAAATATTCTGGAGGCATTCATATGTATTAAAACAAAAGTTGCGTATCAGACCCTTCTTGGTTCTTTCTTTTGTCAAGGCGCTCTTCTTCCAACCCAGCTTAAATATACGCTCCAAGCCTGGTGGTGTTTCATTCAGACGCTGTCTCCCCGACAGACCTGGTCTTCACCTGAGGACGGCTGCTTGCGTTGTGGGCGAAACGTCGTGAGAATTATTTTGTTTTATTTTTATAATTTTATTATTTCCCTTCTACGTGACTTTACCGAAAGAACCAAGAACATGAATCCCTGCAGTCACGAAACCTTTAAATCGAAATTTATCAGACCCTTGTTCAGGAACGTATCTCGCTATTCTCATTGTTTCTGATGGGGGGGGGGGAATGGGTCTCGGCTTACGTAGTTTCGACTTAACGACAAACTTTACGAGGAACGTAAACCCGTTCCGAGTACCGCCCGTAGTTTTAAACACATTGTCCTGCGGAGGGAGCTGGTAGGAACGTTGGGTTGCTCGGTCAATGGCCAGGGTCAATGGCGGCGTGAGGGCGGGCACAAGCCGGCGTGAGTAGGTTAAACGTTGAGTTTTATAAGGGCACCACGGGGTGACCAGCCCCTCCCCACCCAGCCCCACCCCCCACCTAGCCCCACCGCTCCCATTTTTGGATGCACGACGGACGGACACAATAATCCCCTGTGGGCTGGTGGAACCAGGTGGTTCCTACCAGTAAAACGCCGTCGACTGAACCACGGCGTGTCGAGTGGCGCAGTGGTAATGACGCTTGTGCCGCACAGCAAAAGTCTCCGGGGTTAGATTCCGGACCCTGGCTCCGCTCTCCCCGTGTGGCAGAGGTCGCAACCGGGTACCCGATACCCGTACCCTACCTGATACCCGGCTACCCGTACCCCCTACCTGATACCCGGCTACCCGTACCCGTTTGCGACCCTGGTGCGGCCGGGTACGGGTATACCGTGAGTCACTGGTGAGTAACTGTTTGTCACTCATTTCCCAACGTCTTGTCTCTTCTCACAATTCAAGTTCCTAGCATCAACCCACCCGCGCCTGGAACATGGCTTCATCCCAGAGGTCGCAATCAGGTACCCGATACCCGTACCCTACCCGGCCGGGTACCTGTTTGCGACCCTGGTGTGGCCTGGTACGGGTAAGGAATCAAAACCCGTTTGCGACCTCTGCCATGTGGGAACGGAGAAAAGTTCTCCCCCCCCCCACTCCCCTGCACCACGTGGAGTGTTTTCTCCAGGGCTTCCACGGTGTCTTCCCAAAGGCCACACAACGTGGCCCTGGCATTGGCCAAAACCATCCCAACGTAGCAGGGACTCGTCCCGAGAACCTCGGCAACGCGACACTCACAACGAACGCGCATGCGTGCAACTTCCTTGCGGGGTTTTTATGACGTTTTATTATCATAAAATTAATTAAAAACACAAACTCCCCTCTTCAAACGAATCTAGAATTTCAAGCATTCCGTTTTTGCCGACGCTGCCGTGTGCACGTGGCCTCCGTGCCCATCCCCGTGTGACCGCCGGGCAACACGCGACGTTTACCCAGGCGGACACGACGCAGTTGCCCACTCCCCCGCCACCTCGGTGTTTACTCCGCACCATGTGCACGTTTACCCAGGAATACTCCACCACCACGGTTGGCTACGATGTTAACTACCTCGCCTAGTAAACAGGAGGTCGTGGCTTCGATCCGGACCCTGACGCCACGGTGGCCTAGATGTTAACTACCTCGCCTGGTACGGAGGAGGATGTGGGTTCCATCCCGACCCTGGCGCCTGCATATCTGGAGGAGTTTGCATGTCTCTCCTCTTTCCCTCTCGACGCAGTCGCGTGGATTTAATCTCCGGCTCCTCCTGTTTTTTTTCCCTCCGCATCCATAATAAACGTGACACGTTTATAGTATTTTCCCGCTATAAACAAACCGCACACAGAAGGCCCTTTCTTGCTTGCGAGGAGCGAGCGTACACCACTGCGTCACCACACATCCCGGCGCCGACCACGACTCTGCGGTTCGCATTACTCCGCAGCGTCTTGCGGTCCAGGGAACGCGGGCAAGCACGAAGGAGGTCAGGCACGTGGGGGCACGTTTCACGTACAAACTTTGTCCCAAGACGTAAAACAAGACCGCTTAACCCGGAAAATCAGAAGAGAAAAAAAAAACACCCGCGCACGTAGAGACTTACTTAGCCCCTACTATACGTGATCATTTCACAGGATAAAAATACAACAGTATACATTATGTACAGTTACAAACACGACAACGGAGCGCGTTCGCGCGCGAGAGAGAGGTTCTTGAGCTTACGCGCGCGTCACTAGCCGGGCCGGCACAATAAGACAAAAGGGGGGGTTCTCTTCCCAGCACCTTGCATCTCAACACAATTTGCTTTAACTAAACTTCCGCTATAAAGACAAAGACCCCCCCCCCCCCCCGCCCCTCCGTGTAGCCTTAACAGTCTGTTGGGGCAAGTGCTGTCAGCGAGCACCGATGATGGCCGGCACGGCACGCGGGGGGGCAGTCAGGCCAGCACGACGCCCAGCCGTCTTTGTCTCTCCACCGCCCCCCCCCCTCCCCCAGCGCTGATGTATTTTTACACACTGCGGCACCACAGTACTCATTTTTAAGGCTGAGTCTACCTAGGGGAGACCCAGGACCGCCAATTGTTATTGGTCGTGAGCGGGAACCGAACCCTTGTCGCCGGGTTCGTAGCGCAGCGCGCCAACCACCAATTACTAGCACTAAACAAACGCAAATGTCAAACCAAACAAAAACAAGTCTACATTCTAAGCCAACGACGGACTTATACTAGGACAAGAGGCTACTACGTCAGGATTAACTTGAATAACTGTTCACATTAACCTTCTCAAGCCCGATCGCACGTTCACGACGTACCCACCTAACCCGATGATTTGATTGAAACGCCACCGTTTAACATTTTCCGCAAAGATAATAACCTGGTGCGGCGTGGGCGGGGGGGCGGAGGCGGAGGTTTTGTCGTCGTCGTTGTAACGGTGGCTCAAAGTACCGCATACGCTCCGGAGAAGAGACAGCGGGCCGGCGGGTGCGACAGTCGCCCACCGCCCCCCCCCGCCGGGCCACGGAGGCTGCTGCTCCCTTCCTCCTCCCCGCCCCGTCTCAGCGCTGTGCAGACAGCGCTGAGACGGCCCTCGCGACGCTGCGCCCCGCAGGGGCTCGGCAAGCGGCAGATGCCCCCCCCCACTCCCCCCCCCCCCCCCCCCTACAACAACCTCGCTCAACACGAGACGCAGCGCTAACCCACACAGATTGCGACTTTGACGGTGAATTTTGTTGCTGGTCGGCCGCTTGATATCTCCGGGCCTTTGTTCAGCAACAGCTTACCATTCTTCTATTTATTTCCACTGCCCAGCTCCTCACCGGCTTCACCTACACCCCCACCCCACGCAGGGCGCTCTCGGTGGCCTCCTCACCCCCACCTCCTCCTCCTCACCTCCTCCTCACCCCTGCCTCCTCCTCCTCACCTCCTCCTCACCCCCACCTCCTCCTCCTCACCCCTGCCTCTCCTCCCCCTTCCCGTCGGGGGCAGCGTCGCCCTCCGTTCCGGCTCCGTCTCGGCCCCGCGCTCGACCCTCGCCCGCCTTGCCCTCCGTGCTCGCCCCCCTCCTGCGCTGCTGCTCCCTTCCGTCGCCCCCCCTCCTGTCCTCGCTAGCGCCCCCCCGCCCGTCCCGCTCCCCGCGGTCCGCCCTCTTCTCTCCCCGATGTCCTCTTCCAGCGTCTTCCCGGTCCTCGGACCTGCTCCTGCCTCGTCCCGATCTCTCCCTGTGCTCCTTGTCCCGTCCCCTACCCTCCTCTCCCTTCCGCTCTCCCCTCCCCTCTCCCTTCTCTCCTTTGCCCTCTGACTTCTCTCCCTTGCCCCCTCCCTTCTCTACTTTCCCCTCTCCTTTCTCCCCTTTCTCTCCCCTCCCCTCTCCCTTGCCTTCTGACTTCTCCCCCCTCCCCTCTCCCTTCTCGCCCTTGCCCTCTCCTTTCTCTCCCTTCTCGCCCTTGCCCTCTGACTTCTCTCCCTTCTCCCCCCTCCCCTCTCCCCTCTCTCCTCTGCCCCCTCCCTTCTCTACTTTGCCCTCTCCCTTCTCCCCCCTCCCCTCTCGCTTCTCTCCCCTGCCCTCTCCCCTGCCCTCTCCCCTGCCCTCTCCCCTGCCCTCTCCCCTGCCCTCTCTCCTCCTCTCCTCGTGACGCGACTTCTTCTCCCCCCTGCCCTCCTCCGCGTGGTCGCGCTGCGCCCCCTCCGCCCTCTCCCTCCTCTTCCCGTCCCCCTCCTCCCCCCCCTCCCACTCCTCCCCCCCCCCGCTCCTCCCCCTTCCCCTTCCCACTCTCGGCGTTCCTCGACCTCTTCTCGCTCCTCGCCTCCTCGTGATTCCCCCCCACGTCCTCCCGGCTCTCTCCCCTCCTGTTCCCCCTCCTTTCTCCTCCTCTTCTACGCTCCTCCTTCTCCTCGTCCCTGCCGCCCCCTCGGCTGGCTCCCTTGTCCTCCGAGCGGTGGCGGCCGTCCCTCTTGCCGCTCCTCCTCCTCCTCCTCTCCGGCTCCTCGTCGCCCGCCGGCTTCTTCCGGTCCCCGCGCTTGGCGCCCTCCTCCTCCCGGCCGTCGTCGTCGCCGCCGTGCCTCCTCCTCTTCCTGCGCTCCCCGTCCTCCTCGTCGTCGTTGCGGTTCTCCTTGTGCCTCTCCTTGCCTCTGCTGATGGCGCCGGGCAGGAAGGACGAGAGTGAGACGCCGCGACGCGGAAGCAAGTGGCCAGGCCAGTCCTAAATGGGTTAGCCTACCGGCGTACGCAGCGCTCGGGGTTGAGTCTACGCACGAGTCTCTACGCAAGCAGTGCGCCACAGGGCCCGCTTGTCCGCTTTCTCTCGACGACGATGACTCGGAGGCGCAACGAGGAGGAGAAGGGAAGGAGGGGGGAGGAGGAAGAGGAAGGGGAGGGAGGAGGAGGTGGAGGAGCCACCAACAGGCAGGAAAGGCAGCAGCGCAGCGGCCAACCAGCCGGTAAGGCAGCAAATTCCACCCCAAGCTCTGCAGTCCTCTACATACAGGCCAATTAACATGTGCTTATACGTGTGGGGGGAAATCGGAGCACTCGGGAAAAAAACCCACAAATGTGCAATGGAGCAACTCTCCATCCCATTGGTGATCGATGAGATGGAGGTTAGTCTGCACTTTGCTACGCTAGCCCACGGTACAGCACCGGGTCGACCAGCCCTCGCTGCCGCCGCTGCCTCCACAATGCTGGATCGCAGGTGGCCACGTGCAGCGGCGAGGCCGCCACCACCACCGCCACCACCACAGCCGCCGGCGTCATGAAGCAGGCTGAACGATCGTCCCCGTCTCGCGTGCGAACAACAATACCCGACGTGACCCGACGGGTGAAACCGGCTCTTACGTCTCGAGGGCGCTGCCGGCGCTCCACCGCTCCGTCTTCCCCGGCTCCCGGTTGCCCTGGAGCTGCCAGCTGTGGCGCCGGCGCTGCAGCTCGGCGCGCCAGTGCGGCGGCGTGTCGCTGCGCATGCCCCCGCGGGAGCCGCGCTCGCGGGAGCGGGAGCGCGACGGCGTGCGGTAGCGCTGCGGAACGAGAGGCGGGGTGCGTCAGCGGCGACGTCGCGAGGCGCGACACGGGCGGAAGGGCCCGGCCCGACGGTGGCCGAGCGGTCGGGCCTCGTGCTGCCCAAACATCTTATCTCGATATCCAGATTTGCACAGCAGCGGCTTTTTATCCAAGGCGCTTTACAGCGATTATAACATTGGAATATGTTATGTATCTAAACTGAAAAGTAATTTCTTTAGAACTGCTTTGTGCGTTTGTATGTATGTAGGCTGAACTTCTGTCGCAGTGTATGTAGCCAACCATGCTACATAGACTCGCACAGAGAGTCTGTGGCTCTCTGTGCGAGTCTGTGGCTCTCTGTGCGAGTCTGTGGCTCTCTGTGCGAGTCCGTGGCTCTCTATGCGAGTCCGTGGCTCTCTGTGCGAGTCCGTGGCTCTCTGTGCGAGTCCGTGGCTCTCTGTGCGAGTCCGTGGCTCTCTGTGCGAGTCCGTGGCTCTCTGCGCGAGTCCGTGGCTCTCTGTGCGAGTCCGTGGCTCTCTGTGCGAGTCTGTGGCTCTCTGTGCGAGTCCGTGGCTCTCTGTGCGAGTCCGTGGCTCTCTGTGCGAGTCTGTGGCTCTCTGTGCGAGTCCGTCGCTCTCTGTGCGAGTCTGTGGGTCTCTGTGCGAGTCTGTGGCTCTCTGTGCGAGTCCGTCGCTCTCTGTGCGAGTCTGTGGGTCTCTGTGCGAGTCTGTGGCTCTCTGTGCGAGTCCGTCGCTCTCTGTGCGAGTCTGTGGGTCTCTGTGCGAGTCTGTGGCTCTCTGTGCGAGTCCGTCGCCCTCTGTGCGAGTCCGTCGCTCTCTGTGCGAGTCTGTGGCTCTCTGTGCGAGTCTGTGGCTCTCTGTGCGAGTCCGTGGCTCTCTGTGCGAGTCCGCGGGTCTCTGTGCGAGTCCGTGGCTCTCTGTGCGAGTCCGTGGCTCTCTGTGCGAGTCCGCGGATCTCTGTGCGAGTCCGTGGCTCTGTGCAAGTCTGTAGCTCTCTGTGCGAGTCTACCCGTCTCTGTGCGAGTCTGCGGTGACCGGGCCGAGACAACCAACTCACTACAGCACCTGAGAACCCGGTTTAATCACGGGCAGCGGCATCTAAAACGCGGAATGGAAGCCGGCGTCTGAGCGGTGGCATGTCGGCGTCTCCGAGCCCCGCGTGGCCGGGCCTCGCGAGGCTGCGATGCGGTGTTACCCACCATGGGTCCGCGCCCTTTGATCTTGCGACCTGACCGCGTGTACTTGGGCCGGTTCCACTGACGTGGGTACTCAGCGCCAGAGTTTGTCATGGTGCTGCTGGATACACATACACACAGTGCACAGACACACACAGTGCACAGACACACACGCAAACACACAGTGCACAGACACACACGCAAACACACAGTGCACAGACACACACACAAACACACAGTGCACAGACACACAAACACACAGTGCACAGACACACACACAGTGCACAGACACACACAGTGCAGAAACACACACAGTGCACAGACACACACACAGTGCACAGACACACATACACAGTGCAGACACACACACACAGTGCACAGACACACACACACAGTGCACAGACACACACACACAGTGCACAGACACACACACACAGTGCACAGAGACACACACACACACACAGTGCACAGAGACACACACACACACACAGTGCACAGAGACACACACACACAGTGCACAGACACACACACACACACAGTGCACAGACACACACAGTGCACACACACACAGTGCAGAAACACATACAGTGCACAGACACACACACAGTGCAGAAACACACACACAGTGCTCAGACACACACAATACACACACACGCACAGTGCACAGAAACACACACACGGTGCACAGACACAGAGCGACAAAACAGAGAACGCACGTGCACACGTAAAACAGGTTAGGATGTGGTCAAACAATTGTTTACCCCCCCTTCCACATGACTATAAACTATGTTTATCTTACCATGTATGGTCGACTGAGCTACGTGGCGCCAGGGGGCAGTCAGGGCGGCACTAACGATCGCCCCGGGGGGTGACGGCGGGGGAGGGGGGGGGCCGGGTCCCCCACGCTTACCTCTGCTCGTCCGTCCGCTGGGGGCTCCGCCGCATGAGGAAGCTGTTGGAGGGCCCCGTGGGGATCTCGTCGGGCCGCACCGAGGGCACCGCTGCGTCGTTCTCAACTTCGTGGCGCTCCGGGGCGCTCGCCTCCCCCGCCACCGCCTCCTTGGCCCCCACTTCCGCCTCGCTCCTGTGGGGGAGGCAGAACTCAGTCAGCAGGGTGGCGGCAGGGTGGCGGCACCGTGTAAGTCCATAGGCTCGCGCACAGAGACCCATAGTCCATAGACTCATACAGAGACCCATAGTCCATAGACTCGCACAAATCCATAGTCCTTACTCACACACAGAGACCCATAGTACATCAACTAACACACAGAGATGCATAGTCCATAAACTCATACAGAGACCCATAGACAAAGACTCACGCACAGAGACCCATAGTCCATAGACTCGCACAGATCCATAGTCCATAGACTCATACAGAGACCCATAGACAAAGACTCACGCACAGAGACCCATAGTCCATAGACTCGCACAGATCCATAGTCCATAGACTCGCACAGAAACCCATAGTCCATAGACTCACGCACAGAGACCCATAGTCCATAAACTCATACAGAGACCCATAGTCCATAGACTCGCACACAGAGACCTATAGTCCATAGACTCATACAGAGACCCAGTCCATAAACTCATACAGAGACCCATAGACAAAGACTCACACACAGAGACCCAAAGTACATCAACTAACACACAAAGATCCATAGTCCATAGACTCGCACAGAGACCCATAGACAAAGACTCACGCACAGAGACCCATAGTCCATAGACTCGCACACAGAGACCCAGTCCATAGACTCGCACAGAGACCCATAGACAAGGACTCGCACAGAGACCCAGTCCATAGACTCGCACAGAGACCCATAGACAAAGACTCACGCACAGAGACCCATAGTCCATAGCCTCTTAGTCACTTTGCGATGCCCTGCAATGCCAGCCAGTGCCTTGCACATCTGCGTCCTTACGTCTTCTCGCGTTTTCCCTCCTTTTTGCCCTTGGCAGATTTGTGTTTCTTGGTCTTCCTCTTTTTCTTCCTCTTTGTGGCCTCCTCGTCGCTGTCGCTGCTCGAGTCCGAAGAGGAAGAGGAGGAGGTCTCGCTGGAGCTGCTGGACGAGCTCTCGGACGAGGAGGGAGACTCCTCGCCGCTGCCCGCCGCTGCCGCCTTCTTTTTTTCTCTGTGTTAAAAGAAGGAATAAAAATATTGTTAAATTTCGATTTAAAGATTCTAGATTTGAAGCTTTCGTGACTGCAAGTATTCATATTCTTAGGTTTTTTCGGTAAAGTCACGTAGGTCAAAAAATGTAATTAAAATTAATAAAAGTAAAATAATAAAATAAAAATCACGACATTTCGGAGGCAACACAAGCTTCCGTTTTCAGGTGGAACCGTCACAGCACGATAGCTGTATCAATTTTAATTTTAATTTTTTACCTACGTGACTTTACCGAAAAAACCTAAGAATTTGATTTAAAGCTTTCGTGACTGCAGGGATTCATCTTCTTGGTTCTTTCGGTAAAGTCACGTAGAATGGAAATAATAAAATAATAAAAATAAAACATTATAAAATTATATTTTATTATGTTTTATTTAGATTTTTTTATAATAAAATAATATTTTATTATGTTTATTTTTTTTATTTTATTATTTACATTCTACGTGACTTTACCGAAAGAACCAAGAAGATAAACATTGTTGCTGCTAATCCTACACAATGCACGGGCATAATATGACTTTGAGACCCCCCCCACCTCCTACGCATTCCACAACTAATCCCATATCTGCATTTTCCATAAATATGTTAAATTCCTCTGTTGATATGCAAATTACTTTGTCAAGGCGCCCTTCCTCCTCTAACCCAGCTTAAATATATGCTGCCAAGCTTGGTGGTGCTCATTCAGACGCTGTCTTTCCGACAGACCTGTTCTTCACCCGAGGACGGCTGCTTGCGTTGTGGCCAAAACGTCGTGAGAATTGTATTTTATTGTTTTATTTTTATTATTTTATTATTTCCCTTCGACGTGAATTTACCGAAAGAACCAAGAAGATTGAAAAGAAGGACAAGAACAACCTTGCACATGCATGGACGCTGTGGTCACGCTCCCCGATGCTAAACTAAACTCTTTTTTTATTTTATCAGGTAAGGCCCCACTGAACTACATAGCTCTTCACCATTGGAACCTCATTCTCATTCAGTAGCTAAATATGATAATAAACATGACTCCTTGTAAAAAAAGGTGTCAGTTTTGTTGCCAGATAAAAGGGTAAAAAAACAATTATCATATTTTGCTACTGGCAAAGGAGGTTCCAATGGTGAAATGCTTACCCAGAGCTCTCATACTCTGATGGTGCATTGTCTTTGAGTTGTGCGCCTTTTGGCGTCATCTGGTCCAACACCATGTGAGACTAGGCTCTAAGGAAAGCTGTCTCAGGTGTGGACCAATCAATTTCAAGGACAGTGCATACATTATCAGAGTTGTGGGTTTTTTTGTTTGCATTCCGACTGCAGGTATTGTGGTCAATGCAAACATGACTCCTTGTAAAAAAGGTGTCAGTTTTGTTGCCAGATAAAAGGGTAAAAAACTATTATTATACATAGCTCTTTTTCAGAAGCCACCTGGCTATCACAAATGATAGCTCAACGAAGCGGCTTACCATGTGGAAATTTATTGCAGCCAAATGCTCTGAACGCGTGACGTCGATTCCAAATGTGGAGGGAAAAACCGGAGGACCCGAGGAAAATTTCACGCGATCACGGGGAGATTGAGAGACAGGCAAATTCCAAATATACAGCAGGCGTCAGGGTTGGAATGGAACCCCACGACCTCTTGCATACCAGGCGAGGTAACTAACATCTCGCCACCGTGGCACCCCACGAGCGTTCGATTGGTCGGTTAACGACGTCGCGTTTCGGGGCGCGATGAGGCGACACCACTCCCTCCGACCATTAAACCGCTGTGGCAGCATCTCAAGTCATTCTTGCAAATGAAGCTCTATCCCGGGATCCCGAGTTCTCAGCCGGTTCAACAAAATCCATTTGAAATCAGGATATGAACGTTATGGCAGTACCCCGGCTCTCGCACAATGTCCGTGATGCAGTAATTTTTAGTCTGTTGATGGTCTGCGATGCGGCAATCGACTCATCTCGACGAGCTGTACACGATGCACCACTACGGTGTGTACGAGCGTTCAGGGTTTCAGTGCAATCATCCTCGCTGCGTTTCAACATTGCGGAGTGTGGCACTGATTTCGGATTGATTGGTACCCCAGTCGCGGAGTTAAGTACACCCCTGGAAAAAAGCGTCCCAGAAATTAAATATTTATTTGCCTCGGCCATTTTGTATTATTTGGTACCCCAAGGAACCGCCATGAGGATCATATCATGGGAGGGAATTGACAATAACAATGAAATGCGATGCTGCGAGTTGTGCGTGCGTGGGGAGCGGAGGTGCAGTGGTTAGAGCACCGGGCGACAAACCCGGCAACACTCGAGAGTACGATTATCTAAACCGCCTCGGCCTCAACGGAGTACCCGGTGCGGTGTGTAAACATCACAACCGTGGAGACAAAGGTGGCCGGGCGTGGTGCTGGCCACCCACCACCCCATTCGTGTGCCGTGCCGGCTTTCAAAGGTGCTCGCGAACAGCACTTTTCCCAACAGTCTGTTAGAGCTACAGGGTGGATCTTTGTCTTTGCATCCTGGTGTTTGCATGTTCTCCCCGTGATCGTGTGGATTTTTTCTCCGTGTCCTCCGGTTTCTCCCTCCGCATTTAGAATCAACATGTGTTTTAGAGGTTTTGGCTGCTATAAATTTCCACGTGATGATAAGCCACTTCTCGTTGAGATATAATTTGTGGCCAGGTCGCTTCTGAAAAAGAGCTCAGTGGAGCCTTACCTGGTAAAATAAAAAGTTGAGTTCATAGTTTTAGTTTCAAGTTCATTTATTAGGTATAGCCCTGTGAGCCATTCGGCTCTTGAATTTAATTTAGTTCTACGTGTGTTGTGCAACCCCTTGCCCCAACAGTCCGTGTAGGCCTACACGGGGACCTTTGTCTTACTCTTAGACTTGAGGACGAGCTCGCCACAGTTCACGATGCGGACGTCGGCATACGGGCGACTGTTGGGGTCGGTCTTCTGGCTCTCGATTTCCCGCACGGTCGCCTGCCCGGCCACCACCTTGCCGAACACCACATGCACCCTGCGCGCAGCCATCGCACAGAGAGGTTCGGCGGTTACGGAAAATGACCGGGTCGGCAGGGAGGAGCGGCGGGACAAGGGGAGTTGAGATGGAGAGGGCTCGGGAGGTATGAGAGTGTGCGGAGGGGGAGTGAAGCGGGAACGGCTCGATTAGAGCCGTTAAACTCACCCATCCAGATGCTGCGTAGGCCGCGTGGTGCTGGCGAAAAAAAGATACAAAACCAACGGGTCAATCGTCGTTCTCATGCATCATGAAGAGGTAAAGGTGCGGCCCTGCAATGCCCGCTCACGCCACTGCTAATAGAATCCATAGAAAACACCCTCCCCACACCGCCAGCCGTTTATTTTTGACCCACTGTGAGTCTGCGAGGTTGTGTATGTTGGATACCCCCCCCCCACCTCGTGTGTCGTGCCTGCCTTCATAGGTGCTCGCTCATAGCACGGGGGGGGGGGGGGTGTCTATGAGTGTCTGTTAATGTGAGAGCGTGAGTGTGCAGGAGTGCGCGTGGGTGTTAGTGGGGAGAGGTGGTACAGCGGTTAGCGCACTGCGCTAACGAACCCGACTACCCGACTTCGATTCTCACTCGCAGCTAACATCGGTGGCAGCGAATATCTGAACTGGTCCCGTGCCTCCCCCTAGGTCAACACAGCCTTAAATGAGCACCTGGTGTAAATGCATCAGCAATGGGGAGACAAAGGCGGCCGGGAGTGGTGCATGGCCACACCACGTCCCCTTATAGGTACGCCGTTCCGGCCTTCAGTCGCTCGATAATAGCGCTTGCCGCAACAGCGCGTTCAACAGGGAACCTTCGTCAGTTTAACACGTAGTAGGCTTTCGCGACCAATATTATCAATAATAAAAGGTTGTTTTTATATCAGACGGCATAAATACAAATGTGTCGTTAAACCCACCACCACCTAATACAGCCAATTAATAAGGTTTGTCTCGTAAACAAACCGTGCCAATTAGTTACAAGTTCAGCACACCGGAGTGTTCGAGAGTAAACCCACATTCACAAGTGGTGGCAGGTTTAACAACAAATTTGTATTTACGCGATCTAACCCGACAAAAAAAAACGTTATTATGGACCTGCGTCTTTGTGCACGTCGGTGACCATCGGCCGCGGGAAAAACTCACATGAAGAACTGCGATCCGTTGGTGTCTTTCCCGCGGTTCGCCATCGACAGGAGGAAGTCTTCATCATGCTTCACCGCAAAGCTCTCGTCTGCCGATGGCCACATTGCGCGCAACAATGCCGCTCGTTATTTTAAAACAATCGCAGTTTTCAAAATCGAACAATCGAACTCTGGATGATCCAGAGTGATGGGTGGGGCCGAGCGATGGCCCGGATGACAAAGAACAAACACGCACAGGAGAAGCAGAAACGCGTAGAATGCGAAACGCAAAGACCCTTACACCGGCGGTTCACCGATATTGATCGGAGCAAAGCCGACGACTCGACTGATGAGATGCCGAATGTCGAACGCGGTGCCGAGTTTGTCTTGTCATGAATCAATGCTGCTGGACATGATGCACTTTCAGAAGGCCGTGGCGTGCGGCTGATGGCTCGTGTAAGAAAAAGTTTTTGTATCTGGAGGGAGATATGTGAAGCGAGACGTATTGTCTGCGTATTTATGTTGAAGTGCCAAGTGACAGAAGCGCAAGCAGAGGCTCGACGTCAGTTTTGATTGCCTCTTAAAAGTTACCGGTCCACTCGCCGACTTGACTGTGGTCAAGCGGGGGCCGAGTCACCGACCCTCGACGAGTGAGGAGCGGCTCATAAATAAACCGTCGTGCGCACTGAATTTCAACAAAGAAGGCAACCGTCAATTTTTAAACGAAGCTCACCGTTGAAAAATCCTCCGTAGATCGACTCCCCACCCTTGCCATTTCCTAAACACACACACACAAAAACATCGATTAGAATCCTGCAAAACTACAAACTCGACTTCAAAGCTTTCGTCTTGTGCCAAAGGCATCGGGAGCTCCTCACCTTCACTGAAGTCACCGCCCTGGATCATGAATTCCTTGACTATGCGATGAAACGGAGTTCCCTTGTAATGCAGAGGTTTCAGTGTTGTTTTGCCCACACCTCTTTCTCCTGCAAGAAAGACAAAGATCCCCCCACCACCGTATGGCCTTTAGCAGACTGTTAGGGCAAGTGCTGTTAGCGAGCACCTATTTGGGTGGGCATGGCACGCGAGGGGGACGCCCGGCCACTTGTCTCCCCATGCTGATGTTTTATACACACCATATCATATTCTTGGTTCTTTCGGTAAAGTCACGTAGAAGGGAAATAATAAAATAATAAAACATAATAAAATTATTCTCACGACGTTTATTATGTTTTATTTTATTTATTTTATTATTTCCCTTCTACGTGACTTTACCGAAAGAACCAAGAAGATGAATCCCTAGTCACGAAAGCTTTAAATCGAAAGACACCATATCATGTACCCATTTAAGGCTGAGTCTCCCTAAGGGAATCTCAGGACCGGTGCATATATTTGTCACCGATGTTGGCTGTGTGCGACAATGGACATAGACCCTGCACAGCAGGTTTCTCAAGGCTATAGGGTTACAGCAAAATGAATTGCTGTACTGTACTTCTACGCCTTCACCCACCAACCAGTATGGCTTGTTGATTAGGGTTTTGTTGTTGTTGTGCATTCACTGGTGACTGGACTGAGACCATCAACTCACTGCACTTGCCAAGCCAGTTAATTTTAAACTCAGTCTACGCGAGTAGATGGGTCTCGCTGCAAATCTCTGGGTCTCTGAGAGTCGCTGGTGACCGGGCTGGGACCATCAGCTCACTACTAGACTTGAGGACCCGGTTTAATCACAACTTAGTCTATGTGAATCTATGGGTCTTTATACGGGGTCAACGCTCCCAGCGACCCCGGCCACTGCGACTTTTGTGCAATCTAACATGCGGATATTAAACATCCCAACATGGCGACGCGCGATCAAACGTCACCCCACCACGGCTCAGCGCGACACGGGAGAGGCCCTCATCCCGCAGTGGATTGAAATATTTTTTAAAATATGTAACAATTTATAACACGCGCACATTTCGTGTGTAACATCTGTATGTCCGCACGCGGAGGTTGACGGGTCTCGCTGATCGTCTCTTCCGGCTCACCTGTGCAAAGGCAGCGGAAGTTTTCGCAAGTTTTTGGGCAAACGTCGGAAAACAGCTCCATGACGATCCTGCTAGCTGCGCACGGGGAGGAGAGAGTTTCACAGTCACTTAACACCCGTCCATTCACGTGGCAGCGGGACTATAGAGTGATGTACACGTGACCGCTACACCACGGGAAGGGGGAGTAGGGTCACGGAGATAATGCACGGGTTGAAGAAACAGGAAAGGGAAATTAGAGGCAAATTAAGGAAAGAGAATGGAAGAAAAGAGCAAATGGGTCAGGTGAGGAAGAGGCTAACATCATACGGGTCTCGATGGTGCTGCAAGGAGTGGAGTCTGTTTTCACAGGGGGTGGGGGCGGGGAGATGGGAAGGATTCAGAGTGGATGTGACCACTCGGAAGTCACGTGGTTTACAGGAAGCTTGAGCTGATGTAGATAGCGAGATAGGGATTTAGAGATGAGACATTTCAGAGTGGGCCTGGTCACACGCGTCAAACTACAGGAGACGGACGCTGATACAGACGTCTGATCACCGAAGCAACCCCCACAGAACGCCATATAAAGACTAAGAAGGACGCTCGGTGCTTATTCTGTTCGAATAGAAGCGGTGTTGTATCTCTCACGAGTAAGTGAAACGTGCCGACGCACGCGTTGTTACATTACCTGGAATGTTGTTGATGGCAATGTCGAAGAAGCATCTTGGTCTGTTTTTAACTCCCATGGCGGTGAGCACAGCAGCTCCTCAAGTCGTCGCGCTAAACACACACTACGACACAAACCTGAAGAAAAAAAGCGTACATTACTCCACTGCAAGTGGGAAAATGTTCGTGTGAGGTTTCGGGGGGTGGCTGTGGGGTAGTGTGGGGCGGTGATAGCACGGCATTTTGCATTGCCACCACACTCGCATAATTCATTAACCGTGGCGGCCGCCGCTTCGAACCGCGAATCTCTGCAACAAAACGCTCGGCCACGGCGCGGTAACAACCACGGCGGCCAGGGCAAGAAACATCGCAGCCGCGCGGCTCACTCTGCTACCGGGGCTGCTGCTGCTGCTGCTGCGGCTGCTGCTGCCGCTGCCGGCGGAGCCTGCTGCTGCTGCTGGCTGCTGCTGCGGCTGCTGCCGGCGGGGCCTGTTGCTGCTGCTGTGGCTGCTGCTGCGGCTGCTGCGGCTACTGCTGCCGGGGCCTGCTGCTGCCGGGGCCTGCTGCTGCTGCTGTGGCTACTGCTGCTGTGGCTGCTGCTACGGCTGCTGCTGCCGGCGGGGCCTGCTGCTGCTGCTGCGGCTGCTGCTGCGGCTGCTGCTGCCGGCGGGGCCTGCTGCTGCTGCCGGCGGCTGCTGCTTGGCTTCGGTCCGCGCTTATCGACGACGTCTCTCTTCCACTCGCTCTCCCGACCCAGGAAACAAAACACCACCCCCACCCCCCCTCCCCCCAGCCAGAGGCAAGCTCGTTCGGTGCTCTTACCCGAGCCGACGGTGGTGTCGGGAACTCGGCTCGACGGGGGCCACGCGGCCGAGTCGGTGACGAGGTAGAGATCTCGGCGGGCGCTGTGGAGAAACTCGACGGTGCAGCAGGTCGGAGGCCGATGATGGAGTTGGGGTGGTGGTGGGTGATGAGGGTGGAGCACGCGATCGAGCAATGCGCCGTAGAGAGTTGAACGCGTCTCGATGCTCCGTTCGAGTCCGGCCGCGATCAATGAATTCCAATATACAGGATTCTCACCAAGTCCACCTTCGACCCCGCACTCGCCGCCGCCGTAAGACTTTCTCGACAGAACGAGACCGCCGTAGATGTATGCCGGGCTCAATAAGAGTGCCCGCGATAATCCCGCGGAGCCGGCCGGGAGAGAGGAGCGCGGGCGAGCCGATAGCACCTGGGAGAGGCGCACTGTGCGCAGCGCCGATGTCCACGCGGGGCCCCGCTGTACAGTGCGCGCTGCACACGCCGTGACCCCGGAAACGGACCGAGCTCTTCCGGTCACGAGCGGAGGAGGGGGCAGTGGGGGATGGGAGGGGCTAGTGGGGGAGGGGAGGGGCTAGTGGGGGAGGGGAGGGGCTAGTGGGGGAGGGGAGGGGCTAGTGGGGGAGGGGGGAGAAGGAGGCAGTGGAGGAGGGGGTAGTGGGGGAGAGGAGGGGGAAGTGGGGGAGGGGGGAGTGGGGGAGGGGGCAGTGGGGGAGGAGAGGAGGTAGTGGAGGAGAGGAGGGGGTAGTGGAGGAGGGGGCAGTGGGGGAGGGGGCAGTGGGGGAGGGGGCAGTGGGGGAGGGGGCAGTGGGGGAGGGGGCAGTGGGGGAGGGGGCAGTGGGGGAGGGGGCAGTGGAGGAGGGGGCAGTGGGGGAGGGGGCAGTGGGGGAGGGGGGCAGTGGAGGAGGGGGCAGTGGGGGAGGGGGCAGTGGGGAGGGGCAGTGGGGGAGGGAGGAGGTAGTGGAGGAGGGGGGGGGGGGGCAGTGGGGGAGGGGAGGGGCAGTGGGGGAGGGGAGGGGCAGTGGGGGAGGGGAGGGGGTAGTGGAGGAGGGGGGAGGCAGTGGAGGAGGGGGGGGGAGCAGTGGAGGAGGGGGCAGTGGGGGAGGGGGCAGTGGGGGAGGGGAGGGGCAGTGGGGGAGGGGAGGGGGCAGTGGGGGAGGGGAGGAGGTAGTGGAGGAGGGGGGGAGGAGGCAGTGGAGGAGGGGGGAGCAGTGGAGGAGGGGGCAGTGGAGGAGGGGGCAGTGGGGGAGGGGAGGGGCAGTGGGGGAGGGAGGGGGCAGTGGGGGAGGGGAGGAGGTAGTGGAGGAGGGGGGAGGCAGTGGAGGAGGGGGGGGAGCAGTGGAGGAGGGGGCAGTGGGGGAGGGGGCAGTGGGGGAGGGGGCAGTGGGGGAGGGGGCAGTGGGGGAGGGGGCAGTGGGGGAGAGGAGGGGGTAGTGGAGGGGGGGCAGTGTAGGAGGGGGGGGGGTGAGAAGTGTTGGGGGGGAAGTGGAGGAGGGGTTGGGGGTGGACAGTCACGTGGGTTTGGAGGCAAGGGCACGTGACGGCAAGAAGAAATCCGATGAGCTGTGAAGCTCTAGTTTATTAACAGGCGTTACAACTTTTAAAAAACGCAAAGTAGATAAACGTGTATGGTCGAGAGTGAACACGGCAATGATGTAACGCGCCGAAGGGGGTGTCCCGCCGAGGAGATGGGATTCTTATAATCGCAGTTGTTGTTACACGGTACTGGAACCGGTGGTGAGATGGTGTAAATATCAATGTCAATATTATTTATATAATACGAATAAGCCAACTGGTAATGGGTATCCATTGTAATTTATATACGTACCTCCCCCCCGGCCTTCGTACCTGGTTGGCTCGCAGGTGAAGACATCACATTTATCCCTCTATAAGACATCACATTTATCCCTCTATAAGACATCACATTTATCCCTCTAGAAGACATCATATTTATCCTTCTGTAATGACAGGGGAGTCAGTCTGCATTGCGATTCGACTAGTGGCCACGGGAGGTAATGACAGGGGAGTCAGCCTGCAGTGCGATTCGACTAGTGGTCACGGGAGGTAATGACAGGGGAGTCAGCCTGCAGTGCGAACGGACTAGTGGCCACGGGAGGTAATGACAGGGGAGTCAGCCGACAGTGCGATTCGACTAGTGGCCACGGGAGGTAATGACAAGGGAGTCAGCCTGCAGTGCGAATAGACTAGTGGCCACGACGAGAGGCAATGACAGGGGAGTCAGCCTACAGTGCGAATGGACTAGTGGCCACGGGAGGTAGTGACAGGGCAGTCGGCCTGCAGTACGAATGGACTAGTGGCCACGGGAGGTAATGACAGGAGAGTCAGCCTACAGTGCGAATCGACTAGTGGCCACGGGAGGTAATGACAGGGGAGTCAGCCTGCAGTGCGAATCGACTAGTGGCCACGGGAGGTAATGGCAGGGGAAGTCAGCCTGCAGTGCGAATGAACTAGTGGCCACGGGAGGTAATGGCAGGGGAGTCAGCCTGCAGTGCGAATGGACTAGTGGCCACGGGAGGTAATGACAGGGGAGTCAGCCGACAGTGCGATTCGACTAGTGGCCACGGGAGGTAATGACAAGGGAGTCAGCCTGCAGTGCGAATAGACTAGTGGCCACGACGAGAGGCAATGACAGGGGAGTCAGCCTACAGTGCGAATGGACTAGTGGCCACGGGAGGTAGTGACAGGGCAGTCGGCCTGCAGTACGAATGGACTAGTGGCCACGGGAGGTAATGACAGGAGAGTCAGCCTACAGTGCGAATCGACTAGTGGCCACGGGAGGTAATGACAGGGGAGTCAGCCTGCAGTGCGAATCGACTAGTGGCCACGGGAGGTAATGGCAGGGGAAGTCAGCCTGCAGTGCGAATGAACTAGTGGCCACGGGAGGTAATGGCAGGGGAGTCAGCCTGCAGTGCGAATGGACTAGTGGCCACGGGAGGTAATGACAGGGGAGTCAGCCTGCAGTGCGAATGGACTAGTGGCCACGGGAGGTAATGACAGGGGAGTCAGCCTGCAGTACGAATGGACTAGTGGTCACGGGAGGTAATGACAGGGGAGTCAGCCTGCAGTGCGAACGGACTAGTGGCCACGGGAGGTAATGACAGTGGAGTCAGCCTGCAGTGCGAGTGGACTAGTGGCCACGGGAGGTAATGACAGGGGAGTCAGCCTGCAGTGCGAGTGGACTAGTGGCCACGGGAGGTAATGACAGGGGAGTCAGCCTGCAGTGCAAACGGACTAGTGGCCAAGGGAGGTAATGACAGGGGAGTCAGCCTGCAGTACGAATAGACTAGTGGTCACGGGAGGTAATGACAGGGGAGTCAGCCTGCAGTGCGAATGGACTAGTGGCCACTGGAGGTAATGCCAGGGGAGTCAGCCTGCAGTACGAATGGACTAGTGGTCACGGGAGGTAATGACAGGGGAGTCAGCCTGCAGTGCGAATGGACTAGTGGCCACGGGAGGTAATGACAAGGGAGTCAGCCTGCAGTGCGAACGGACTAGTGGCCACGGGAGGTAATGACAGGGGAGTCAGCCTGCAGTGCAAATGGACTGGTGGCCACTGGAGGTAATGCCAGGGGAGTCAGCCTGCAGTGTGAATGGACTGGTGGCCACTAGAGGTAATGCCAGGGGAGTCAGCCTACAGTACGAATGGACTAGTGGTCACGGGTGGTAATGACAGAGGAGTCAGCCTGCAGTGCGAATGGACTAGTGGCCACGGGAGGTAATGGCAAGGGAGTCAGCCTGCAGTGCGAACGGACTAGTGGCCACGGGAGGTAATGACAGGGGAGTCAGCCTGCAGTACGAATACACTAATGGCCACAGGAGGTAATGACAGGGGAGTCAGCTGACAGTACGAATAGACTAGTGGCCACAGGAGGTAATGACAAGGGAGTCAGCCTGCAGTGCGAACGGACTAGTGGCCACGGGAGGTAATGACAGGGGAGTCAGCCTGCAGTGTGAGTGGACTAGTGGCCACGGGAGGTAATAACAGGGGAGTCAACCTGCAGTACGAATACACTAATGGCCACAGGAGGTAATGACAGGAGAGTCAGCTGACAGTACGAATAGACTAGTGGCCACAGGAGGTAATGACAGGGGAGTCAGCCGATAGTACGAATAGACTGGTGACTATGGGAATGATCGAAAATAGGAGCGTGGCCAGGTGACGGAAGAGGACGATAGAATCTGCTGGTAGATCGAGTGTCTAAAATCAGTGAGAGGGTTCGGGAATGGGGTCATGGCCTTGGACCGTATATAAGGGAGATGCACGGGAGACTCGGGGCTGCTGAAGTTGGGGTCTCCGCCTGTGCAATTGAACGTGTCTTCAATAAAAAAAAATCTCAAGAAAGTGTGTCAAGTCGTCATTACACTTCTATTTAAGACAAGACATGTATCCCTCTATTAATACATCACATTATCCCTCTATTTAAGACATCACATTTATCCTCCATCTATTTAAGACCGAAGCAGGAGGAGGATTTATCCACACTTCTGGCTGTCCACCTGATAATGCTCATTGATGCTAGTTGTGGGTTTACTCTCCAACGCACCGGTGTGGTGTAATGGTAAGGAATTGGCACGTTTTGCTTACGTGACACACATTTACCAAGTGGCCGTGTCGGGTGGTGGCGGGTTTAACAATACATTTATATTTACGCGATCTAACCCAAAAAAAACTCTTTGGATATTGGTCGCAAAAGTCATAACTGTCAAGGCAGATGGTTGACCCCGTATTCTTGTACGGGTGTAGTGGATTCAACTGAGTCGCAGACGTATTTCTTGGAGGCAACATATTTATTTACACCAACTCATTAACACAGAGGGGTTACTGCCCCTTTACCAGATAACCTATGGTGGTGGACCACCAGGCTAACTACGCTAGCTACTGGGAGTAGCTACAACGGACAGGACCCTGGCTTGGGTCCTCGTCCACGTGTTGGTGACTTCTTCTCTTAGACGTAGAACGTAGATGGTAGATCTTCAGATGACAACAGCAACGCTGAGCCCCGGTCCCTGTGGGGACCCGGTTTATATGGTCCCGGGTCGTGGCTGGCCCCGCCCTTGGCCACGACCACGTTCAAGAAACCTCTTGTCGTTTCTCGACCCTTCCCGTAGGATCTCACCCTGACACGTGACCACCCCCTAGCCCCCGCTTGGGGTCCCTGTGTAGATCTTGCTTGTCACGTGCTTTCCAGGGTCAACCAGAGTGCCATGGCCTAGGCTAACCTCATCCCATGGCTGACACTCTCACACTCCCTCCTGTAGGAGTCAACATTGCACGCCACGCGTGGTGCCACTGAGCTATCCCAGCGCTCACCGAGCCCCCTCGAGGGTTGGTACTACACCCACCAACGGGGTGGTACTGGCAAAGGTCTAATGATGTAGATGCTTACCCCAAGCCCTCATTACTTTGATAGTGCATTGTCTTTGAGCTGTACGTCTTTTGGCATCCTCTGGTCTAGCACCAATTGAGACGAGGCTCAAAAAAAGCTGTCTCTGGTGTGGACTAATCAGTGTCAAGGACAATGCATATATTATCAGAGTGTGTTTTTTGTTTGCATTTTGACCACAAGTATTGTGATTAATGCACACATGATTCCTTGTAAAAAAAAAGGTTTCAGTTTTGTTGCCAGAAAAAAGGGGAAAACCCCCTATTATTATATTTGGTACTGGCAAAGGATGTCTAATGATGATGGACTCGTCTCGTCGTCGCTGTTGTCTTCGCCCGACAATTGCGCGGGCGGACAATGTTTGGCTGTCTCGGTCGACCCCGTCTGTGCAACGCGGTCATGGTTGTGTCTAGGCCGGGCTGTACGGCAGCGTGGTCGAGAAGGAGGAGGCCGGAGTTGGCGTGACGGAATAATGAAGACGAAGAGGAAGATGGAGCCTCCTGCTACTAGCTCGTCTCCGACTGAGTGTGTGCGACGCACACCACACGCAGAGAGAGGAGGACAACTACTCATGTAGAGTATCGCAGGATCGCCTTTGGGGAGGTCTTCGACCAGCAATGGATTGACCATGGCTGACGACGATGATGGTGATGATGATGAGAGTTGGTGAGAGCTTGAGGAGGTCTTCATTCAGCAGTGGATTGGCCATGGCTGATGATGATGGTGAGAGTTGGTGAGAGCTTGAGGAGGTCTTTATCCAGTAATGGATTGACCTTGGCTGATGGTGATGAGAGTTGGTGAGAGCTTGAGGTCTTCATCCAGCAGTGGATTGGCCATGGCTGACGACGATGATGATGAGAGTTGGTGAGAGCTTGAGGAGGTCTTTATCCAGCAGTAGATTGACCATGGCTGACGACGATGACGGTGATGATGAGAGTTGGTGAGAGCTTGAGGTCTTCATGCAGCAGTGGATTGACCATGGCTGACGATGATGATGAGAGTTGGTGAGAGCTTGAGGAGGTCTTTATCCAGTAATGGATTGGCCATGGCTGATGGTGATGAGAGTTGGTGAGAGCTTCAGGAGGTTTTCATCCAGCAGCGGATTGACCATGGCTGATGATGATGATGATGAGAGTTGGTGACAGCTTGAGGCCTTCATTCAGCAGTTGATTGACCATGGCTGACGACGACGACGATGATGACGATGAGAGTTGGTGAGAGCTTGAGGAGGTCTTCATTCAGCAATGGATGGACCATGGCTGACGACGATGACGATGAGAGTTGGTGAGAGCTTGAGGTCTTCTTTCAGCAGTGGATTGGCCATGGCTGATGGTGATGATGATGAGAGTTGGTGAGAGCTTGAGGTCTTCATCCAGCAGTGGATTGACCATGGCTGACGATGATAATGAGAGTTGGTAACAATTTGAGGAGGTCTTCATTCAGCAGTGCATTGACCATGGCTGATGGTGATGATGGTGAGAGTTGGTGAAAGCTTGAGGTCTTCTTTCAGCAGTGGATTGGCCATGGCTGATGGTGATGATGATGAGAGTTGGTGAGAACTTGAGGTCTTCGACTAGCAGTGGATTGGCTATGGCCGGTGATTGATGGTCCCTGACAGTGGGCGCGCCCCGTGAGGAATGTTTATGAATGGCGCTTTCCACGATTCAACGACTCCTCTCCATCTTTTATTAAATCAAGAATCGATTAGCATTACTCAGCTATTGCCTCTATCGTTTGTTGTTGTTTCATCTCCGCTACGTCGCAAGCGTTACGTTTAACGGTTAATTGTTTAGTTTTGAACAAAATTTTTTGTTTTGAACAAAACTAAACTATTTTGGCGCCAAATTCCGCGTCAGATTCGCGCGACCCGTCTCGGGCTAACGAATCAACGAAGTCGACGCTGGAGGAGGCGGGCGGGGCGAGCGACATAAAAACATTTTTTTTTTACAAAAAATTAACGGATTTGAGGGAAAAGTTGCATCCGTTTCGCGTTTAGAAGTAATTTTTTTTAGTTTTATCGCTGATCGATCGACGTTCGACGCTGCCGAGCCCGTGAAGATGCGAGTCGCGCTCCTCTGCACGAGTGAGTCCACCACGGGCTGGGCTGGGGCTGGGTTGGGCTGGGTTGGGGCTGGGTTGTGGCTGCCCCCCTCTCTCTCTATCGTTGTCCACACTTAAGTTTAGAGGGTGCAGGGTGAGGGGGGAGATGCTGCTGCTGCTGCTTTGTGTTGGAGGCGACGTGGCCGCTGTTGAGGCTTGGTCTCTCCGTCTCTGCGGAGTTTGTACGATCTGTTCTGCAGAGCGTGTGTGCGCACCGACGTAGTGGACGAACCACCCCTAGGTCGCCTCAGTCGTAAATAACTACTGTACCCGCTGACCGTGTGTGAACTTTCGGCACTGGGGAGACAAAGGCGGCCGGGCGCGGGTTACCACGGCCCCACAGCAGGATCAGTTCGATTCCAGGCCATGACCAATATCAGTGGTCAATTAATGAACCGGTTCTGGGCCTCTCCTGGGTCAACTCGGCCTTAAACACCAAAGCTCTCCCGCCGGGTGCTTTTGGGGCCGTCCATAAATGACGTCACGCGATTTTGGACGATTTTTGACCCCCCCCCCCCCTTGTCACACGGCGTCACAAAAAGTCAGACCCCCCCCTCAAATATGACGTCACAAAGCTCTGCCCCCCCCCCAAAAAAAATAACATGCTTTGAATCGCTTTAAACTATTGTCATTGTAGTGCGTATTTAATGTGGCGCTGCACTCTGATGTTGTAGGAGAAAACATTAAAAAGTCAATTTAATTAAGTAGAACGTGTCTATATTTATTTAAAGTTGCGCATTTTCATGTGACGTCACATTTCTCACCCCCCCCCCCCTCGTCACACATCGTCACAAATGTCTGACCCCCCCCCCCCCTAGGTGCGTGACGTCATTTATGGACGGCCCCTTTTGGCCAAAACTGATCTTGGCCAATCGTCCCAATGCTGAAATGAAACCTGCAAATCTCTCTGTTGGCATTACACAGCAGCAGCAGCAACAGCAGCAACATCGCATCACTCCGGCGAAAACTTGGCAGGAACGTCCTGAAAAATAAGTCATATTTAAAAAAACTGTTTTAAAACACGCTTTAATGAAAAGTAACGTACTAGTAATGGAAGAACTCCACGATTCCAAGAAGTGACCACGAAGCTTGCCATGACGTAAGGGACCGTGGCCAATTCCAGCCAACGTCAGTTGACCGTGGACAATTAGACGCAAGCCGAAACATAACATATAAAAAAGATTATTTACATTTTTTTTATTATTTATGATAGAATATAGTTTTGTCATCAGTATGACATAAGTATACCAAGTTTACAGTCGATACCACATTGGGAAGTGGGTTAAAATTGAGGTACAATATTTGAGGATACAACAACAACAGACAGAGTGAGTTAAATAAAAGCGTATAATAATAACAACAAGTGCCTTGAGGTGATCGCTGCTGCCGCTGTGCAATCCCAATTGAGTAATTTTAGCGAGGCAATTGGACCACGACTCTTGCAGAACGATCCTTTGACGTGCCCGGCTCTCCGTGGCAACTGCACCTCCCGTGTCAACACTCTGGGTCCCAATATACAGAGCAAATAAAAACCAACACTCACTGCCTTGTGGAAACACCATGGATACAAACTTACGCAGCATTGCCTAAGTCGAGCTCCGTAAATCACGTGTTATATCAGGCCTCCAGTAAATCACGTGGTTTGGACACCACCACCATCATTCTACATCCCTCCCCTATCCCCGCCGCCCCCTGTGGAAATAGACGCCGCTCCAGCATGCAACCCACACCGCTCCTCCCCTCTCATCCATCACTACCCTCATCATCATCACCCTCTCATCATCACCACCCTCTCATCATCACCACCCTCACCATCACCACCCTCTCATCATCACCACTCTCATCATCACCACCCTCTCATCATCACCACCCTCTCATCATCACCACCCTCCCAACCCCCGACATCTTGGCCCAGTTATTCTTTCTCCCCCTCGTCCCATTCCTGCCTGTCGCTCCTTTCTTCCTGCTGTTCATCTTGAGCGGTGACCCCACCTCTTTGTCTGTCTTAGGGACTTCCGTGCCGGTATCCCTTCCCTTCCATCTTGCCCCCTTCCCCTGGCTACTGCCCTTTTGCACAACCGACTAAATTCTCCTCCCCGTGGTGTGGTGCCACGGGCACAAAGTCTGATGTGGATATGAATGCAGTGGATTTTTTTTGGCCCATCGGCCTCTTCGCTTTATAGACAAATTATGCAAAAACATGTTATCGGTGGTGTTCACGGTCACTCCTAACTCACGCGATCTTCACTTCGTAGGTTTGCTGGTTACGTGTGTGTCGAGCACGGAGGTGCTGCACAACATTCAAGCCAACAATCTGTTTTACTACACGCTGAAAAGAGCCGACTACCTGACATCCATTCCCGATTCCAGAAGCGGTGAGTCTCCTTTTTCTTTCCATTTCCCGTTCGCGGTCCTTCCTCGACTCAAGGGCTGGCCACATGATGGACCATCCCACGCCACATGGCGAGTAAACATGGAACGTCGGGCCGACGTTGGTCCAACCACATGCCAACGCTGCATGTTTACCGAGATGGTTTAGGACAAAATATGGTGGGATGTACGTGGTGTAGCCGATGTTATTTCAGAAAGTTATGATGCAACTCCTAGGCCCATATTTTACTTTCACTTACCATCTGTTGTCCCTTCCGACATTTGGCATCGTACCAAAATCGTGACCTGCCGGATTTTACGATGAACCCTTTTAAGATAATTTCCCGTACCACGTGCCTCCTGGACTTTAGCAAACCACTCCGCGTGCTTGCGCCGTGTGTGCAGATGACCCAGTGACGTTTCGCGTGAGCGCGGCCGGATCGCCCGACAGACCGCAGTGGCTACGCTACCTGCAGAGAACCCAGCAGAGTGACGCTGTCCTATACGGACCCCTCAACCCGGCCCACGCTGGCACGACCGTGCTGGAGGTAACGTCGTGATGACGGGCGCTATAATTCAGTTATTATTAAAGAGATTATTTTTTTGGGGTAAGGAACCACCCCCCTCCTCTCCCCACCCAGGTTCGTAAATTATCTGGCCTCGTTTGTATCGTTAAGAACCCTCCGCCACCCAACATGGCCAAAGAAATTGAATTGTCATGTGGTGTACAGGATTTAACGAGATGAAACCTAGGCCAGTTTAAGACACCCAATACATAGCCTCTTTTGCAAGGTAGGCCCATTCCGTCAGCAGTGGCATGAGCAAGCAATTGCAGGGTAGCTCCCTTACCTTGTATTTAGCATTGTACAGCACTGTACTCAATCTTGGACTACCTTGATAAAGTGACATTACGTCTAAGGGCTCTCACCTGCTTATGAAGGAGTTTATTTCGTGCATATTTGTGATCTATGCTGCATTAAGGTGACCTCATACTGTGTTGACCATGGTGGTGTTTTGACCATACTTCACCTCGCCGGTCATAGCGTGGCTGGTTCAGATATCGCTCGCTTGCCACTGATGTTAGCTGTGGCCGGGAATCTGACCCATTTGGCTAGAGTTGTATGTGCAATGCGCCCACCGCTGCACCACCGCTCCCCACGTTTTTATATATTTTATTTGCTTCACAGGTTATAGGGTACAACAGGAGGCTTTATGATACCGCCAGACACACCATCGAATTTAAAGTTCGTAATTCTACAGGTGAGCCTTCACATTACACATACAGTACGTCAAATCGAAATCAGCTCGGGCCTCCCGCAAATCAAGGAGACTTATGTGTGACCTCTCCCCTCTGCCCGCCGCCTCGTGTGAAAACAGATGTTGCTCCTACACGCAGCTCACTTCTGCTCACTCCTTTATTCTCTCGTCTCTTATTCCTCTCTTCCTTCCCCTATCATCATCACCTGCTGATCTCCCGACATCTCGGCCCGGTCATTCTGTCTCCCCCCTTTGTGCCCAGCACTTCTGATCCTTTCTGCCTACTGCTCATCATGAGATGTGACCTCCTCCTCTTTGTCCCTCTCGGGCACTTTCGGACTATCACCCCCCTTCCCTTTCCTGGTCATTTTTCTCTTACATTATAACCTTGACCCTACTCTACTTCCTGTGGTGTGCCAAATGAAAACAGGGCAATTTATCCCACGTGAGTGACACCAATACCAAATTTGCCAATCTTCCAGTCGCATGGCCAATGAAGATAAAACTCTTGGAGGTGCAGGTTTTATGGACAACGTGTAGTTACATGGTCCACGGGTTGGAGTTCATCACCACAGTCGCACACGGGAGAGAGTTTCTGATATTGTAAAATGTCATTTATAATTATTATAATTATGATGATACCTGGGTCCGCGTGCAGTTCCGTTCCCATACCAGGTGGAGCTCTTCCTGCGCAACTGGCAACTGGAGCGGTTCATGAACGGCAGCTCAAGGACGGAGTTTGTGAATCTGCTGCGCCGGCTCTGGGGGCTGCGGCCGACCGTCGACCTGCGCATTCTCGACGCCGCCACCCCCTCCGATAAAGGGGGCCGGGTCCCCGTGCCCTCCGCTCACGCCCACGCCGAAGGGTGCGTTCCATCGCGGCCGCTTTTATTTAGTTATATATTCGCTCGCGCGGGCCACTGACGCGGGCGAGCGGTAGGTAAGCCCGTTTGAAGCTCGTCGCAGAGGTTCGCGGTTCAAGCCCAGCGGCCGCCCCTGGTTAATACTGCGGTGTGTGCGTCAACCGTCTGCTTAACCCGCAGTAGACGTTAAAGATCTCCTTACGTTATACTCTTTGGTTCTTTCGGTAAAGTCACGTAGGTATTAAATAAAATAAATCACGACGTTTCGGGCGCAACACAAGCGTCCATCATCAGGTGGGAAAGCATGGCCTGCTGCTGATGCAGACTGTTTTAAAGGTTTGAAATGGGTGTAGCCCAAGGGTTACGTTATTCGAAAGAGAGTCGGCCATCGCGCGCCGGCAATTCTGGTAACTTACCCGCATGGCCCATACTGTGAAACTACTGCAGACTTTGTGAAACATAGAGCGCCGGAATTGCTCTATTCCCACGATGAGCTCAAGTTTCAGGTGAGAATGCGAGACAGCAGGATGAGTCTCATTTGCAGGAGTGACCTGGGGCATTGGTGAACCAGTAGGGGACTATGATTGCTACTGTGTATAGTCCCAATAGAGTCATTCTAGATTTGAAGTTTTCGTGACTGCAGGGATCCATACTCTTTGGTTCTTTCGGTAAAGTCACGTAGGTATAGAACATAGAATAAAATTACGACGTTTCGATCGCAACAGAAGCGACCGTCATCAGGTGGAACCGATACAGCAGGACAACTGCTGGACCTTGATGACGGCACGCAATGGCCTGCTCTTGCGAATGTCGTCCGGGGATCTTTAACGACCAATGCGGCTAAAGCAGATGGCACGTAGTCGTATTAGTACGGTAGTAATAATCAGGGCGCTTGCTGCTGGATTTGAACCGTGAACCTCAGCATCAAACAGCGAACACGCTACCGCCGGGCCGCGTTACCACCCTGTGCCGCGCAGAGACAGCTGCCGCTGGGGGGGGGGTCCCCTTGGCTAAACTGTAGCAGGGCGCCTCGGAGATGCAGCCCATCGGAGGCGCAGTGAAAATATCCAACGACGATGATGACGGCGAAGATTTCGGGATCAAATATTGCAAGTGAATAGAGTTTACAATGTGCTCCGCGCGCAGGCTGTACGTACGAGCCGGGAGTCCCCAGTCCTTCCCTCCCCAGCTGGTGGCATTGAGACGCCAGGAGATCCGGGACACATGCCGTCGTGGGGACACGCCACGGCTGGACGTGGACCTGCGCTTGAGAGCCGTGGGCATGGAGGTGGACTGGTGCCGCTCACAGCTGGTATCCTGGTGCTTCACTTCACCTGTCACCGTCATCAGTCCATCATGATAAACGTCGTCATCACTTATTATTTACGGCGCACCTCCCATGCAGTACAGTAAAACCTTGGATTGCGAGTAACTTGGTCCGCTGAGTGTTTTGCAAGACGAGCAAGAATTTTAAATAAATATTTATTTGATAAACGAGCGAGGTCTTGCAATACGAGTAGTGCGTATACGCTTTGTCTGCCGAGCGTCACGTGATCACAACTGATATACGAGAGCTTTGATATACGAGTGCTTTGGATTACAAACACGTTTCCGGAACGAATTATGCTCGCAATCCAAGGTTTTACTGTACATCTTGAGAGACCTCATGTAAGCAATTGTTATTATTATTGCGTTTGTTTTCCCAGGAAAGCCTGAGCCTCATAACTCTTTTTCAGGAGCGTTGTGTCGAGTTCCCGCGGTAGATGGGGGGCGATCATTGCTATGTAACTACGAATTGAATCGCTTAGCGGTGTCATTGTTCAAATCTTGCAAATGTGGACCAAGATGCCGGCACACGATGGCCTACTCCTACGGGCGGCGTCACTGCATCGTCAACGTCCACAGTGAGCGAAGCGGACGGCGCGTAGCATTGCCACCGCGGTTAACAGTGCGCCGCCGGAGTGATCACCACCAGGGTGGATGCTGGATGTTGACCGGCGAACCTCCGCAACGAGCACGCTACCCTACGTCTCCTCTTTCTCTCCTCGCTCTCCGACCCAGCTAGATGTACCGGCAGAGGCGAGTGCGGCCAGGGGGTGGGGAGCAGCGGCCGTGCCGGCTGAGCGGTGGACGGGCCTCGAGGAGCTCGGAGAGTTCAGCCCGCCGGACGCCGCCGCCGCCGCCGACGCCGCCGCGCGCCACCTCACTCGCGACTTTGCGCTGGCGCTCGGCGTGCCCTGCGGCGCCGCGCTGCTCGCCTCGCTCGTGCTCGCCCACGTCATGTGCTGCCGCCGCGAGGGCAGGTGGGCCCCAGCGGGTTCCGCTACCCGTTAACGGTTCGCTTTGCGCAGGCGAACGGGAAAGCCGGATTCATCTTCTTGGTTCTTTCGGTAAAGTCACGTAGAAGGGAAATAATAAAATAATAAAAATAAAACATGATAAAATACATTTCTCACGACGTTTCGGCCAACAACGCAAGCGGCCGTCCTCAGGTGAAGAACAGGTCTGTCGGAAAGACAGCGTCTGAATGAAACACCACCAGGCTTGGCAGCGTATATTTAAAGCTGAGTTGGAAGGGAAGCCGGATACCTATGGGACCCCTGATTTTACCGTAGATGCAACTGCTCAGCCCCGAGTTATTAACGCTCTGATACTTGAATTGCCTTTGTGCTCTTCACCTTTTGGGATTCTTTGGTCGAACACCGGTGGTGAGGCGAAGCCATAAAGGAGGTGTAGGCCAATCAGTTTCACATACAATGCGTACATTATTATCAAAGCACATTTGTTTTACCACAAGCCTGTGTGGTTAATGCAGACTTGATGCCTTGCAATAGGTGTTTATTTGGTGTCTGAACATCTTGACACCTCCTGTATTATTGCAAAAAGGCTGAAGCCGATGATTTTCTCATCAGGAAACTGCATACTGAAAAGCTAAGCACATTTCAGCCCAATTGGTGTTGTACATTAGTTGCAAATCACTGTAACGTTGGCATTCGCCGTAGTCTTGAAGACAAATCAATGACGGTGTAGATCACTTCTAAGCGTGCCTACGGGGAGTTTAGTATTTAGTCGATGCGGCCGTGACCACAATGCATTGTGTGTAGCCAACGTGGTCAGTACGGTTGGGACATCTGGGTTTGATGCATCCAGTTCCTGCCTCGTTTGCACTGGATAGAATGTTAGCGTGAAGCAGCGACAAGGGTGGTTTGATGATCCAGCACTCGAGTGTGTTGAGGTGTTGTTGTTGTTAGCTGTGCTTGTGCACCACTGCCAACGCACTTAGCAGCAGCAGCAGCAGCATTGGCCAAATAATCTGTACAGTACCTACAAACAATGTCATTTCGTAACAAACGTTTCCTTTTTTGTTGTACTCAGATCCAAACGAGACAAAAAGACTCCAAGGTAAGTGTTGTGTTTGTAACACCTATTATTTAGTCGTACTAGCAGAGGTGGGACAAAGTCATTGTTATGCAAGTCCAAGTCGAGTCTGAAGTCATCAAATTCATGACTCGAGTCTGACTCGAGTCCAAGTCACATGACTCGAGTCCACATCTCAGAAGTGGGACAAAGTCATTGTTATGCAAGTCCAAGTCGAGTCTGAAGTCATCAAATTCATGACTCGAGTCTGACTCGAGTCCAAGTCACATGACTCGAGTCCACACCTCTGCGTACTAGCAATAATGATATTACATACCAAAATTGGTTTATTATGGGTTAGATCCTGTCGGTGAAGGAGTGCTGGGAAGGAAGGGGAGAAGGACTAAGATGTGTGCGGGGAAGAGACGGTGGTGGTGGTGATGATGTTGACGACGATGGGAGCGGAGGAAAGGGAAGCAGAAGAGATAAGGAGCGGGCAGAAGTGAGTGAGATTGAGAGATGTACATCTTACGTTTATACGTACGTATGTACGTTGAACTACTTTTGCACCATACGTAGCCAACCGTGCTAAACGGAGGTGGGGGGGGGGGAGGACAACGGGGTGAGGACGGAGCCCAGCGGTAGTGCGTTTGCCGCAGAGGTTCGCGGTTGCAAGCCGGCAGGCTGCCCTGGTTATTACTGCAGGTTTTTATTTATCAACCATCAAAATTATACGCACCATCTTGCTTCAGAGGGGATATTTAAAGAGCCGGCGACGTCATTTGAATAGAGCAGGCCGGGTACCGGCGTGAAGGTTCAAATTGAAAATTGGAGAATTTACCTACAAATGACTTAATTGGCAAACATCTGTGCCCCTTCTTCTTGGTTCTTTCGGTAAAGTCACGTAGAAGGGAAGTAATAAAATAATAAAAATAAAACATAATAAAATAATTCTCACGACGTTTCGGCCACAACGCAAGCAGCCGTCCTCACCTGAGAACCAAGAAGATGAATCCCTGCAGTCACGAAAGCTGTGCCTCTCTACATGACAAAAATATTAAAGTGTGTTTTTGTTTACACATCCCATTGGCCACACGGCCTTCTGGGAGTGCCTAGTTTCAACAGTACTGGTTAAAAACAAGAAAAACTGCAGAACGGTTTCTACATTCGGTGTGTCGTCAGCCTTGCTTGAACCAATGCTGGACGAACTAATACACACCGTGTGTTTGTAATTTCCAGCATGCAACTCCTGCGGTATCAGGGCATCAAGCAAGCCACGCTGGAGCTGAGGAATCTGTCTTACCAGCGACCTCAGGTCGCCCCCATGGCCACGTGCCGGGGTTTCGACCCTCTCCGCCACGACCACCCTGGTGCCCGCGGAGCTCACGTGCCGCTTGTGTATCATCAGCAGTGAACGACTGGTCGGGTTTTCCGTGACACCGCGGTACTACACGGTGCATGTCGTACGGCAGAAGAGCCACGATAATCTGTTTCTGCAAACTTATTTGTGGGATTATGGTGACTGTGTTTAAGGTTGTGGCGATATGGCGATACGCCGTGATGGAAATTTGCCCGTACGCGGTACACTATAATGGCACTTTTTTTAACATTTCCCATTCCTATACAGCAATTATTCCATAGGGGGGGCGATGGCAGGTGTGTGTGTGTGAGAGAGTGTGAGCGAGCGTGTCGCTGTGTCAGGCTGAGTGGGTGTGAATGTGTAACAGTGTTGGTGTGAGTGTGCGAGGGTTTGTCTGTGAGTATGATTTTGTGTGTGAGGGTTTGTAAGTGCGAGTGTGTGTGCCAGTGTGTCAGCGAGTGTGAGGGTGTCAACGTGAGGGTGTGTGCGTGACAGTGAGGGTGCGATTGAGGGTGTGTGTCTCTTACTGAATATTGGCTGCAGGACAAATAGGGTTCATACCGGTACTTGTACAGTTTACATTTTGACCACTGGTGCTACAAGTCAAGTCGATTTTGTTTAACCAGGTGAAAAGAGACCTGGAGTTGCAATTGTCACCAGGGTCACCAAAATGACACAACCAAAGACATTCATACAAAGTACTAAAAAGCTATGAAGCATTAAGAATGTACGTTGAACTTTTTTCGCACTGTATGTAGCCAACATGAGAGATTGAAAATACAAAATATTTTATATAAGATCTATGATTATGATGTCACGTGCCAAGCAATGCATGATGGGAGAATCGGTCGATCACGATTGTGCCTAATCTTGATTTGAAACTTGCCTCTTGGTGTTTAGAAATCGCCGTTTGTATTACAGTATCATTAAACGTATTTGATTTTCATGTTGGCCAAGTATTGGAATACTGTTTGCTTTTATGTCGTTCCATAATACAAGTGTTCTTAGGTGTTGGTCACCCTGGTGGTGGTTACCAGGGCCGTATGATCCACTAGGCACAGTAGGCACAGTGCCCAGGGACTACGAAAACTAAAGGGCCTGCCAAACACATTTTTAACCATGTTTTTCTGGTTGTATGATAAAAAATGCAACCAAGATATCTTCTCGAATAAATATATTTATATTGCAAGGATAGGCACAGTGTATATGCAAAGACGCAGAGTCATGTCAATATCCAAAAAAAATTAATAAGGTGCGAGAAAGTTAAAACTGGAAATGAACTTTTCTAGATTTATTTTCATTGGAAAATTTGCAATAACATCTTCAAATGGTATTTTGCGCACACTCTCAATAGAGAGTAGTGCGAGGGAAGACAAGCGTTGTTGTCCTATGGTTGATCGGAGACAGTTTTTTTAAAATCAGCTTTATCTCAAATAAGTAATATTTAAAAAAACTTTTTTTTAAAAACACGCTTTAATGAAATGTACCGTACTCGTAATGGCAAAACTCCACGACTCCAGGAAGTGGCCCCGAAGCTTGCCATAACGTAAGGTACCGTGGTGATTTACAGCCAACGTCAGTTGAGCGTGGACAATTAGACCCAAGCCTGAAACATAACATATAAAAATGAATGTTTAAAAATATTTTTTTTATCGAATATAGTATTGTCATCAGTATGACATAAGTATACCAAGTTTGCAGTCGATACCACATTGGGAAGTGGGTTAAAATTGAGTTACAAGATTTGAGGATACGACAACAACAACAGAGTGAGTTAAAAGAAAGCGTGTAATAAGTATAACCCGTAAAAACAAAGTTTTTCACTATAAATCCTTTATATGCGTGGCAGCGAACTTAATATAAAGGATTTAAAAATATATTCGCCTGTGGTGGACGCGGGGATCGATCCCGCGACCTTTGGCATGGGAAGCGAGGGCGCTACCAACTGCGCTACTCCGCCACGGCCTGTGGAGGGGTTATGCTCTGGGCTCTTATACTGTGACGTTCAGCCAAAGCCAAGAATGAGTTCTATTTGAATATATGTAAAATAAAATTTTTTTGCCTAATCAGTGTAAAATTTTGGGAATTTTTTTTCACGAACATTGTCTGGTACAACGAGTCTGTGTGGAATATGTCAGCTCGATTGGATCACGGGAAGTGGGTTAAAAAACGACCGAAAGATTTGCACGGTCGTAAGCAAGCAAGCACGCAAGCACGCAAGCAAGCAAGCAAGCGAACTTAATATAAAGGATTTAAAAAGAACGCTCTTTTTCACTGTTCGTTTCCAAGATGGTAAGATACATCCTTAAAGCAATGTAAGCATTCCGAATGCTGCTGATCAGCTTGTTGGATATTTGGGCTTTGAGCACATCTGCCACTGTTTTTTTTTTCTGCATACAAATTCAAGAACTACAGAAATTCATCAGTGAATGCTTTTTCAAGATCTGTTGGATATGCAGCAACCAATGCATTGGCCCGCACAACTTTTTAATCTGTGAACATTGATACAAGGAAACTGAATCGATCATTCAATCTGGCATGTGCATTTTTGCCATTTTTTCATCTCCAGAATGCAGGATCGCTGGCAGGCCTTCTAGTATAGTCAGCATCTGATGTTACCTTTGGTGTCTCTTGCGATGTTTTTTTATCCACCGCATCATCTGCTCCCAAAGGGGCATTCGCCTGTTCTTCACTTGAGATTCTGTTTCAAGAACAACATTTTCACACGGTTAACTATTATGATCCAACTGTATCATTAATCGTTTATGATTCCATTGAAGGTTTTGCACTATCACTCTTCACATCCTTGTTCATGAACCTCAGAATAGATCCCTTGATCTCTTTAAATGCTTCGTCGTTTACTTCTCGTTTCTTCCTCTTATCGTGTCCCGACTCATTCTTTTATATCCATCTGACATATTGAAAGACTGTGGAGGGTGGGATCACCTAAAGTATATAAATCATACTTAATTCATAAAAATATTGCAAAATTTCAGTGTTAGAAATTATATACGAGTCTTAGATTTAAATAAATACACAAAGCAAGAAGCCAATAACAATCCCTGAACAGCTAGGCCAAACAGGAATATAAGAGACTACTAAGAAAGGAAAAATGCAAAGATACTAGAATTCTATTAAGTATAGACCAGCGGTGGCTCGTGACATCTCCACTAGATGGGGCTGTTGTGAGTGACCTCTGACAATGTGGCGTTCTCATAATGAAAAACCTCGTCATGTTATATTGGCCTTCCCGTGAAAGTGATATAGGGGCCGTTCATAAATGACGTCACGCACCTAGGGGGGGGGGTCAGACATTTGTGACGATGTGTGACGAGGGGGGGGGGGGTGAGAAATGGGACGTCACATCAAAATGTGCAACTTTAAATAAATATAGACCACGTTATACTTATATAAGTAGACTTTTAAAATAAATGTTTTCTCCTACAACATCAGAGTGCAGCGCCACATTACATACGCACTACAATGACAATAGTTTAAAGCGATTTGAAGCATGTTTTATTTTTGGGGGGGAGCAAAGCTTTGTGACGTCATATTTGAGGGGGGGTCTGACTTTTTGTGACGAAGGGGGGGGGGGGGAAATTGTCCAAAATCGCGTGACGTCATTTATGGACGGCCCCTTATCTACCAACGGTAGGCATTGAAAAAGAACAAGCACTCAAATGCTGTCCCCATGGCCCTCAAGTCCACACTACACAACCCATTTGACACTGCCAAAAGCCGAGAGGGTGCAAGCTGTGAGCTGCTATATGTGCACGGTGCAACCTCACGTCGTGACGTCGTCATTACAGCCACGGGCGTCTTCCTCGCCCACCCTGAATGGGGTCTCACACGGCGTGGCTACGATGCGAAGCGCATCGCAACGAATGAAGGGGATTCTCTCTCACTTGGACGCATTCACAGTCGCCCCTGAGACCTGCCCGAGGCACAAATCAGACTGCGGCGTTGCAGCGGGTTCTTCATTAGGCAATTCACGTTGAAAGAATCATTTTTTAAACAAAATTATAGAAAAGTATTTTTGATGATAAAATAATTTCTCATCTCCAGCTGCTTGGTGGGGCGGCGCCCCAAAGCTGTTAGTGGACGAACCGCGTTTAATGTTTTTCTAATTTAGCTTAAAATAGCCCTAGTCCCTGTCACTTCTGAAATGATAATACATAAGGAAAACTGGGAGAATATGGCAACATTTTTCAATGCAGTAATTTTGCCAAAATGTATTTTAGAAAAAATGTTTAAATTCTTTTTTAATTTTGCCACAATTTGTTGGCTGCTTGTTGCAAGTTCTTAGCAGTGGTGACAAGTCGTTGACTCGTGGTAAGTGAGGTGTATTACGCCTAAAATAACAAACACATTTTCATGCTTAAACGAAAATAAAGCAACATGGCGTTCGCCACGCGGTCGTCCTGCGAAAAGCATCGAATTTGTTTTTGATGAAAATGAACAGCATCCTTTTAAAGCTGCGTCATCCGATATGATAATCGTAGTTACAAAATAGTTGAAGAAATATCCGCTTGTAATATTCGTAGGCTTTACCTTGTTTTATTTTTCTCAATTATTTCAAATTCGATCTGCGAAACTTGCCCTGGGCGTCGACGAGTTGCAACATGACCGGGCTCGCCGGGAGAATGCGATACGGCAAAGTGTGGACTCGTATCATCTGGCCCATATTATTCGCGACCCTATATTTATTTATGATTAGCGATTTCACCCACAATGTATATAGACCATAATACAGGGGTTTTTTTTGGGGGGGGAGGGGTTCAATCTCCTAAATATGTCGTTTGGGGCCGTCCACAAATGACGTCACGCACTAGGGGAGGGGGTTCAGACATTTGTGACGATGTGTGACGAGGGGGGGGGGGGGTTGAGAAATGTGACGTCACATCAAAATGTGCAACTTTAAATAAATATAGAATTGTTATAACAACACTAATTGTTATAACAACACTCCTACAACATCAGAGTGCAGCACCGCATTAAATACGCACTACAATGACAATAGTTTAAAGCGATTTGAAGCATGTTTTATTTTCTAAATGGAAATATGGTTGGGGGGGGGGGCAGAGCTTTGTGACGTCATATTTGAGGGGTGGTCTGACTTTTTGTGACGCCGTCTGACGGGGGGGGGGGGGGGGGGGGTCAAAAATCGTCCAAAATCGCGTGACGTCATTTATGGATGGCCCCTTAAACCCGTCACCACCCGACACGGTCAATTAAAAAGGTTTGTTACATAAACAGAACATGCCAATTCGTTACTAGTACAGCACACCGGTGTGTTGAAGAGCAAATCAACAACATTTCGCCAGTAATTACAACTGGCTTCATCATCAGGCGGGAGAGCCACATGGTTGTGGAGAAAGCCTCCTTTTCGATTTAAAGCTTTCGTGACTGCAGGGATTCATATTCTTAATTCTTTCGGTAAAGTCACGTAGAAGGGAAATAATAAAATAATAAAAATAAACAAAATTCTCACGACGTTTCGATTGCAACACAAGCAATCATCATCAGGTGTGAAAATCACAGCAGGAAAATTTGACGATGATTACTTGTGTTGCAATTGAAACGTCGTGAGAATGTTATATTATTCTTATTATTTTATTATTTCCCTTCTACGTGACTTTACCGAAAGAACCAAGACTATGAATCCCTCCTCTGTGCACCGCGCGTGGCCACGTGCTCTATTTTCCTTGACGCTCACTTCAACCGTTGGCGCCATGACGTCACAGCGTTGTTACCACCCCGGGGTGACGTCACTCCGCTCTCGAATGACGTGACCCGGTGGGAGCGGTGGGGGGGGGGGGGCTAGAAGCGGTGGGGGCTAGAAGTAGTGTGGGGGGCTAGAAGTGAGGGGGGACTAGAAGTGGGGGGGGGGGGGGGGGGCTAGAAGTGGGGGGGGGGCTAGAAGCGGTGTGGGGGACTAGAAGTGGGGTGGGGGGCTAGAAGTGGGGGGGGGGGGGGGGCTAGAAGCGGTGTGGGGGACTAGAAGTGGGGGGGGGGCTAGAAGTGGGGGGGGGGACTAGAAGTGGGGGGGGGGGGCTAGAAGTGGGGGTGGGGGGGCTAGAAGTGGGGGGGTGGGGGGGGCTAGAAGTGGGGGGGGGGACTAGAAGTGGTTGGGGGGGGGGGGGGCTAGAAGTGGTCGGGGGGGGGGCTAAAAGTGGGGGTGGGGGGCTAGAAGTGGTGGGGGCGAGAAGTGGTGGGGGGGGGCTAGAAGTTGGTGGGGGGGGGCTAGAAGTGGTGGGGGCTAGAAGTGGTGGGGGGGGGCGAGAAGTGGTGGGGGGGGGCTAGAAGTGGTGGGGGGGGGCTAGAAGTAGTGGGGGCGAGAAGTGGTGGGGGGGGGGCTAGAAGTGGTGGGGGGGGGCTAGAAGTGGTGGGGGCTAGAAGTGGTGGGGGGGGGGCGAGAAGTGGTGGGGGGGGGGCTAGAAGTGGGTGGGGGGGGGGGCTAGAAGTGGTGGGGGCTAGAAGTGTGGGGGGGGGCGAGAAGTGGTGGGGGGGGCTAGAAGTGGTGGGGGCTAGAAGTGGGGGGGGGGGCTAGAAGTGGTGGGGGGGGGGCTAGAAGTGGGGGGGCTAGAAGTGGTGGGGGGGGGCTAGAAGTGGGGGGGGGGCTAGAAGTGGGGGGGGGGCTAGAAGTGGGGGGGGGGCTAGAAGTGGGGGGGGGGGCTAGAAGTGGGGGGGGGGCTAGAAGTGGTGGGGGGGGGCTAGAAGTGGGGGGGGGGGGCTAGAAGTGGTGGGGGGGGGCGAGAAGTGGGGGGGGGGGCTAGAAGTGGGGGGGGGGGAAGTGGTGGGGGGGGCTAGAAGTGGGGGGGGGGCTAGAAGTGGGGGGGGGCTAGAAGTGGGGGGGGGGGGCTAGAAGTGGTGGGGGGGGCGAGAAGTGGTGGGGGGGGCTAGAAGTGGTGGGGGGGGGCTAGAAGTGGGGGGGCTAGAAGTGGTTGGGGGGGCTAGAAGTGGTTGGGGGGGGCTAGAAGTGGGGAGGGGGGGGCTAGAAGTGGTGGGGGGGCGAGAAGTGGTGGGGGGGGCTAGAAGTGGTGGGGGGGGCTAGAAGTGGTGGGGGGGGGGGCTAGAAGTGGGGAGGGGGGGGCTAGAAGTGGTGGGGGGGGCGAGAAGTGGTGGGGGGGCTAGAAGTGGTGGGGGGGGGGCTAGAAGTGGTGGGGGCTAGAAGTGGTGGGGGGAGGGGCTAGAAGTGGTGGGGGGAGGGGCTAGAAGTGGGGGGTGGGGGAGGAGTATAATAGCGTCACGGTGACGTCATCAGTCAGCCGGTGGAGCCGAGCTGTTGCACCACACTTCGTCAGAAGGAGCCAACAGCAACAACAACAACAGCAGCAGCTGGTGGTGGTTGTTGTTGTGGTGGTTGTTGTGGTGCTGGTGGTGGTGGGGCGTTCGAGGTGAGGTGCGGCTACCCGGGGGGGGGGGGGGTTGGTGGTTGTGGTTGCCCGGAGCCCCACTGACATGTCGACTCCGTACACGACTCTACTGTACGCCACTCACTCGATCCGGGCCTTGGTGTAGACTACCGCGTGTGTGTGTGTGTATAACAAGGCGACGTTTCGGGCAACGGACCTCCGTAGCGACAGAGGGGCGGGCTGCATTCGTTGGCGGCGCGGGGCGCCTCCCGTCTCGCAATAACGCGCGTGGCCTTAAAAGGGCACGAAATAATAGTGCGACGTTTCGGGCAACGGCCCTCGTGCATATTGCAGCGCACATGGGTCGAGTGGGCCAGGAACTCAGGAAGAGAGACGTGGGGTGGACGATGGGTGGCTGCAGACAGCGGTGTTTGTTTTACGCCCATAGACTTTAACACGGAGTGGTAGGCTTTCGCGATAATATTCTTAATATAGTTTTTTTTGTTAAGTTAGATCGCGTAAATATAAAGGTGTCGTTAAACCCGCCACCAGCAGACACAGCCAATTAGTACAGGTTTGTCACGTAAACAAAACGTGCTGCCAATTCGTTACTAGTACAGCACTAACCGCTTGTGTGTTGGAGAGCAAATCCACAACATTTACAGTCTACTCAGATTGTGAATGTTGTGGAGTTGATCTCCATTTACAAACTACTCAGATTATGAATCTTGTGGCTTTGATCTCCATTTACAAACTACTCAGATTGTGAATCTACTCAGATTGTGAATGTTGTGGTGTTGATTTCCATTCACAAACTACTCAGATTGAATCTTGTGGCTTTGATCTCCATTTACAAACTACTCAGATTGTGAATGTTGTGGCTTTGATCTCCATTCACAAACTACTCCGATTGTGAATGTTGTGGATTTGATCTCCATTTACAAACTACTGTACTCAGATTGTGAATGTTGTGGATTTGATCTCCATTCACAATCTACTCCGATTGTGAATGTTGTGGATTTGATCTTCATTTACAATCTACTCAGATTGTGAATGTTGTGGAGTTGATCTCCATTGACAATCTACTCAGATTGTGAATGTTGTGGAGTTGATCTCCATTTGTGAATGTTGTGGCTTTGATCTCCATTTACAATCTACTCAGATTGTGAATGTTGTGGATTTGATCTTCATTTACAAACTACTCAGATTGTGAGTGTTGTGGAGTTGATCTCCAACACACCGGTTAGTGCTGTATTAGTAACGAATTGGCCACGTTTTGTGTTTACGTGACAAACCTTTACTCATTGGCTGTGTCGGGTGGTGGCGGGTTTAACGACACATTTATATTTACGCGATACAACCCAACAAAACCCTGTATTGTGGAAGAGTTACCAAGTACTCACACGGAGACCTTCACAGACCTGACCCCAGACTGACATCGCTCCACCCAAACTCTCAACACGCTCCCTGTCAACAGCAACGTCGTCCGTGTGGCATTGATAGGGGACACGTGTGCAATGGGCGACGTTTCGGGGCACGGCCCTTGTTCATGGCACTTGAAAGAGTTGGAGAGAGTGAAAGTTCCACCATGGAGGGGGGGGGGGGTCATGATGAATATCGCATTTCACACCCAATACTGGATGACCCCAGCGGTTAAATAGGTGCGTAAACAGCTACACTATTAGTGGCCATTGAGTAATGTGCACACGCTTCAATCTGTAATGAAAACGTGTTCCTGCCAAACTATTAATAATAATAATAGTTCAATTTATAACGCGCGCAAATTTGCGGACATAATGGCCGCAACTCAGAGGCGCGGAGCCGAGCTCAGAGTCGCTCGAAAGCGTGGTTATAGAGGTGAGTTTTTAAGTCTCTCTTGAAGGAGGCGATTGAGGTGATGCTGCGAATGTGCAGAGGGGTGACGGCGTTCCAGACTGTTGGGGCTGCCACCGAGAAGCAGCGCATAGACATGACCATCCTAGATCTTGGTATCAAGAGGAGGTCGTGAGTCGCGCTGCGCAGGCATCTGCCGTGTGCTGCCATAAAACACGAGGTTGCCTGCTGGGAACATCTGGGCAGTTCACCAGCACCTGTTCAAGCGAGCCTGACTGCTGATGAGACACGGCATGTCGAAACCGGCCCGGGGTTTTAGCTCGTGGTTTAACCGATGCCGCCTGAGATTATGCACTCGCAGAGGGTAGGGCCGATGGGATGCGTCAAAAAAAATTGTGTGTGAAGGGACATTTTTTTGGAAGGAGCATTGCCCGCTTATAAATCCCATACCTGTCAACTGCTTATCAGTGCCCTACCTTATTACAGACCAATTCAGACCTTATTGGTCTTTATTAATCTCAATGTTCATCCTACAAAGTCCCATCGCAAGGTAGAAACACAAACACATAGACACTTGTCTTGTTGTTGCCCGTATTGAAACGGCTGTACCACCGTATGGACCTTAAAAACTCAATTTCCCTGTACAAGAATACGGGGTACACCGTATGGGTCAACAGCTACATAAATGTTGCGGCACTTGCACTGGCAGTCAATTTGCTGCTGCGTGTCCCTGTACGGCGGTGCTCGTGTTGCGTTGACGCGTTGCTCCCTCACGCAGGCTGATGGTCTATCGGACCGAAGAGGTTCGGAGGAAAAGAACGATGACCACCTCCTACCTGCCCGAGCGCAACCACTACCAGACGATCAGCATGCTGGGTGCGTGACGACGATAATAATGCTCCGAGCAATCTGTACCTCTCTAGCTCAGTCAGCTGAAGTCTCCCGCAAACCACGCGACTTCTGTTGTGGCCACCCCCAGCTCTGAACCCCTCCGCTGTCACCGCCGCCCCCTGTGGGAACAGACGCTGCTCCATCCGTGCCAGCTCACTTCTTGCTCGTTCTTCTCTCTTCTCCTCCTCTTCCCTCGCATCATCATCATCACCATCATCACCATCATCACCCTATCATCCCTGACATCTTGGCGCCATCATTCCTTCTCCCGCTCAGAACTACACCACCACTTACAATAACCCAATTCGTCGTTTCAAATTACTGTCACGCTATGTACAATTTTATAATTGCTGTAAAGCGCCTCGGTAAAAAAATATCAGATCCCGTTCCCGGCGCAGAGCTCCTTTTGGCCTCTGCAATTATGTGAAACAAAACGTCTATCCGGGGATCGGGGTGCGCCGGTGGGGTTGGGGGCATCTTTGTACGTACATATGTTGAGCCTCTTTCGCGCCGTGCGTCGCCAACCGTGTCTCGGTTGCAGGGAACGGATTTGAGGAGTTGATGTCCGTTCGCCTGGCGCGACACGTGCCTTCGGGGAGCTACGTCGCCGTGCGCCATATCAACCTGGAGGGCTGCTCCCATGAGCTCTTCTCGCTGCTGCAGGTGAGGACTCAAGAAATACACTTCCCTCCCCCCCCTAAGCAGCGGCGCAGTGAAACCCAGCAAGGGCAGTGGCATGGCCGCTGCAGAACCAGGGCAGTGAGAGAGCCTGACACATGGTCCCCCCGGCGTGCTCCCGCGTTCCTCAGCTGCCCCAGACGCACGTTTGGCGGTGACGTGGACCCAGCGGTGCAAAGCTCTCCCACTCGTTGCAGAGGTTCATGGTTCGAAACCGACGGGCTGGCCCGGTCATGTCGCGGGTGTGTCGACCGCGGAAAACAAAATAAATACCGCACGCCGTTTGCTTCACAGCAGACGTTAAACATCCCGTGATGTCGTTCGAACGGCGTAGGCCATCTGTGTGCCGGCGTCACAGTCTGTGTTTGGCTTCACCTGGGAAGGCCATACTTGAGTGGTACCAACACCTTTAACTCTCCGATAACTTGCTCAATTTTTACGGTGGACATTCTCTGGGGGCACTTTCCCTACTATTGGCTCCCCCTCCGTCATTTCTGTCCCACTGTCCCATTAAGCCACGCCATTGACGGTCAATATGAAGTCTTTAAAACCTCTAGACCTTCGTTGATATCAAGATCTTGAGCGTTTTAACATCCGGTTTGGGTTGTGTTCACCTGTGTACCCTTGGGTGCGTGTGTGTGTTATATTCTGTGTCGTGTGTGCGTCTTGTGTTTGTCATTTGTGTATGCCGTGTTCGTGTCGTGTCTCATACTGATTTGCGGGCGTGAGGGGGCCGAGCGGGGCGTTGTGACGCCGCGCCGTTGCGATGCTCTGTATCCCACTGCACGTAGCACACGAGGTTGGAGCGCTATTTTGGCTCGTGGATAAAAGGTGGAACTCGAGTTGAAAGATTATTTTGAATTGCGTGCGTTTCCTTTCAGGATGAGCTTCATATCGCCAAGCTTTTCCACCACTCAAACATCCTGCCTTACTGGGCATCCTTTGTGGTGGACAATGAACTCTGGATCATCACTCCGTTCATGGCTTATGGTGAGATATGCGCCGCTACACGTGTAAAAATAAAATACAAATATACCGCAATGTGATCACGATTGCGCTGTTTTCAGAGCGCTCTACACGCGACAAGCGACTTGCATCACATCTCATCTTGCCAGTTGGCGGCGGGTCCCTGTGCAAGACAAGGTGTCTCAGCACCTGGCCTGCCGCCTGGCCTGCCAGGTGCCGAGTCACCTTCTAGGGGCGATGATTGTTGCTGCTGCTGCTGATGTGTAATCCCAAACGAGAAGCGCGCGGAGCAATTTTTTGAATGTGGATCGTGACGCCAGCACAGCAGTGGGCCGCCCGTTTCAAACGACGCCGCGTGGGGACCGTAAAACGTCTACGGCGCGCAGACGCAACTTTACCTTCGATACGCACCGCATCGATTAACCGGGGCGGCCTGCCGGATGTCAGACCACGAACCTCTGATCGGCAGGCGGCGGGCCCGTTTCGCCCATCCACTTTGCTTGACGTGGGGCCGCCCCACGCCGCGCGTTGTCGCGAGCGTTACGTGACCGTAAACGACAACAACAACAACAAACACAAACAACACAACAGCAAGCAGTTGCCGTGTGGGACGTGGCGGCGCAGGCTCGGCGAAGGACCTCATCTCGGCGCACTTCACGGACGGCCTGCCGGAGCCGGCCATCGCCCTGGTCCTGTACGAGGTTCTGCGAGGGCTGGAGTACGTCCACAGGATGGGCTTCGTGCACAGGTGAGAGGAGGTCAACGTGCGAGACCACCGCGGCGGTGAAACGTCGGCTAGCCGGGCCCCCATGGAGGGGTTGGAGGGGAGGGTGGGGGGGGGTGGGGTGCCCGGCACTGAGTGGCGAACAGCGGTTGTTGTTGTTGTTGTTGCGTTGTTAGCGCGCTACTTTACGAAACGGCGACCCGCGTTTCATTCCCGCTTACAGCCAACACCGGTGACGATTATCTGAACCAGTCTTGGGCCTCCGCAAGGTCGATGTAGCCTCAAATTGAGTACCTGGCGCGGTGTGTAAACATCGCCACTGGGAAATACAAAGGCAGACGGGCGTGGTGCTGGCCACCCCCCAAACCCCGTGTGCGCCGTGCCGGCCTTCTTGGGTGCTACTCGCTAACAGCACTTGCCGCAGCAGTGTAAAAATCTAAACTAATTTTAATTTCAGGAAGTAAGGCCCATTGAGCTGTATAGCTTATTTTCAGAAGTGACCACAAATGATAGCTCAACGAGTGGCTCATTGTCATCGTCATCACGTCGAAATCTCTAGCAGCCAAATACTCTAAAACGTGTGACGTTCATTCTAAATTTGGAGGAAAAAAACGGAGGACCCGGAGAAATATCCATGTGCCCACAGGGAGAACATGCGAACTCCAGATGTACACATAAATAACCTCTTGTTGTAACAGCTTTCTCACTCGTTCAGCAGTTCCACTGCTGGATTATTTTTTTCCGCCTGCGGACGACCGCTTGTGTTGCGATCGAAACGTCGTGATATATTATTTTTTATTTTATTTTATCTTTCTACCTACGTGACTTTACCGAAAGAACCAAAGAGTATGGATTCCTGCAGTCACGAAAGCTTCAAATCAAGATACAGTAAAACCTTGAATTGCGAGCATAATTCGTTCCGGAAACGTGTTAGTAATCCAAAGCACTCGTATATCAAAGCTCTCGTATATCAAAGCTCTCGTATATCAGTTGTGATCACGTGACGCTCGGCAGACAAAGCGTATACACGTACTGCTCGTATTGCAAGACCTCGCTCGTTTATCAAATGGATATTTATTTATAAAATTTGCTCGTCTTGCAAAACACTCGCAGACCAAGTTACTCGCAATCCAAGGTTTTGCTGTATGAAGCTCTTTTTGACAGATGTCCAGTAGGGGCGGGTAAAAACATTACAACAACAAGCAGTACAAAAACACGATGCTCGTGCTAAGTGCAAGAAAGGTAAACAAATCACACAAACAAATACAAACTAAACCATCCCCATCCTACCAGGCAAAGCCCACTGAGGTATCAACTTATTTTTTGGAAGCGACCTGGCCACAAATCACTGCTCAACAAAGCGGCCCATCACTTGGACATTTATAGCAGCACCAAAATAAAATAAAAATAATTTAAACGCGAGGCGGTTAACACCTCCTAGCCACCGCAGTCTGTTAAGGCTGCACGGCGGGGTGGGGGGTGGGATCTCTGTGTTGTGCTAGGAGCGTGAAGGCGAGCCACGTGCTGGTGTCGGCGGACGGCCGCGTGTGCCTCACGGGGCTGCGCAGCGCGCTCAGCATGATCCTGGACGGGCACCGGCTGCGAGCGGTGCACACCTTCCCGCGCCACAGCGTGGGCACCCTGCCCTGGCTCAGCCCGGAGCTGCTGCAGCAGGTGCGGTCTTCCGCACTAGCGGACATACACGTGCGCGCACACACACGCATATATAGCCACTCGTCACCGCGGAAATCGTCAACACCCACGGCTGCAGCATCGTCTGGTCTCGCCTCGGCTCTTGCAACTTCGGCCTTGTTCGATCTTCATCATGAGCACAGTTGGCTACGTGCGGTGCGAAAGAAGTTCAACATACGAGCAACCTCAAGAAACTCCCGATGGTTTCAAAACCATCTCGATCCCATCATCCTCAGCGCCTGTCATCCTCGGCTGGATTTATTCACCTCCCTCCACTCCCTCCCCCATTGGCTTCCCACCATCACCAGTAGGGTCCGCTACAGGATCTCCTGCCTCTACTCCCTCCTCCACTGGCTTCCCACCATCGCTAGCCAGGTCAGCTACTGGATCTCCTGCCTCTACTCTCTCCTCCACTGGCTTCCCACCATCGCTAGCCGGGTCAGCTACAATTCTCCTGCCTCTACTCCCTCCTGCACTGGCTTCCCACCATCGCTAGCCAGGTCAGCTACTGGATCTCCTGCCTCTACTCCCTCCTGCACTGGCTTCCCACCATCGCTAGCCGGGTCCGCTACAAGATCTCCTGCCTGTGCCACCACGGCGCCTCTGCTCTCAGTCATCCACATCTGTCTCCTCGCTCCTGTCTGCCTGCACCACAGCTCATGGTAGAACTCTCCGCAGCAGCAGCAGCGCAACCACCAACCTCCTCCCCTCTAACCACCAAGGACCAGGGACGGTCACTGCCGGGCGTCGTTTCATCATGGCTGTCCTGTGGAGAGACTCGCCTCATGCCGTACGAATGTGGAATTTCCATCGCTGGGCCCTGCAGCTTTGTAAACAGGAGATCAGAACCAATGCCTCAGTGTTCACCACAAGTACTGGGTGTGGTTAATGCTGACTTGATTCTTTGCAAAAGGTTTCTATTTGGCGTTTGAACATCTTAACACCTCCTGTTTTATTTCCAAAAAGAGTAAAACCTATTATTATTTTTCACCCCAAGCTATAAATGCTCAGATACGTGTGGCATTGTCTTTGTACTCTTCACTTTTTGGCGTTCTGTGGTCTGACACAGGTGAGACTAGGCCCTAAAGAAGGCGGTCTCTGGTGTAGGCCGATCAGTTTGGAATACAATGCCATACATTATCGGAGGATGTTTGTTTGCATGTTCGCCACAAGTACGTGTGGTTAATGCAGTACTTTATTCCTTGCAAAATGTATCTATTTGGCGTTTGAATAACTGAACACCTCCTGTTTGATCGTCAGAAACAGTAAAACCGATTCTTATGTTTCATGCCTCGGTGTTGGTTTGAGCAGGAAGGGCCCGTGGGGGTGTCGTCCAGCCTTGGTGGTGGCGGCGGCGGCGGCGACGCTGCTGTGACGCGTTGTCGGCTTTGTTGCTTTGCAGAACCTGGAAGGGTACGACACGAAGTCGGACATCTACAGCCTGGGCATCATGGCCTGTGAACTTGCCAATGCCCACGTGCCCTTTAAAGACATGCCCACCACACAGGTAACAGTCGCATCTCATCACTTCCGTTTTCAAGGTTGCCGCAATTTTGTTTCCCCACCCGGTGCGGTGTGTGGACTTCGCCACTAGGGGAGACAAAGGCGGCCGGGCGTGGTGCCTGCTACCCACCGCTCGTGCCGGCCTTCATAGGCGCTCTCTTAACAGCACTTGCCCCAACAGCCTGTTAAGGCTCTGTGGGGGGGCGGGTCTTTGTGTGCGTGCGTGCGTGCGATGTTGCGATCGACTCAGATGTTGCTGGAAAAGTTGAACGGCACCGTGCCGTGCCTGCTGGACACGCACACCATTCCCGCGGAGGATCTCAATTTGCAAAACGCCCGCGCGTCTCACGGAGTGGAAGGTATGCCTCTCAGTGGGCCAGCAACGCGAGATTTTAAACAATAAATATGAATATATGTATGTACACGGGGCAGCCCTCCACTCATGAACTGACGGCTTACATTCCTGAGACCCGTTCGTAAGTCCGTGTCTCTTTGTAATCTCGAAACGCAATATTTCACTGCATGTTATAAAATCTATTACGCTTCAACAAAAAAGTGATGCATTGTTAAACTCATAAATGAGAAGAGATATCGTACCGTTGCATGTCATACTGTCATACATACTCGATAGCAGTGGTTCTTGATCTGGGAGTGCGAGATGCCCTTCTGTGGGTGCGAGACATGGCCAGATTTTTTTGGGAGGTAAATAATCGAAAACACAAATTTAGCACGGGCCACGTCAGTCCAACTACTTTGTTTCATCAAACCCTACATATTTATTCACGTGCATTTGTTTTACAATTGAAAACCAAAGGGGGGGGTGCAAGGCTGCAGTAACGGTTAAGAACCACCGCTCTATAGTAAGAAAAACACAAATCAAACTTAACGTGAAAAGAAAAAAGAAAAATCGGCTTTATCTTACCTGGAGTCCGATCGTCTCGCTGTCTCCCGTCGCTGGTGACTCGTCACGTCTACACGGCGCAGGAGGGGCGGGAGGCGGTGGGGCGGCGGGCTGGCCGGCGGCGTCTTCCCCCGACCAGTTCTCCCATCCGTACAACCGCACCTTCTCCGCGCCCTTCCACAACTTCACCGAGATCTGCCTGCAGCGAGACCCCGACAGACGGTACCGACGCGTTTCCACCCTCTCTTCTTCAGCGACTACCCCCACCCTTCCCCCCTGCTTCAAGTGACGTTCGGCGCTGGGCGCTCGCAAACCGAGCGACAGCTTGCCTTCCCAAGCAGCTCAAGGGGTCCTCGGATTTCTACAGTGAAGCGTTCCCCCCCCCCCCCCACGCTTCGTACAGGTTTAGTTAAATTTTTTGTCCCGAAGCATATTTTGTTGCACGATGGTGTGACTGATCTGACCAGTCTGACTCTGCTGATGAGACCCAGAAGGTCGGAACCCGGTCCAGAGTTTGTTTGCTTGAATAATTGCTGCCTGGATAATATTGGTCCTGAAAAGCCGATCGGCCGATTGCCCACAACATTTCCCGCACCTCCGATTATCACGGCTGGCTGCATACGGTGCGTAAGAAGTTCGACATGGTAACAACGTTCACGTATCCGACCTCAACTTATCCGCTCACACGTGCGTCCCCGGTGAGTCGGATGTGCGGCGTCGTGCCGTACTTACAAACGGGGGGCTTAACACGTTCCTTCGGAGTGGGCAGGTAGGAACTTGGTTGGACAGCTCATTCGTGCATGACAGACAAATAATCCCTGGTGGGTAGTGTGGAAGCTGTTGTTCCTACCTGTATAAGTGTAGTGTATCGTGTCGTGTATAGTGTAGTGTGTAGGTTAAATGTTGAGTTTTATAAGGGCACCACGGGGTGACCAGCCCCTCCCCACCCAGCCCCTCCCCACCCAGCCCCTCCCCACCCAGGCCCTCCCCACCCAGCCCCTCCCCACCCTCCCCACCCAGCCCCTCCCCACCCTCCCTTCTCCACCCAGCCCCACCCCTCCCACCCCCAACTGAATCACCTTAAGGCTGGGAATGTTGAAAGAAACACGAGGCAAAAAGATCCGCTTTTTTCTTTTCAAGGCTTCCATTTTATGAATGGAGCCACCCTCCCCCAGTTCCATTTTGTGAATGAAACATCGCCCGTCTCCTCATTGGCCCGAGTCGCGGCGGTGCCCCCCCCCCACCACTAACCCCCCCCCACCACTAACCCCCCCCTCTACCAACCCCAACCCACCGCTCCCATTGGTCGGCGCACCCGAGCCAATGGGAGGGCTCTGGTGGGGCGGGGCCATGCACGACAGACAGACAAATAATCCCTGGTGGGCAGTGTGGAACTGTTGTTCCTACCTGTATTAACACAGTTTTCTTGTACCTCTATCTAGGCCGTCGGCGACAGCCTTGATGAACCACGTGTTCTTCAAGCAGGTGAGCAGTCGCCGTCATCCACGGAGCATCGGGTAGTCCCGTGAACGCTCGTGACACTGATCCACGTGCGTGTGTTAGGGTTAGCCTGCTTATTCTCGTCATTAACCCTTCGACAACCCGACAAGATTGTCCGCGGTTTTTTTTTGTTGCCCTTCCACCGCACCTCCAATTACCACGGTTGGCTACGTACGGTGCGAAAGAAGTTCAACATACACACGTACACGATTACACATTTATTATTATTATTTTTCAGTGCCGACATATCGATCAGGGCGGCTGATCCTGCAGATTCAAATACAGGATTTCAGCGGTGCCGGCTCGACATCTCTGATCTAACCTCTGACCCAGCCGTCCGCCCCCTCGCCAGCTTGAGAGACTGAATGCTTGGAGACGGTTGCTGTTTGGGCCTCCGCTGGTTGCTAAATATCGGAATATCTGGGTTGGCTTTTTTGACTTTCGACGTTCAGCAAGACAGCGAGGCGAGAAAGGCCACCAGATTGGAGGAGTTGAAGAGTGTAGCCGTTCCAACGGGCCCGCAGTGAAACAGGAGACAGCTGTAGACCGTCCTTGTCCTCATTAGGGCTCATCGGGCCAGTACAATCATCGGTGTTCACGACTGCCAAACGAATACATTATGAGGTCGCACTCGTTACACGCAAAGTGCTTGCCACAAATGGTCCACAATATTTTGCCGATCTCGTCAAGGAGCACAAAACCATCACGCGCACTCCGGCCATCCTAGCAGCGGCTTGGAGCTGGCCGTTGAACGAAGACGGTCACCGCATCGTGCGCTCGCGCTCTCAGACGCACTTCTGCGGCCATCTGGAACGCTCTGCCTTCTGATATTAGGAAGTCACTGGAGCTATGGACACTTTTAAATCTGGATTGAAAAGTAATTTCTTTCAATCTGGATTGAAAAGTAATTTATTTAGAACTGCTTTTTGTGCTCAGTTTGTTGTTGTTCCTCCACACTTACGATTAACACGGTTGGCTTCGTACGGTGCGAAAAAAGTTCAGCATACATACATTTTGTCTGTAACGAAATCGGGGAGTGGGGCGAGGGGCAGGGAATTTGTGCCCCCTATCTATAATCTAACCAATAACCACTGGCAGCCCCAGCAGTCAACGCCACAGAGACGTTAAACAAATCTTGATTTGAAGCTTTCGTGACTGCAGGAATCCATACTCTTTGGTTTTTTCGGTAAAGTCACGTAGGTACAAAAATAAAAGAAAAAATAATATATCATGACGTTTCGATCGCAACACAAGCGGTCGTCCTCGGGTGGAAAAAATAGTCCAGCAGTGGAACTGCTGGACCAGCGAGAGAGCCCAAAGACGCATCTGGCGTCATCTGGTCGAACACCGGTTGAGACGAGGCTCTAAGGAAAGCGGTCTCTGGTGTGGACCAATCAGTTTCAAGGACAATGCATACATTATCAGAGTATTGTCTTTTTTTGCATTTTGACTGCAAGTATTGTGGTTAATGTAAACATGATTCCTTGCAAAAGGTTTTAGTATATATTGGTACTGGCAAAGGAGGCCTCATGATGTAGATATTATTTTTTATTTTATTTTTCTACCTACGTGACTTTATCGAAAGAACCAAAGAGTACGTTAAACAAATGTTACACGCCGAGCAGAACGAGTAACAATTCGATCTACTGCTGCCTATCGTGCATTCTTCTCGACCTCTGGTCCCCTTTATTTATATTCTGTATCAAAGGTCAACATGCGTACATGCTGCTCCATCTATGCCTCAGGGGAGCCTCATACATGCAGAGGGCTCGTACCTCTACCCTATGGGTACCCCCGCCGCCCTGTCCTCGCGGTGACGATAGATAAATTAGTTGCGACACTTTGCTGTGAACGCCGAGGAAACCCAACGCGGCGGCTCTGTTGCTGGAACGTTGCTGGAACGTTAACGGCGACGTTGCGTGCAGGTGCGCAAGCGGCAGTGCGACGCCCTTCCCGAGCTGCTGAGGCCCGTGGCGCCGCTCACGGAGCAGGAGGCGGCGACGCGCGCCCACCCGGACAACGGCCTCGACGGCGTCGTGCGTGGCCTGCAGCGCATGCAGGCCGCCGACGACTGGGACTTCTGATGGCGCCGCCGTGAGTGTCGAGTTCGTTTCGGGGGTTGCCGTCGACGTTGGCGGGCCGGGCGAGAGCTCGCGACGCCGGGATGCGGGAAGCCTCGTCACGCGAGAGTGACGCCTTGGGTTCGGTCGAGGGCGATGAAAGCAAAGCGCGACACGAGTGGGATGAGACGGTGAAGGAGTGAGTGGGTGGGTGGGTGGGTGGGTGGGTGGAATGGTGGGTGAGCGGGTTGACTGATTGGGGTCCAGATCAGTGTTACCAATTTCAAGTTTCCAGGTGGGAGCGCAAAAGAGCTGGATACAGTCTCGTTTGCATGAGCGTGCAATTACATGACCCATGGGCTGTGTAAGGGGGCAGTGTTGGGTCACGTGACCCACGGTCTGGCTCTGGTAACTGCAGCTGCTATGAACGTTGCGAACCGTTCTTCACGTTCCGTTGATGGAGGAGGGGACGGCATCTGCCGTGCCTCTGCTCTGGAGCGGTCTAGAGAGCTGACCACTGGTTTGCTGGGTATGGGTCGAACCCCAGACGTCCTTGTGTGGGGGTCGCTAACGAGTTGCCCGTTAACGAGCTGCCCGTTAGCGAGGCTGGGAAACGGAACTCACCTCGGGGACGACTCTTGAAAATGTTTTCTGCTTTTGACGGACGACGCTCATTTGGGCTGCTCGTGGTCTTTCACCGTCTTCTCTTCCTCCCTCCTCCCTCCGTGACCCGTGCCCAAGTGGAATCGCCCCAGACGGATCGCTGGACAACTTCGGCCTCAGTTCGCCTTCCGTGGAGCCCCGGAGAGGCGGCAGCGGCACGGGCTACGATGACCTCTCGCAAGCTCACCGTGGTGCGGAGCTGAGCAAAATAATTTCCTCCGCGTATGATCCTCCACTTTCAGTTTTCAACGTTTAAAAGTTTGTTTAACCCGGTTGAGAACTCCGAAAAGAGAGAGGGTCAGGGTGAGCGTCATTTGCAGGAGTGACCTGGGACATCCGTCTGCCTGTGGGGGCCGTGATTGCCGCTGAGTGTACAATCTCGATTGGGTAACTTTTGCGCCGTGCTTTTCGACTTTTGGGAAATTTCCAAATTCGATTCGACCGTGACGTCGGCACACGACGGTCCACGTCCGCAGTGAGCGAAGCGGGACCGGCGCGTGGCAGTATTATTACTACGACTAACCAGGGCGGACGCCGAAGTTTTATGACGGGTGCAACGCGTAACGAAAATTTGCCGGGCCGGCGTTTGGCGCACGTGGGCTGCCTTGTAACCCAGCGCTGCGGAGGTAGCGCCGAGGGTTGGTGGGTCACGCACGGATCGTGTGAAACTCCCTTCCCGGGGAGGAGCCGTAACCCGGGCTCGCCAGGAGAAGGCGGTACAACGACAATGCGGACTCCACATCTGTTCCGTCTCTCAACGCCAGTAGTTCTCAAACTTTACTGCAGCCTTGCAACCCCATTGGTTCTCAATCGTAAAAAAAATCACAATGTTAATAAATACAGAGGGTTTGACGAAATAAAGTAGGTTGTGCCATACTTTGCCCCATGCTTAAATTTGTGTTTTCGATGATTTACCTTCTAAAAAAATATCTGGCCATGTCGCGCACCCCCTGAAAGGGCATCTCGCTCCCCCTGAGGGTGCAGCGTGCACCCCCAGGTTAAGTAGAAGCACTGCTCCATGCGCTAAGAGTGCTCCCCCGACGAAACGCCTGGGCTTTCTCCGGCATGCATCAACATTAATTGGCCGATTACGCCTTGATATGTAGAGGACCCCTCCGAGCTCTGGGGACAGTTGTTGGTAACCGCTCACCACGCGGCTGACTTTCCCCGCTCCCATGTGGCGGATCGTCGCGCCTCTGAGCCATTTTCTCTCATCGAGAGTGAGTTGTTGTTGTTGTTCTTTACAAGTTGAGGTCGTTATTATGATGATAGTTATTGTTAAAATGTTGAGTCGAAAGTGTGCGTCTCCGGGAGACGTGTGCTCTGTGTGTACCGACGACGTTCCTCGACTTGTTTAACGTCTGTCGCCGAAAGTGGCATTTCTACAGTTTCGTCGGGAAACGTTTTCATATTTGCTCAGAAATTATAATTTAACCAAATTTGCTTGTTTTTTATTTTGGGGAGATAAAAAGAAATAAGAGTGTTTTGGTCATCCCGGGACCTTTTTTTGCCAGTATCAAAGTATGAAAAATAATTATTTTATTGCCAGAAAAGGTCAAACCTATTCGTATTTTTCATACCTTGATACTGGCAAAAAAAGGTATCCCACGATGTAGCTGCTCACCCCGAGCTAAAAATACTGTGCTCCGTGTGGCATTGTACTTGTGCTGTTCCCCTTTTGCCGCTGTCCTCTGGTCTGACACTGCTGGTGAGACGAGGCCACGAAGAAAGCCGCTTCTCTCCGGTGTAGGCCAATCAGTTTCAAAGACAATGCGTGTATCTTTCTAGATTTGAAGCTTTCGTGACTGCAAGGATCCATACTCTTAGGTTTTTTCGGTAAAGTCAAGTAGGTAAAATAATAATAAAATAAAATAATAAAATAATATTAAATTAAAATGACTAAATTAAATCACGACGTTTCGGAAGCAACACGAGCCTCCGTCATCAGGTGTAACTGCTCCAGTACAATTAAAATTACTGTCGCATAATTTTACTGGAGCAGTTACACCTGATGACGGAGGCTTGTGTTGCTTCCGAAACGTCGTGATTTAATTTAGTTATTTTTATTTATTTTATAATTTTTACCAACGTGACTTTACCGAAATAACCTAAGAGTATAATGCGTGTATCGTCAGGGGCATGTTTGCATGTACACCACAGGTACCGCGTGGTTAATGCAGCACTCTATTCCTTGCAAAAGGTTTCTATTTGGCGTTCGAACGTCTTAACACAACACCTGTTTCGTTGCCAGAAAGGGTCAAACCCATTCTTATTTTCCAGTGCAAACACTTGGGAGGCTCTCCCCGCCCCGCCACTGGGGAGCTGTCCAGTCACTTTGCTGCGCGCTGCGGATGGAGAAACGCATTGCGTCAATAAAGGCGTCGTTTTCGAGGTTGGCTCCGTGTGGCCACGCTGTGTGACCCCCCCTCCCCCTCGCAGTCGGCGAGGAACGAGTGGCGGCTGGTGGGCTTGAAGTCTCGGGGGGTGACGGCTGTGGTGGTGACGGCTGCGGTGGTGATGACGGAGAGAGGATGGTGGTTGGCGGTGGTGTTGCTTGTGATGGCGGTGATAAAGATGATGGTAGTGGTGCTAATCAGTGCCGGATGAAGCTAGTGCCGGGGCCTGTAGCATAAGTTATAAAAGGGGCCATAAATAAAAAAAACGTAAATATTAAAATACAAATTTTTTACTTCCATAGTAAAGTAATTGTATTTTTAAATCCTTTATATTAAGTTCACTTGCTTGCTTGCGCGCTTACGACCGTGCAAATCTTTCGGTCGTTTTTTAACCCACTTCCCGTGATCCAATCGAGCTGACATTTTGCACACAGACTCGTGCGTGACAATTTATTTTCGTGAACATTTTTTTCCAAAATTTTACACTTTTTAGGAAATTTATTTTTTATTTAGTTACCAATTGCTTAATGGTGGCAGGCAATCATCTGACCCATAGGTGGCAGCCATCTCAAGCCAGAGGACGAGAGGACTCTAGCCGCCACGCATATAAAGGATTTATAGTGAAAAACTTTGTTTTTACGGATTATTTGCTATACAGGCAGATAATGACAAATCGCTAGCTTTAAACGGCACTGGTGCTAATGGTGGTTGATGTTGCTGGTGAACGATGAGGGTGGTGGTGACAAGGATTGTGATGATGGTGGTGCTGATGAAGATGATGGTTGTGTTGATGATGGTAGTGGTGCTAATGGTGTTAATGTTGCTGGTGGTGGTGACAATGGTGATAATTGCTCGTGGTGATGATGATGAAGATGGTGGTTTGTTGCACCAATGTTTCGGTGACATCAACAGCCTTGGCTACAATGGCTCGAGTCACCGGTGGAAATTCCACGTGCCTGTGATGGGGTCTGACCCGCGTGGCGGCAATTTTATGACGTTATCGTAATGTGAACTTCGATGGCATCACCCGGTTTTAAACTCTTCATGACATCATGAATATTGGACCTCGTCGTGACGTCACTATTAATCACATCGATGTGACGTCATCAGCGCGGTGCCTTCCTCGAGTCGCCGATTTGAAATTTCGTTATGAGTACCGATGACGTCACAACGCGCGGCGGTGGGGGGGGTGCATCGCTCTGCGTCCTGACGTCATCGCTCATTACGCGACGACGTCACTAAGCGATACGTTTCGCTGTGACGTCATCGCGTGGCCCCGGCGAGTTGTGGGGGGGGGGGGCGTGTTGTAAATCACCGCGCCGTCGGGGATTTGGGCGCGCCGCGTGTCTCTCTGCGCTGTGACGTCATCGCCGCGTTACGCGATGACGTCACGGCGTAGCGAGATGCGGCACGGAGCGAGGGTGACGTCACCACGTCGATAGTTTCTCGCGGTGACGTCGCCCAGCGGAGGAGCCGAGAGGAGGGAGTGGGAGCGGAGCTGCTGCGCCTTCATCCGACGAGCTGCGAACGAAGGTGGGGGGCCCGTGGGGGGCCCGTGGGGGGCCCGTGGGGGGGTGGGGGGCCCGTGGGGGGGGGGGGCTAAAGGGGGGCCGGGTGGGTTGGGGGGGGTGATCACCGTTACAACCACCACCATCGCCACCACCAGCAGCATCTGCCACCACTATTGTCTCCAGCATCTGCACCATCATCGTCACCGCCACCACCAGCATCGTGACGGTTATCATCGTCACCATTGTCATCGCCATCGCCTGCACCATCGCTAACATCATCACCATCATCACTCGAGGAGGCGATGCTCCGGCGATGATGGAGATGGCAATCGTGGTGGAGATGACAATCGTGATGGTGGTGGTGGAGATGACAATAGTGATGGTGGTGATGGTGGTGGCAATAGTGATGGTGGTGATGGTGGTGGCAATAGTGATGGTGGTGGCAATAGTGATGGTGGTCGAGATGACAGTAGTGATGGTGGTGGTGGAAATAGTGATGGTGGTGGCATTCGTGATGGTGGTGGTGGAGATGATAGTAGCGATGGTAGTGATGGTGGTGGAGATGACGGTACTGATGGTGGTGATGGAAATAGTGATGGTGGTGGAGATGACAGTAGTGATTGTGGTGGCGATCAGGGGTCGCCCATTCTGTGATGTTGCGTTCTGCGAGCCCTCCCTGCATCTCTCCTCATCTCTGTGCCTCTCCCTCTGTCTCCCCCGTCTCTCCCTCTGTCTCCCCCCGTCTCTCCCTCTGTCTCCCCCCGTCTCTCCCTCTGTCTCCCCCGTCTCTCCCTCTGTCTCCCCCCGTCTCTCCCTCTGTCCCCCCCCGTCTCTCCCTCTGTCCCCCCCGTCTCTCCCTCTGTCTCCCCCGTCTCTCCCTCTGTCTCCCCCGTCTCTCCCTCTGTCCCCCCCCGTCTCTCCCTCTGTCCCCCCCGCCTCTCCCTCTGTCCCCCCCGTCTCTCCCTCTGTCCCCCCCGTCTCTCCCTCTGTCCCCCCCGTCTCTCCCTCTGTCTCCCCCGTCTCTCCCTCTGTCCCCCCCGTCTCTCCCTCTGCCTCCCCCCGTCTCTCCCTCTGTCTCCCCCGTCTCTCCCTCTGTCGTCCCCCGTCTCTCCCTCTGTCCCCCCCCGTCTCTCCCTCTGTCTCCCCCCGTCTCTCCCTCTGTCTCCCCCCGTCTCTCCCTCTGTCCCCCCCGTCTCTCCCTCTGTCCCCCCGTCTCTCCCTCTGTCCCCCCCGTCTCTCCCTCTGTCCCCCCGTCTCTCCCTCTGTCCCCCCCGTCTCTCCCTCTGTCTCCCCGTCTCTCCCTCTGTCCCCCCCGTCTCTCCCTCTGTCTCCCCCGTCTCTCCCTCTGTCTCCCCCGTCTCTCCCTCTGTCCCCCCCGTCTCTCCCTCTGTCCCCCCCGTCTCTCCCTCTGTCCCCCCCGTCTCTCCCTCTGTCCCCCCCGTCTCTCCCTCTGTCCCCCCCGTCTCTCCCTCTGTCCCCCCCGTCTCTCCCTCTGTCTCCCCCGTCTCTCCCTCTGTCTCCCCCGTCTCTCCCTCTGTCTCCCCCCGTCTCTCCCTCTGTCTCCCCCGTCTCTCCCTCTGTCTCCCCCGTCTCTCCCCCTGTCCCCCCCCGTCTCTCCCTCTGTCTCCCCCGTCCCTCCCTCTGTCTCCCCCGTCTCTCCCTCTGTCTCCACCGTCTCTCCCTCTGTCTCCCCCCGTCTCTCCCTCTGTCTCCCCCGTCTCTCCCTCTGTCTCCCCCGTCTCTCCTTCTGTCCCCCCCCGTCTCTCCCTCTGTCTCCCCCGTCACCCCCTCTGTCTCCCCCGTCTCTCCCTCTGTCTCCCCCGTCTCTCCCTCTGTCTCCCCCGTCTCTCCCTCTGTCTCCCCCCGTCTCTCCCTCTGTCTCCACCGTCTCTCCCTCTGTCTCCCCCCGTCTCTCCCTCTGTCTCCCCCCGTCTCTCCCTCTGTCTCCCCCGTCTCTCCCTCTGTCTCCCCCCGTCTCTCCCTCTGTCTCCCCCGTCTCTCCTTCTGTCTCCCCCCGTCTCTCCCTCTGTCTCCCCCGTCTCTCCCTCTGTCTCCCCCGTCTCTCCCTCTGTCTCCCCCGTCTCTCCCTCTGTCTCCCCCGTCTCTCCCTCTGTCTCCCCCCGTCTCTCCCTCTGTCTCCCCCCGTCTCTCCCTCTGTCTCCCCCGTCTCTCCCTCTTGGTCCCCCCGTCTCTCCCTCTTGGTCCCCCCGTCTCTCCCTCTGTCTCCCCCGTCTCTCCCTCTGTCTCCCCCCGTTTCTTCCCTCTGTCTCCCCCCGTCTCTCCCTTTGTCTCCCCCCGTCTCTCCATCTCCCTGTGCTTCCCGATCTCCCCGACTCTCCCTTGCTGTCTCCTCCTCTCCCGGTGTCTATCTCCCCTCTGTCTTTCTATCCCCTCTGTTTCTGTCTCCCTTTGTCCTGTCTCCCCGTGTCTCCCCGTCACCCTCTGTCTCTCTAACTCCCCCGTGTCTCTCTCGCCCCCGTGTCTCTCTCCCCCCGTGTCTCTCCCCGTGTCTCTCCCCGTGTCTCTCTCCCCCCGTGTCTCTCTCCCCCCGTGTCTCTCTCCCCCCGTGTCTCTCTCCCCCCGTGTCTCTCCCCGTGTCTCTCTCGCCCCGTGTCTCTCTCGCCCCGTGTCTCGCCCCCGTGTCTCTCTCTCTCCCCCCGTGTCTCTCTCTCCCCGTGTCTCTCTCGCCCCCGTGTCTCTCTCTCCCCGTGTCTCTCTCTCCCCGTGTCTCTCTCGCCCACTGTCTCTCTGTGTCTCCCCGTCACCCTCTGTGTCTCTCTGACTCCGTCTCCGTGTCTCTCTCGCCCCGTCTCCCCCAATCTCCATCTCTCCCCCTCCCATTGTCCTCCCCGCCTCGCTCCGGGCTCCCCAACTGCCTCTCTCCCCTCTTCTTTGTAGCAATCGTCAATCTCTCCATTCCTGTCTCTCTCCCCGTCCCTCTTTGTCTCCCTGTCTCTGCGTGTCTTCGTCGTTCCGACTGTCTGTCTCTTTGTCTGTCTCTCCTTTTCCTGTGTCTGTCCTGTCCCTGTCGCTATCTCTGACTCTGTGTCTGTCGTCCTATCTCTCTGTCTCTCTGTGTCTCCGTCTGTCTCTCTGTGTCTTTGTCTGTCTCTCTGTCTCTCTGTGTCTTTCTCTGTCTCTCTGTGTCTCCGTCTCTCTGTGTCTCTGTCTTTCTCTCTGTCACCCTATCTGCCCGTCTCCCCCGTCTCCCTGTCTCTCTGTCTCCCCCGTATCCTCTGTCGCTGTCTCTCCGTCCTCTCCCTCTCCGTCGACGCATCTTCCCCTCCTCCCCCCTGTCTCTTTGTGGGGAACGGTGGCGCAGTGGTTAGCGCACTGAGTGTGAGTGGGGAGCGGTGGCGCAGCGGTTAGCGCACCGCGCTACGCTCGCAGCGGCGACGCCGAGTTCGATTCCCCGCTCACGGGGCGACGTCGGTGGCGATGATTCTTGGGCGCGTGTAGAAAAGCCGTGCAGCCCTGGGGAGAC